TTGGTGATGTCTACCTTTTCCTCGATCTCTTTCATCTTTTGTCAGACAGAAATTCTATTCCTAGAACACCGGCTAGCTAGTCCATACAACCAACCAAGTATTAACTGAATGCCCTATGATTATTAATCAATTTCCCCATGAAAAATATTAAAAGAATAAGCTACTAGAAAAGAACCGCCGGCCCCTAGCCCCACCTCCATTTTTCTCATCGATTACACAAAAAGAAAGCACATATTTGACTCACACTTAGATTCCCAACCTTTTTTTTTTCTTCTAATTTTTCCATTCTAATTGTGTTTACAAAACCCAATTAGTAAAATCCAGTTTTAAGATCCTCTGCTTTAATCATTTCTCTATATCCCATGTTCTAGTACTGTTAAAAATAGAAACTCACCCATCTCTTCGAACTCCCCCAACTTCCACCCAAAAGCCCTCAATCCAAAGCTTATTGATGTGGGTCTCTTGTTTTTTGGTATTAGATGGATACCTTGTTTAGACTTGTGAGTTTCCAATCATCCGATCAATCTTTCAACTCTAGCAGAACTTCTAGCAGCTCTAGATCCTCTAGACAAAACCACCACTACCAACAAGAAGACGAAGAATGCTTCAACTTTTTCATGGATGAAGACGACTTCTCTTCGTCTTCTTCTAAACACTACTATCCTTATCATCATCATCAACAACACCAGCCCCACCCTTATACCACCACCACAACTCCTACAACTACCACTACAAACACTTCTAATATTCACCATGCTTTTGAGACTTCTGACTTCCCTACTTTCTCCCCTGCTCGTGACATATACTTTGATTTCTCCGGCAAGTGGGCTACCGATATCCTCCTGGAAACAGCAACTGCTATCGCTGATCAAAACAGCGGTCGTGTCCAACAACTCATGTGGATGCTCAACGAGCTTAGCTCACCTTATGGTGACACCGAGCAAAAACTCGGTTCTTACTTTCTTCAAGCCTTGTTTAGCCGCATGACTGACTCAGGTGAGCGTTGCTATAGAACGTTAGCGTCAGTATCTGAGAAAACGTGTTCTTTCGAGTCAACAAGAAAGATGGTATTGAAGTTTCAAGAGGTAAGTCCTTGGACTACTTTTGGTCATGTTGCTTGTAATGGTGCAATCATGGAAGCTTTCGAAGGTGAAAGCAAATTACATATAATTGATATCAGCAACACTTATTGCACACAATGGCCTACTTTGCTTGAAGCCCTAGCAACCCGCACCGATGAAACCCCTCACTTAAGGCTAACCACTATCGTTGCTAGCAAAAGCGGTGGCGTTTCAGGTGCATCAGGAGCTGCGGGAGGCTTGGCTGCTGTCCAAAAAGTAATGAAAGAAATAGGAAACAGAATGGAAAAATTTGCTAGGCTTATGGGAGTTCCCTTTAAATTCAATGTGATACACCGTGCTGGTGATTTATGTAACTTAGATTTATCAGAACTTGATATCCAAGAAGATGAAGCGTTAGCTATCAACTGTGTTGGCACATTACATTCGATCACAGCCGTTGATAATCGTAGAGATATTATGATATCGAATTTCAGGAGTTTGCAACCAAGGATAATCACTGTCGTTGAAGAAGAAGCTGATCTTGATGTTGGATTTGACGGGCTGGAGTTCGTTAAGGGTTTCCAAGAATGTTTAAGATGGTTTAGGGTTTACTTCGAAGCCTTGGATGAGAGTTTTGCGAGAACAAGCAATGAAAGGCTGATGCTAGAACGAGCAGCTGGTCGAGCCATGGTTGACTTGGTGGCTTGTCCACCCTCCGAGTCCATTGAGAGGCGTGAGTTAGCCACGCGCTGGTCCAGACGCTTCCATGAAAGTGGGTTTAGCCCTGTAATTTTGAGTGATGAAGTGTGTGATGATGTACGCGCATTGTTGAGAAGGTATAAGGAAGGTTGGTCAATGGCACAGTGTCCTGACGCCGGAATATTCTTGTCTTGGAAGGACCAGCCTCTGGTTTGGGCCAGTGCATGGCGGCCTTAACGACGGCTGTAGGCTTTTTTTTTTTTTTTTTTGCGCATGGAAGGTCTGTGATTCTCTCACACGTGTGTTATGTTTTTCTCGCACGTGTAATAGGTACTGGTATTTTATATGGGGTTGGTTAAATGAATTTGTGTTTTTGGTGGAGAAAAAGGGAAGATAGAAAGAGGGAGGAGTGCTAAGAATTTGCCTTTGATTTGAATAGGATTGGGAGTAAATTGATTTTCACTAAATATAATTAATCTTCGTTTTACCATTTTTTTTATTATATATTTTATTGTATGGAAAATTGGGGTTATGGAGTTTTAATATAATCATCAAATATTGAAGAGACTTAATTTTCTTCATTTAATTACTCAAATAAATAATCTAAAATGTGTACTTTAAGATTAATAGGTAACACATATTTTATTAGGGTATAGTAAAAAAATTAAAAATAAAATATGTGACAGTTTCTTAATTTGTTTGTAAAATTAAAAATTTTTAAAATCAATTTATTAAAAACGAAATTCTCTCTCTATATATATATTATATATTGATAATCAATTGAAAATAAATAGGATACATTGTCAAATGGGTTATGGGAATTTTCCCACTCATTTTCCTTTCAAACAATCAAAACTTAAGCTACCACCTACTTAATTTGACCCCTGAATATATGGCCTGCTGAAATTGTCCCAGGACTAGATGCACAATTAAGACAAAAAGAAGCAATTTTCTTAGTTTAAACATAAGGTTGGTGTTGGCCTAAACAAATAATTAACAACACCAAGTCATTTTTATATCATTGTTGGTCCAAAATTGAGAAATGCGGTTGGTATTTGGTGTAAAGTGTGATATCAGCTTAGGGGAATTAATATAATTTTGATAAGGTTTAAAATTTTAAATTATCCATCTAAGAAAAAAAATGAATAAGTCCTAATCTGGTTTGGGCGCCTTAGAATCTTAGGACGGCCATTGGTTTAGGGGAGTTGGGTTCCAATTATGGGGAATCTTATTAAAGAAAAAAGGTGTTTAGTCATAAGTGGCATACCCAGGGCTTAAGGACGGCCACCATGCTTTTGTGTTTGTGTTTATATGGTTTGAGCAATTCTCTCTTCTTTCTTTTATATATTTTTTAATAATAAATGCAAATTAAATCTTTTATTTTTCACTTTTTAGGGTTTAGGAAGAAGAGAAAACAAAATAATAATAATAATAATAATAATAATATAGTAAAAATATTTTAATCTAAATCTTAATTATAAATAAAATATTCAATTTTTTTTTTTAATTCAATCAACTCTTTGCTCGCTGTTATCTTTTTTTTAAATTTTTTTCCTTACTTTTCTTTAGCTTTTAAAGTCAATAATAAAATTTGCTATGCAACTTTTTTACGTGTATTCCCATCATGATGTGTGTCTGTTTTTTTTATATATATATATATAAAAGAGAGTCGGTCCATGCTTCCTTTAGGCTTTAGATTAAGCTTTGAATTACTTTATATAATTGACAAATGACCAGCTACCTAGCTACTGTCTCTTGAATCAATATTATGCTTATGGGACCAAGTTCAAGTTGGAACATGTTCAAAAAATATATATTACTGAACAAATTTCATAAAGGCCTTTATATATAATAATTAATCAAGTACCTTGTGCCGTAGTCTCCACTTTGTTCAAACGCGGAAAGCCATTTTCGGAGGTCAATTTGCATGCAGATTTATATTATTTATTTTTATAGAAAGTCTTATAATAATAAAAATCTTTTAGACAAAAACAAATACAGCTAACACTACTTACAAAAACCTGCAACCTTATTTAATTTTGAATAGTCTTGATCATTCTTACAAGAAAAGGAAGAAAAAATAAATCTAGCAACCAAATAATCTAGTTTTCACTTTTGTACCAAATTTTATTAATGGTTAAGGCAATAAGTTTGTGCAATTGTTGCATCTTGGGTTTGGTCACTTGGGTTTTTTTTTTTTTTAATGAAGTTTCATTCTTAATTTTTGTTTGGAAAGCTCCATTCTCCATTTTTTTTTTTTTTTTGGAAATCCAATTAATGGCGGATGAGACACCAATAACTTCACTTTCCTTGTATCCGCTAAAAAAAAAAAACACATTGACAAAACTTGAAGGAGATTGAAATATTTCATATCAGCATTCATCTCACAAGCAGACTTTACCAAGGTATCAAAACAAAAATTACCTTGTCTCAACACACGAGATATGGAGTATCTTCAATAAAACAAACAAGGGGATAGACTTAGATATCAGTTGCTTGACGAAACTTCCTTGATGGAAGAAAATAACCAAGTTAAACTATATACTTTTCATTGTCTTTTAACAGAAACTACTTGATGGAAGAAAATATCTGACTGCCAATCAAACTGTGTATGTCCAAAGTCAATTTAGTTAGTGTTTTTTTGTGTCTGAAAGTGTTTAGCTTAAACATCTTTATAGTATATAAGTTTATTTAAAGAAATATTATGAATATTATGTTTTTATCAGTATTTTTTTTATCTTATCAAAAAAAGGGCTTTAATTTAAGTTTTTGGACAGTGATGGGGTAACAGGAAGATAAACTAGCTAAGTGGGGGAAGTCCCTCAAGCTGAGGGGAGTTGGGGACCAAACTTTTTTTTTTTTTGTAGGACAACGTTATCATTTTGTAAATTATGGTCCCAAATCACTCTCAAAGTCTCCTACTTTTTTCTTTTTTTTTTTTCTGTGTTCCCCTTTCAGTTTCAACACCAATTTCCCTTGTTCAGTAAGGAAGCACTAGGAAATTTGTTTCAGAAGCAATTTCCATGTGCCCCCAGGCCCCAAGCAAGATTTGGTACAACTTGAGGCCTAAGCATATGGGCTTTCCCCCTTTCCTTGGGGACAAACAGGTTGCCGATACCTTGGCAACCTGCTTATATCAAATGAAAATTTTGCAAACTTCTAGCCTCATTACATGACAACAAAATGGCCATGACACAAGTAACTGTAAGCAAATTATTTAGGGAAAAAAAATCTCAAGTGTCAACCAAATGGTATTCTCTGTGAAAATCTATAATCCTCAAAAGCTAATATTAACATTACCTACAGACAGAAGCATTTGTGAGTTTACTGGCAGTGCAGGATATTGAACATGTACAACAAATTATTGAGGTGTGTTAGCTCGGAAAAGGCTTCCCAAATCATAGAGACAACCATGGGAACCAGGGAAAGAATAAGTGAAGAGCCTTAATATACAAGACATTAAAACCATGTATCTGAAAAGAAAAATGAGCCAAAAAATGAGCTAATCATTTCGACGCTCTCCAACTCAAGGGAAGTCTCCACTTCCTATGCCAATATATTGACACCCTTGGCCATAGTGGAAATCCGAAATTGAACTCAAAAGGCCGATCAGCAGGACCTCCAACTATTAGAGGTAACCATACATATCTTGAGTCCCTTAAGTCAGCTGGATTCCACCGATCTGCCATGAAAATATATGAACCTGGAATTCCTGGCAAAGGAATCACAAATGTACTCTGTGCAAAAAATGTTGCTAGTCGAAACATTTTGTTCCCTCCGATGCATGGGTTTCCCATTGTCTCCCATGGCCCCATTATCGACTCAGCAGCATGGGCTAGTGCTTCATTTGGTGCCCATCCAGTGCAACCTGATGTGATCATGTAATAAGTCCCTTGGTACTTAAACAGAGCTGGGGCTTCGCGGTGCTGCCCAACCAAAATCCTTTGCATTTCAGGCTTCACATCCAGGTAATCTTCAGTGAGTGGTCCAATGTGAAGTTCACTATTGTCCTCGGATGAATAAATTAGATATGCTACACCATCATCATCTTTGAAGATGGTCATGTCCCTGCTGTCATATCCATGGGGTCTTTGGCTACGAAGATAATCAAAAGGACCTGTTGGGTAATCACTGATAGCAATACCAACAGCAGCTTTAGTGTAGTTCGCATCGTCAATGTGCATCCACATTACATACTTTCCAGTATTCTCATTGTAAATAACTTTTGGCCGCTCCAACACATTGGATTTATGGAGATCATGGGTTTCATTTGTCTCTTCTGCAGCCAACACAATGCCCTCATTTTTCCATGTCCACAAATCCTTGGAAGAATAACAACCAACTCCTATGATGTCAACCTGATTACAAGGTAACCAAAGAACTCAATCAAAACTTCTTAGAACTAAAGAGTTAGGTATGCAATCAAACGTCAAAATAAGACTATATACCTAAATGGCTAAAATAGGTGCTAAAAATGAGGACAATATAGAGAAGGCATAAGTAAGGCCTGATGTCTTGCATGTCAACCACATCTACACACATTTTCTGGGAAAGCACCTACTCATGCTAAACTAAAAAATATAGATGCCAAATTTCATCTCCTATCCATTCACGAGAGCAGAGCTCAGAGTGGAAGAAGATTCTGCCAGGAATGAATCCTAATTATGCAGCATTTATCTTCCTTTATCAGTCCCTAGGGTCAAACAACCGACAGATGAAGTGGCTCAAAGACATTGAATTTGCAATCACAAAAGTCAGCTTAATCCAAATATAATGGAGCTAGATTTATCTCTTTGAATTATTACTAAGAGGTTAGAATAAATCCTGCAGCAGAAAAACATCAATAAAAGCAACCTCGGTGGCAAAGATATGCTTCTCTTTCACTGTTTTAAAAACAAATACAAGGTTTATATAGAAATTTATCACTGCATCAAAACCATCACATATATCTACTTATGACTCAATCCCTACCGGGAGCTTGGCAGAAAATAATAGCATATAATCTCTTTGGTTCAATCGCAAGTCCTAATCTCATGTGACCTCTGCAATAGCACATATTCAATAACATCTCATCAAAGGCATTGTTGACTTCAGTGGCAACATAACTAAAACAAATATATTGACTTGATAAAGGAACTTCATTGCTACTAAGGTACCATAGGTGCACATGAAAAAGTGACAAATAGGATAAAATAACATATGAACGAGTGCTTGTGAATATCAGAAGTGCTTCAAAACCATTAATATTTATGTCATTACAAGTATTTGACCATCTTTTTCATACACTCAAACCTTAAGAATTCAGAGATTAGACAATGCTGCTCTTCTTGTATCTCAAGCATCATTGCAACTTACCAAGAGATTGATAAAGATGACAACTTCCATTAGCTCATAAGTCAAGCTTTCAGTTCCAATGTACGAGTTTTTAACAGAGAGAGAAAAAGGTTCAGCATCAATCAACCAAAAAACAGAACAAATACCAATGACAGGGGTGTCTGCAATTTGCTTTAAGTTATTTATCAACATTGTAACTGAACCAAGATACTTGACTTTTCTATAAACCAAACCAACTGAAGAAGCCTAAAAGCCAAATTAAATTAAACTAAATAATTTGTCTCAGAACATATCAGTTTCACAGTGCATACGCAGCCATCTTATATCAGGCTTAGCATTGAGCTTCTCCATTTCTAAACCAGTACATTTTTGCATTGAAAATAAGCTTCTCTACATCAAAATTGCTGTTACATTCAATTACATAGAATTGGAGATAACATAAGGATTCGAAAGAACATGAAGTTGCACAAGAAGGATTTGACAAAGTATGAGCAAAAGTTGTCTTTAGCTTTTAGCCCATCATATTTTTGGATTAAATTTCAGTCATTTTATATTCAAAATGTTTGGGATGTCTATCATAAGATACCAATAAGCATGGAAGAATATCCCAAAATACACTAATATTAGTGCAAATCACAAACCATTCAAAGAGAAACAGTTCAAAGTTTACTACTTGCACTTAGGTAGTTTCTTATAAACGAGTTTATTTAGTATTTCTAAGACAGGATTCCTATAAGTCACTACCAAGGCCCATATGCCCTTCACATTTAAAGAGGCCCTTATTAGTGAATTATAAACCATTTTAGCAATGATGCACAGATGCCCTTGTTTCCATACTTCTATCTCTATATCTTTATTTATTCATTCTTCTTTCTTACTATCTCCCTTTAATTTTCTAGGCATCACTTATATAATAATCAGCTTTTCCAGAGTTTTCTTCAGCTAGATCTGTCTCATCCTTCTCTACCCCATAAAACCCTTAGTCCTCAAATACTAATCGCCCTAAAAACCTCAAAATCTTTGAAAACAAATCCAGCAGTCATAAACCTACAGCTTTCCACTGGTCACATCCTAAACCCTAAAGTCTTTTACTCTAGACAAAATAGATACATTAAAAACCCTGATTTATTAAGACTAAACTCATAAAATCCACAAAAGTCGCCCTCTCAAATCTGTATAATGTCAGAAAAATAACAAACCAGCATTAGCTACTCAGTCATACTATACCAAGCCAAGCAAAGAAGAGTATTGTGGTATTGAAGCATTAGCTACTTAGTCATTGAAGCATAAGGACTAGTCCCATATTAGCAAAGCTGTAGATATAAATCAGATTATTTATCAATTAAAAATGATTAACTTACTCGTGCTGCACCCTTTTTATGAGCATGGTAGGTGGGTCCATCTTTGTACTCTCCATACCAATAGTATGTATTGGATCTTTCATCATAGAGCATACCTCCTCCATGAGCTTGAATAGGATTTCCTTCGGTATCCAACCAAATTCTCCCTGGATGGTAGTGGTAGCTATCATTTCCCGAGTCTTTTATTGGATTTACAGCAGTTTTCATATCTGGAAAGAATACATGCCGAAGCTGGGAGTTCTCATCAAGAAATTCATCAATCAAAGTGGTTGTACGCTTGGGTCTCCGCTTAGCAGCACGTGGGGATCGTTTCCCCTTACGATGGGGAATTTGGATATTCTCCTTCTCCACCTGTTCAAGTTCATGGACTAGCGGATGATTACTCATACGCAGTTGGATATCCCCATTCACTGCATTTATGTTGCTAAAACGAGAGTACATATGAAGCACAAGAAGAAATCCCACCAAGCTCCACACCACAGCAGACATCGAGCATCTGCTCCCTGCATTGCAAGGGAAAGCAGTTGGTTTCCTGTATTTGTTCCTGACCCTCATATTCTCTTCCTTTTTATCTCCAAGATAATGCTGCAATTAAGAAAATGCAACCTATGGAGATCCAATAAAAATCGGACCAAATATGAGTCCAAACCAACCATGCAAATCTACTCTATCTCTTAATTTCATCAAATTTAGGTACAACAAACGCCACAACAATACTGTTCATTGGCGAGACTAAGATTGACTATCAATAGCAATCAAGTCCAGAACATAGTCAAAATGCAACCATTTCATGATTAGTATAGGCAATTATCAACTCCTAATAGAAAAAAAAAAAAAAAAAAAAGGATCAACTTGAAAGAACAAAATATGCATAATTTCATTTACTTTACCATCTTCTCTACATGAAGCATACATGAAATTCAAAACACCCTTCTATACTCAAATAACAAAATAATAAACTGGAAAACAAATTAAAAAAATAATAGTCAAACAACAAATAAAGTTCATTATCAATGCAGACAAGCCTATTTACATCGTTATCACATCATAAATTATCAACTTTACACTATAAAAGCTAAAACCTATATAGCAGATCCACAGAACATACAAAAAAGATAAACTTACCAAAAAACTTATCAATACCCAGAAAAACAAACTTACCTGACAAAACTCTAGGAAAATTCCCAGTCCCAGATATGGGCATCTCTGCTTTACCCTTTCTTTAAAGTTCCAAATACAAAACCAATCAAATGATAGTCTGATATGTATATAGAAAGAAAAAAAAAACCAACTTGACACGGTTTCCAACAACCTTACTAAAGACCCAGAGAGATAGAAAAAAGGAGTAAATTTTGACAAGAAGAGGCCAAAGTGAGGGGAAGTTGCGTGGTTTTATGTCTGGTTTGTTTAAAATAAGATCTAAAGAAGGTCTTTATGAAGCAGATGATTGTGACTTTTGAACAAAGAATTTTCCTTTTTTTTCTTCCACTCAAAGCCGTTCTATCTAATCCATCTTTTGTTTCTTCTTTCCAATCTCTCTGAGTTTTGGAACTTGGACTTGGTGGTCTTATTTGTTCCTGTCTCTCTCTGTTTCGTATGCCTTTGTTCCTACACCATTAGATTTTTAATGATATTTCCTTTGAAAGAGAGAGAATGTAATGATAGTTTTCAAGGTAACTTGTTAATTATTGTTTTGCAAATGATAATTTTATTGATTTCTGGAAATTAATTAAATGTTTTATATGCGATTATTAAGTAATTAATAAGACCCATTTTCTGTTTCTAAATTGTTAAGATTTCAAAGCTTCCAATGAGATTTCGACAGTTGATGACTTGTTGGTTTAGAGCTGTCCAACTTTCCTTCTCAAGGGAAACGTTTACCTTAGAAAAATACGTAAGAGGAGAAGAAAAGGAAAAACTATTTCTATAGAAAAAAAAAAAAAGATTTCAAGCTTCAATAAAATGAAATTACCTTACCAAATTGGAAATTTAGTTAAAAAAAAGAATCAAAATATTTCACTGGTCAGTTTTTGTGGGCATAAGTTTTCAATTATTTTTATATCCTAAAATCAATTGTTAGTTCCTAATTTTGTTTTAATTTAATTATTTTTATATTTTATTTATATCTTATCTATAAAATATAAAAAAATATAAACATATTCCTTTTTTAATTAAATTTATTTATAATTTTTTAAAATTTTAAATTATATTATTTTAATTTTTTATATCATATTTAAAATTATCAAATCTATTTTTTTAATAAATTTGAAGATGTCTTTTTAAAATAACGAAAGGAAGAATCTCTACAATTAATCAGAAACATTAAATAAAAAAAGAAAAGGAAACGAAATATGGGTTAGGTCGAAATAGAATATGGACTGCTAGACAACCTAATGAGTTGACATGGCACCTATAGTTTTGATTAGTTGACCAAATTATTAACACCAAATTCTGGCTTTGGTAATACCTGTTGATGAGGTTGGTACGGGGCATGCATCGTTTTAAAGAAAATAAAATTTACATATTTGTTTGTTTTCATGCATTGACTACTTACCATAAATAATTTAGACTCGGTTGGGTTGAAAATTTTACATATTCATTTTTATTCCTTCTAGAGGCCACTAGATAATAAGCCTTCATTAAAAGCCATTGTTTTGAACTTGATTTTCCAATCTACCTAAGTTAGCAAACAAAGTTGGTCATTTTAGTCAAGAAAGCCTATAAAATTGGCCTTTGTCCGTTGGAATAAAACATCAAACATTGCATCTATTGATGTCAAGTTTTGAGCTTAAGGTTAAAATTTTAAAATTAAAATTAAAAAAAAAAAGAAAACGATTAAGATAAAAGTAAAAAATATGTTTTATATTTGTATTTTAACGTATAAAATTAGAAAAATCAAAATAAAAAAATAAAAAGTAAAATTAAATTGATAATATTTAAATGACTCTATTTATAGATTAAATGTGAAAGATTTATAAAGTAGCATAATAATATAGTCGAGCTAACGTAATATTATATATGTCAGATCAAATCAACTCAAACGTCAAAAATATTTTTATTTATTTACTAACAATTTTTATTGAAAAAAAAAAAACAATTTACCCTCTAAATTTAAAAATACCCTTTAAAATATCTTCATCCTTTTATTAGAGTGAATTTATGTAAATCTTAATATTTCTTTTTGGATATATTTTTCGAACAATTTATGACTGTTGTCGTGAGAACACAGCTATAACATGATACTGTTGTCAAGTTAATTTTTCCAACAAAATGATATCAGAGCTTCTCAACCCTAACAGTCCTTTAACGTGGTTCTGCATACTAGGAAACACATTAAGCATATGTACCGGACAGAACAGCTACAAGCCGATGCCTTGTTTTAAGTATCGAATTTCCATCACTTTGTGACAAGCATCTTCAATAAAACTGCATAGCAGCATGAGATTCTTAAAACGTCTTGCATGGTTTGCAAGGAAATGAATTTCAAACTGTTTACTCACGTATTATATTTGTTTCCCGTAAAAAGATTAGTAATTTTGTATATTAATATTATATTTTATATGAAAATTATATATCATAATTTATTTTAAAAATTAAAATATATATTTTTAATTTTTTTATTTATATATAATTTTTACTAACACTTTAAACTTATATCACTTTTTATCATTTTCTTAGATTTTTTAACCGTCTTATTTTAAATTGTCAAATTTATTTCGGGTGCCAATGCAACAAGCAAAACTGAGCCGAAGCGGCGATCCATGAGTCTAATGAAATTACTTGTGGTTTAGGCCCAACTATTAGAATGAGCTCAGGCCTTTTCCTCTAGCCCTCAATTTTGCCTTAGCTATGGCTCTGCCACCTCAATTTCTGTACAACTGTCCTCCATTAATGTCAACTCGCTTTGGATCTGTCATCATACGTGAGTTCCAGTCTGTAATCACACCTTCACAAACGTCTCCGTGACGCGACCAATCAAATTCTTCCGTGAAACCACGTGCTGAAATCAATATCGTAGAGAAAACATGTTACATCCGACGCTATAAAATAAATTATTTAATTTTTAATTAAAATAAAATATATCTGATTTAATAATTTAAAATAAATAATTAAAAATTATCTATTTAAAATTATTCAACAAACAAATATCTACTAAAATTAAATTTAAAATTTTTATATAAAAAATAATAATTATTTATTAATTGAATAGAGTTCAATCTAATTTTTTAAAAAATTTAAAGTAGATAAATTATTTAATTTTTAAATTAAAATAAAATATATTATATTTAATAAATTAAGATAAATAATTATAAATTATACATTCGAAATAATTTTTATAAATAATTAATGATAAAACTCAAACTTAAAATTATTTTATCAAAAATAATAAAATTTTAACCGATTAATTTAACTCAATTGATATCCATACAAATTATAATATAATTTATAATTTTTTTTAATTTTAAAAAAGACAAAACCCTATAATAAAAAAATAGGGGCAGAGGCTGGGGTTATATCTTTTTAAGGAGTTCTCGGCCACTAAACTAAGACGTTAGAAAATAACTTGCGATCATTTTAACCGAAGTAAAAGGTTCAATATAACTGAAACCGTCTACAGTTTACCAATCACCCACTATCAACGGTTGAGATGTTCGTAAAATATTAATAAATTCTTTTCTTTGATCTATCCCGTTACATGGTAAGTTAAATGTTTAAATATTAATTATATTAGGATTTTTAATTAAATTTATCATAAATTTAATAAGTAATGTATTTTTATTTTTCTTAAAAAATAAAATTTATTTATTTATTTATGATTGTGTAAAGGTAAAACCCATTGTGAGTGTGGATCCAAATATAAAGCACATCTCCTGTATTAAGAGAGACTCTTCATGGAAAAAAATTAGTTTATATAATATTTTAAAAAATATATTTAATAAATTTAAGATTTAAATTTTATTATTTACAATTTTTTATTTTTAGATTAAAGTTTTTGTAAAAAAAAGAATAAAAATTTTAATATTTATAATTTTTTTATTATTTTTAGTTGTCATCATTTCATAAAAAAATTAAATATATAATTTTTTTAAATACTTAAAATTATCAAAATTAAAAATCTATCAACAATTTAAGCAATTGTTGATTAATATATATTTTAAATTTTTAATATATTCTTAAATCATTAATATATATTTATTTGATTAAAAAAATATTACCTACATTAAACTTATGTCAATTGATCTCGGTAGGACACGCAATAATAATTATATAATATTCAAAATTAAAAACTATTAAATATGGCCCACCGTAAATTTAAAATCGATTTTTTTTTTGGGCAGTATATCAGGAAATAATTAAAAGGGAGGAATTCGGTAAAAAATAAAAATAGAAATCAGCAGGCGAGAGGGAGGAAAGGAAAGCCAGGGGCTGGAGAGATCACTGGCTCTCTCTCTCTATCTCTTTTTTTCTTTGAAAATTGACTAAAAAGCTTTTTTTTTTTCGATCTTGCTTCTCTTTCTCTTTGAATCTCCAAATGGGTTTGTGGGAAGCTTTTCTCAATTGGCTTCGCAGGTAGTAGATTTTTTTTCTTTTTGGTTTCCTGCAATGTCACTCTTTTATTAATTCCTGGTGGGTTTTTTAGATTGAGAATTATGATTTATATAGAGTTGGGTTTCCTCTCTTTAAGCTAAATTTTGTTTCTTTATCCTGAACTTTGTGTTTGACACCCCTAGGAAGAATAACAGAAGTGATTTTTCCAGTTTTTGTTTGACAATACAGTCAAATGTTTCAAGGGTTAAGAATTTTACATATTGAAAGGAATAAATTGATGTATAATTCATGAACAAAATGGACGATAGAAGACAAGGGTTATGTTCCTTTTTCTTGAAAAGAAAAGATAATGTTTCAATATCACATTCAATGCAATTTTCAATGAGTCAAAGTTTAATTTGTATGAGGAAATTCAATCTAGGTAGCCTTACTAGGAGTATTGTTTATGGTATGTAGCAACATCTTGCCTTTTTAGGCATATCCTATTTTGATTAGTTTGAAGATTGTAAGTTTATCTTTTACTGTGTGATCAAGCTATAGTTAGTGTATGATTCCTTAAAGGTTTTTGCAAGCGTACAGAATCACAAATCTCTTCTGCTCCACAAATCTTTCAATTCTAGTTTCAGTTGTAAATGCTGTTTTATTTTCATGTGGCTTGGTGGATGGTTTGTATCTCAAGTTTTTACATGCTTTTCAGTCAGTGTTATGTGACTTTATAGAGGCATGTGTTTGGAGAATGAATGCTGCGAAAGTTAAACATGCTAAATTGTTAAAATTATGAGCTTTCTCCTGCTATATTGATTTTGTTGCATTATTAATTCATTGGTTTCAGTTGGTCACCTATTATTGCAGAGTATTCAAACCATTATTTGTTTTACTGAAGGCTTTTTCAGGTTGACCTCAGTACAAGGGACCACTTTTCTTATATGTTGTTTTGCAGCCTATTTTTCAAGCAGGAAATGGAACTATCTTTGATAGGACTTCAGAACGCTGGAAAAACCTCATTAGTGAATGTTGTCGCAGTAAGTAAATTAACCTCAATTGAAAATGGCATTGCAGTGAGCAAATTACAAAAGTGCCATTACCAGCAATCTAGCATGTGTTATGTTTTTACGTATTCTGTGAGTTGACTTTAAGTTGGCTGGTTGGTGTTGTTTTCAGACTGGTGGATATAGTGAAGATATGATCCCTACGGTGAGTCATATCATCTGAGAATATTTGTTTTTGCTCCATCAATTCTTGTCATTTGTGAATTGAGATGATGTTACATTTCAATTAAACTAATTAATGCCTAAGGGCTTATTTTCAGGTTGGATTCAACATGAGGAAAGTGACAAAAGGAAATGTTACAATAAAGTTATGGGATCTTGGAGGTCAACCTAGGTTTCGCAGTATGTGGGAGCGATACTGTCGTGCAGTTTCTGCAATTGTGTAAGAAGCTACTTCTTTATTTTCGTAGACTTGTTATTTGAAATAACTTTCTTCTGAACTAATTTAACAGTTTTGAGGGAGTAAGAGGTTTTCTCTGCTAATGAAATATTCATCTCTTCTTTGGTAGTTAGCATTTCAAAGCTGGCGTTATTAATATTATTTAAAACTGCATGGTCCTTCTTTTATGTTTAGGTATATGTCTTCAAAAAGCATAGCTCATGAATTGAAGGTATTTAATTCTGTATCATAAATTCGAGTTGGTGTTTGGAAAGATTTGCATTTGATGCAAAATATTATATAGCCTAGATTAACAGATGCAAAAATTATTGTCTATAATTATTGCAGTATTTGACTAGTCTTCAGTTACTTGCCTTCGTGCTTCTCAAATCGTGAAACCTGATATTCGTCTTAGTTATGTGAATTGTATGTGCATCTTTGTATATCTATTAGCAAAACCGTGAAAATGAATCCGAGAAGAAGAATCTAACAAGGAACCTCTCTTACGGAATGATTCCACATAGTATTTCTTACTAGTTTGATAAGTTTTGCCTCAGCTTATAACACCTTGCAAAGAAGTCAAAGGCAACGAAGGTCAGGTATTGAAAATTTTGCCTATCATTGTACCAATTATTACAAGAAACTAAGTTGTTTCTCATTAAATTGGTTGCTGTATTATTTGTGCCTGAGCATATGTTTTTCCTATTAGAATCCTAGCCACTCTATGTAGTTTTTATGGTAGTGAAACTATGTAAATCCAATAAATCTTTTACATGCATTTCTTTTTTATGGATCCAAGGTGTGTGTCTCACACAGTTATACAAGACTGCATATCAAATTCTGCAGAGGTTCTGGTGAAGTCTAACCTGATTTTCTTTCAGCTATGTGGTGGATGCTGCCGATCCTGATAACCTGAGCATCTCAAGAAGTGAGCTTCATGATTTGCTGAGCAAGCCCTCACTTAATGGCATCCCTCTTTTGGTGCTAGGCAACAAGATTGACAAGCCAGGAGCTCTGTCAAAACAGGCTTTGACTGAAGAAATGTAAGAGACATTTCACTTGATTCACTTAATTAACTGGAAAAAGCAGAATTGCAACAAATGAACTAAAGTAATTCTGCTTTGCTTAAAGTAAAAACCTTTCTCTATGCAGGGGACTCAAGTCAATTACCGACAGAGAAGTTTGCTGCTACATGATATCATGCAAGAACTCAACCAACATTGACTCAGTTATTGATTGGCTTATAAAGCATTCTAAATCAACGAGCTGAAAAATGGGCTTTCCTTTCTCTTTTTTTTTTTTTTTTGTGTGAATCTTTTTGTGCTGAATCTATGTTTTATAATTCCAGTTCCTGCAGGGATACAATATATGTTGTTTGAGAATTTCAATTCATGGTTTTATAGTGAGAATATCCGAAAATTTTTAATTATTTTTATTTTTACAATTATAAAATATTTGATAAAATTATTATATTTATTTTTTAAATGTTATTTTTTAGAAAATATTTTTAAAAAAGGAAAGGAAAAACCTGAAATAAGATAAAAATCAAAATAAAAGAAGAAAATCATACTCTTTATTTTTTTAACGAATCTTTTTTTCCTCTCTCTAGGCCTCGTTTCACCCAAAAAGTAACAAATTTTCAATTGAATTCTTCAAATGCACATATTTTGAAATATTTTCTTCTCAAATTATTTTTATTTATATCATTTTCTTAAAAAAAAGAAAATGCAAAATTGATAAAAAAAAAAAATGACAATTGATAAAACATCTAAAAGTTTATTTATCCATAACAGTTCAATTTTTTTTTTTATCTCATAAAAAGTAATATGAAAATTTTTCATTGTTCTAAAAAGTTAGTCGTAAAAAGACTTAACTTTCAATTAATGAACTTCAAATTGTTGTAGCGACGTCGTTTAAGAAAGGTCAGAAACAACTGCTCAAATGTCAAAATTGCCCTCATCTCTTTTATTTCTTTTCTCAAATGGGAAATTCTAAATGCACCTCGTTTAATGTTATATACAGCACATTTCTTTATACATCTCAATTTCCAATTTCGTTTTCTTATTTTTATTAAATAAACCCAACCCCTAACCTTTTTATTTTTCATTACTACCATATTTCTCGTCTTCTTTCTTTACTTTTTGAAATTGAGCTTTTTAGAAATGAATATTCGATTAACTATAAGATTTTTTAAAAATAAATATTTGATAAATTTTAAGAATTTTTGGATATTTATTTTTAAAAAATTATAAAATTTATCGAATATTTATTTTCGAAAAGATTTATACTTTTCAAAAATGAATATATGAAAAAATATCAGACTTTTCGGATCTTTATATTCGAAAAGCTCAATTTCATTTTTAATCAAAACTTTAATCATATGCTGATAAACTCATTTTAAATGATTATGTGTGAATGAAATTGAAATCAATATTCTCAATATGCATCGAATAAATTGAAATCATTTTCTTAGTTTTCTGGGCTTAAGACAAAAGTATTTATATTCCATGCAAAATTTGATATCTTCTATTTGCACATATAATCAAGAATGTGCGCATCGATGATTTTTGTGTGCATGCATATTAATCTAAGTTTGAATACCCTATAGAACATTGTTATAAACAATGTTATCTTAGATTGATGAATCTAATAATATTTAAAATTTTCACCATCAATTCTTACTATTAGATTTGTCAATATATTGATAATATTTTTTTATGGCCAAAATATTAAAGATTTCAATTTTTTTGTTATTAAAAATTTATAATTAAATATATATTTAAAAAAATTTATGTATTCTTGAAAATAGATTTTTAAGAGTACATAATGATTCTTAAAAAATTATTTTTGAAAAAGTAATATAAATCTTAGAAATAAAATTTTGAGTTTTTTTTTATTTTTGATAATCTATTTTTAAGAATTATATTATTTTTTTGAAAATATATTTTTGAGAATATATTATAATATTCAAAAAATTTATTTTTAAAAAATACGATGTTTTTTAAGTGTGTAAACTATTAAAGATATTTTTATCATTTATTAAAAGTTAAAATTAATATTTAGTATGTTAGTGTTTTTGGAAAAAAAATTTTGAGAGTGTATGGAGAAATTTAGTGAAATATTTTAGTAAAATATTTAGGAGCCCCATTTTCTAAAACCCTCTTCCCTGCCGACGCTAATCCCGAAACTAAATTCTCCAAATGTCATCCATAACTAAAAAATTCCCGACCAAGTCGTTCCTCAGCCTCCTCATATCTTCCCCACCAAAACCTCCCATTTCTCGCTTATTTTCGGCTGCCACCGCCGAAGATCGGACCAAAAAACTCGAGCGCATCGCCGACGAGCTTTTAGACCTAACAAAACTTGAACGCTACGATTACTCCATCCTCTTCCGTCTCAAACTCGGCCTTAACCGCTACGGCCCCGCTGTTTCCGGCGTCACTTCCGCATCCCCTTCAGCCCCCGGATCCGGTTCGGGCGCAGTCGAATCGAAAGCCGCTGAAAAGACGGCGTTTGATATAAAGCTGGAGAAGTTTGAAGCGGCGGCGAAGATAAAGATAATAAAAGAAGTGAGGGCATTTACGGATTTGGGATTAAAGGAAGCTAAAGATTTGGTGGAGAAAGTTCCGGTTGTGGTTAAAAAGGGAGTTACGAAAGAGCAAGCTGATGGCATTGTTAAGAAGCTCCAAGAATTGGGTGCTACTGTGGTACTTGAATGAATCTTCTCTTTAGAATAAGCCCCTTACCATTGGAATTTGAAAGTGAAACTTTGCTGAAATTAATTTAGTCTGACTGAAAAGATTGGAAATTGTTTACTCTCTCTCTTCTTTGTTATGAAAATCTTTGGAGATGTTTACTGCTTGTATAAAATTTAATCGAATTAAGACTGGGTACCTGTAATTTTGCTGCTTTCTAAGGCTGAGGATGCTCAAATTGATAGAAGTGACTGGCAATGGCTTTATCATTAGTTCAGTCTCTGTTTGTTTTGGCATACCATAAACTAGATCAATGGCTCTTCTTGATTTTAGTTAAGACAGCACTGCTTTTTAGACAATCTAGCTAGTGTGCTATGCGCTAGGATATTAGCCCGTGTCGTCTGGTTATCGTTTTCTCGGTTCCAAGTCAGAGTCTGATTGTAAGTATTTATTCAAATGTGGAAAAGGAAGTGTTTTTTTGGTCATTCAGTATGGAGGAGTACATTGCTTCAGTTGGAGATCTGGTTTTTAGCCCATTTTTATGCTTTATCATCATCATCATCAGCCTACATGTATGGGTATAAATCCATTCCTATTGTGAGCTAAAATTAGGTAGAAGTGGAGCCACCTTGGAGAGTTTGCAAATTCAAAGCCATTTCTATGATGCTTTGAACTAATCAATATCAAAATTTTGGGAAGGCCTGGGTAGCGGGTAGTAAAACCTTGTGTATAGCTCGTTGGCCATTGCAGCTTCATTTGACAGATGTTCTAAGGACGATGACTTGAGGCTTTTCCCATGTTTGTTGAAGATTAGGACTCTGGTCTCTCCTGTCTCAGTGATTTAACTGTAACCAGAAAGAGGTTAGTAAATTTACAAACCAAGTTTTTGTAGGCTCTAATAGTTTTAAAAATGATCTATTCTATGGCAACAAGTTCAGTAACTAGGGAAAATCTTATACTGGATTGTTGTAAGCTAAACCAGGATCAAAAGTTGCACCTCAGTGTCCCTGTGTTTAATTAGCCAATTTTCCTTCCTACTTGTTACGATATGTAGCGATTGCACGTTTAAAGGCAGAAGAAAACATGAACAGGCCTATGGTTTGAAAAATTTAAGTCGACCCAGCTTGGTGGTTAAGCATATTGTTGTTTCCGCATAGCTACCCAGGACCAAAGGGCTTCATCATGGTAATGTAGTTGTATTATAGGTTACCTGAGCTCCTGCTTCCAATCTGATAAAAGTATGGACCTACAAACTTCACAGAAAGCTATATAATCATTCAATTTTTGAGGAAGCAAATCATTTTTAGCAGACAGATGATATGGTTGCAGTTCAAACGAAAAGATGACTAGACTGCAACCCTCAACCCCAGAGAAAGAGAGGTTCCTTTACTTAAGTGGTCATTAGCCAACAACAACAATACATTGCTTGAATACCCACTTGCAAAATTGCAGTTTAATTGTATTCGGAAAAGACAGATCATATCTCAAGCATGCCATCATAAATGCCTAATTCTATTTCTTTTGCTATATCTGTACCCTTGACTTCATGATAAAGTTATAGAATCACAAAAACCTCTAAGCTCCTCACCAAATGTTTGTTCAAAAAGAAGCAGGACTCCATGGATTAATCTCACATTTTCCTCTTTACAAGCCTATTATATTTACGGTTATAGACATGACTGTAGTTGATATACGAGGCAAGCATGATGTCAAGTCTGATGCATGGTTCCAGCAACAAACTACCAAATGGTAGGTATCTATCCATTTATGCCATCTGCACAAGTTTGCAACTGGTATCAAGAAGATAAACAATAAAAAAAACAAATAATTGGGGTAAAATCCTGTAAACCATAAGATATCACAATATAAAGCTCTATTATTTAAGCCCAAAGACAAAAATTCACAAAAGAAAACCAGTAATACATTGTAGTTCCAGAAAACATGAAAATGATGGATATAAAAAATGTATGGCCGCGCAATGTCACTATTTTTTGGATATATTTGGTGTCAAAATCAACAGGAAAAGAGAAGCATCTATAAGGAGGAAAAATCTAATGACATCAAGTGAAAATAACTGCCTGATTTCAATGGGATTTTTATGAAAATATCTGACCTCACTGAGTTCAAAGAGGTCCAAGGATACTCTACAGAAAGTGAATAGCTATCCTTCCTAAATCTTTGTTTCAGAAACTTTTCAACCATGGAGAAAAAAGGCTGAAGTAGGCTCACAGAAATAAGTGAAATAAAATTTGTTCAACTGATGTCAAGTTGTTGCAATGAAGCTTTGTTAATTGACAGAGCCACAAGGGGTAAATATCACGACTATGACTAGAAGTACTCTGGGGTAAGATCCAATCCTCTTAAACAATCAATGTGAGCATCCTTTGAGAAAACCTGTGCTTTCAGATCTATGAACATCGTTTAATATGAGGAATATTTAAGAACTGATTAAAGAAGATTTACCAGGTAACTAGCATCCGAGACTTAAATGCTTTCTCTGCCGCTTTAGCAAAAATTTTTGCTGCTTCTGCTTCAGCTTCTGCTGCCTCTGCCTCTCTTGCTGCCTTTTCAGCCTCTGCAATTGCAACTTCTGCCTCTGCAACTGCTCGTGCAGCAGCTGCAGCAGCCTCTTCTGCAGTCATGCTTCTCATTTTTGACAACTCTGCATCAACTTGGGTTTTAGTAAGAATGTTGATGCCCTTCTTCTCTGCTTTGGAAGAATCCTTCTGCCTTCCTTCCAAAGGAACTGGAGGAGATCTTCTTGCTTCAGAAATTGTTGAACGTGGCGCAATCCTGTACTTGTGCTTTACCTATCAACATATACATCATAAAGATGAATTAATCCCGACTTATGAACACTCAGCTTAATCTTCTTTAGAAACATATTTCCCCCTTTATGAGAAGATATGCCAAAAACTTTCCACGTGGACATCAGAAAAACCAACATAAACATTCACGCAATTCATGAGGAAGAAAAATATCAATGTTGTTGGATCTTTTATGCAAACAGGATGCAACCCTTCCCAGCTTTCTTTCTTTAAATCCAATATTACGACTGCATGTGTCATAAAAGTTACCTTAATATCACTTTCATGAATATCAATGTGCATGAAAGTATCACCTAAATGTTTCTGTCAAATGCTAAGACCATTTTTATGACCCTGGAACACTGTTGTTGAATTTAACTTTTCTGTCATGCTAGCTACTTCATAGGCTAAATGATTTATACATGATAAAGATAATAATATTCTACAGATACACCAATAATCAACAATATGATTACCTTTATCAGTGTTCCATTTGCTACCAACAGCTTTAATTTTGTTGCCAACAGCTTCTTGAGGTTTGGTGGAGCGGTGTATTTCTCCTATAACGTCAAAGATAAACAAACTCATATTAGTTGAAATGTTTCAGGTAGGTCAGTCATACTAGTTTCAGAGCTGAGATTTAGGTGTTAAAACTTAAAAATTGAAATTGGACAAGAAATAAGGAGAAAAGAAATCCTAAGTTCTACTCCTACTTGAGAACAAGACAGAAGGAAAATCGTTTTCATATATAACCATTACAAGAAGCAAAAGCCTTCAGCAGTTTAATTAAATGGGTATTTTTTCTTCTAGCATATAGAATTTGTGATTGATCCAAGAAAGAAAAGTACCTCTATGTATAAAGCAATTGAAGCTCTGTCAGAACCACTTGGCTCTTTCAAACTAGTGATAGCCTCTAATAAAATATTGTCCAACCTACAAGCATTGAGAGGATATCACTTAAGCATCAATCATCATGCATGTACAAACCAGATTAGTACGGCTCCAAACATGAGTGTTTTGGACTGCAATGACCAGGACGTTGGATAATTTTGGTTTTCATCAGTTGAAAATAAGTGATCTGCAGCCCTATGGCTCTAACAGATATGTGCATTTACAGCTGGCTTGAAATTAATCAATCTTGGAAATAAATAACTTTTGCCTTCTGCTCTTTTCATGCTTTAATATCTGGGCACTCATATACCTAAGTTCAACTAAAACTAATTTCAATATGATATAAGAATATATGTAATAAATAACCTTGAAAATTGGTTTTCTGGAACCAGTTGCCCTTGGTGTTCCACTTTTCATGTTTTACTATCTGGGCACTCAAATGCCCAAGTTCTACTAAAAGTAAGTTCAATATGATATAAGAATATATGTAATAACTAACCTTGAAATTGGTTTTTTGGAACCAGTTGCCCTTGGTGTTCCACTAGAAACTGCAAGGGGCTTAGCATCAACAACTTCTTCTCTTGGGGGTACGGTGATTAGAGCCATGGGGTTATCATCATGTTTAGCGACCAACAGATTTCTTTTAAGAGCAAGCTTGGCCTTTTGCCTTGATCCCCATATGGCTGTTGCATTTATATTTCTCCATTTATCCTGTTCACCGTAAAAACATACGCATTAGTTCACCTTTATGCATGATAGAGCACTGGACCAAAGTAAGCATAAAGCTATGCTTCAATAGTTTAGGATGCAACTAATAAAGGCACTACCAAGGCACACCAATCTCTGGTCATTAAACCACAAAACATTAAAATGCTTATTTCGATGATGATTGGTGAATCCTACTTGAGGCTTAGCTACATACCTTGAGATCCACATTTGAGCGAGAATGCAAGACGGAACTAAACTCAGGATCTGAAAGTATATTGCGCCATTTGCCAGTTCCATGCTTCAAAACTCCTGCCCTGAGGGCAGCTTCTTCTTCTGCTGTCCATTTCTGTTTAGGGGCACCCATCAACAATTCCTGAAACCCCCAATCAAGAAAATATAAACAATTGAATTTTGAAAAGATCAAACACTAATACTAATCAATCCTATATGCTTATGTGTGTATTCATCGAGTTTAGACAACCAACAAAAAGCATCGCAATTGAACAAGAAATAGTTGTTGAAAATGCAAGAAACCATTTGAAAGACCATAATCATGTTAACACAACAACTAGACATTCACAGACAGATTTTGTCGCCACATTTTCAGCTAAATTGATCCGAGGCTCCAATTCTCAACCATTGTGAAATTCTGATGGTGCAAAATCAGAAACAAAAACAGAAAAAATATCCTTAATGCAATTAAGTTTCAGAAATTCAGACAAATTTTTACAAACCCAAACGCACTTTGAAGCATAAAACTCAAACCTCCAACTTCTCTTGACTCAAATTATAAATAAATTTAGACTCAATCCATCAACACAAATAATCACAACTTGGAATTGTAAGTATAACTATGAATCTTTAATTTCCTCAATCCTCTCAAACTACAATGAAAATATATATTCTGAAAATTTTTTTCTCAGCTACAAAACAATATTAACAATGATGAAGCAAGAAGAAATCAGATTAATGCATTTTCATCCAAAGCTTGAACTTTGAAGAAATTTATTTAGGATCGGCTTATCTAGAAAATTCCAAACAAAAAGAAAAAGAAAAAAACTTTGCATTAAGTGATGAATTTTAAAATTATGAACGAATTCTTCGGAGAAATTAAGGATGAAGATTGGAGTACCTGATCGGAGACACGCGCGAAGGGAGGAAGAGAATTCACGTGCGGAGCATCGGAATTTTGTCAAAAATTATTTCTTACAAAACAAGGGAGCAAAAGAAAACATGTTAGGGAGATTGGTTTTTTGTTCTTTACAAATGTAAATTTGGAAATGTTATTTTTTTTATTCATATTTGCTGCTTTATTATTATTATTATTATTATTACATGACATGGATGATGGCAGATGGAACTTGTTGTAAATTTTGAAAATAGCTTGCAGCCCCCTAAGCTTTTTTAAATAAAACTAGGTCCCAAGGTTTAATTGAATTCGAAGTCAATACATCCTTACCAACTATTGTTGCATTGAAGAAAAGGAAAATTAATAGGGGCATCAACATTTAAATTTATAAAAATCATAAGCCAACGAGGAATTGGTTTAATTGATTGAACTCACTTTTCTTGTAATAAAATTTTTGAGTTCGATTCATGAATTACATTTTTAATTTAAAACGATAATGAAATTTAAATATATATTTTTAATTTGAGAATTAAATTTATTTGTCCTTAAAACTTTTTTTAAATAATTTGTAATCATAAAAGCTTATAAATGATAATAATTCTTAGTAAAGCATTATATAACAACTTTGTTATAATAACAATTAATGGGATAATGGTCTAGCACGTAGACTGACTAATAGTAAAAGTGATTACTATTATGGTCCATGAACTAATTTTGCAAGCAACAGTTGACTATGCTTCTTCAAATCATTATTACATTAATAAATGCCAAACTTATAAGATAATTTTATTTAGATTTGATGATTCACATAATTGTATCATATAAATTATTAAAATATATGTAATCATATAATATTTTATATAAAAATTATGTATTATAATTCGTATAAAAAAATAAAATATATTTTTTATTTTATTAAATTTATATAATTATTATTAAAATTTTAAATTATATCACATTTATATTTTTTATATATTATTTATATCATATTACTGTATTGTATTTTAAATTATCAAAATTAAATTTAGCTCTTAATATTAATTATCAAATTATCAAACATCAATGGGTTCTACAAAGAAAAAGAAAAAAATATGGCCAATTTAGTAAAATATAGAAACATGAAGATCAAAACTGTAATTACAAAAAAATGTTTTTTTTTTGCCAGTGAAAATATATATTTTATTCAGTCACCTTTTTTCTCTTAAAAGGATTCGGATTAGAGAAAAGGAAAAAAGAGCACCCGTAAAACGCAGAGATTTTGAGGAAGACGATGGCCGCCACGAACTCTCTGCAAAAAATAACGAGCCAACCTCGAGTGGTTCGAACCACCCTGGGATCTTTGTGGAGAACTTTCTCTTCAGATGCACTGATGGAGGTCAAGCCAGGCGAGGTCGGAATGGTTTCCGGTATCCCTGAAGAACATCTTCGTCGGAGGGTAAATTTCAAATTTTTATCGAGGTGTAGGCAATTTTTGATCGATCGCTTTTTTCCTCTTAACTTTTGAACGAATGTGGAAATATATAATTATTGCGGCGCTTGTTTATTTATTTATTTATTCTTTTTTCACATTCGTCGTAGGTTGTGATATACTCGCCTGCTAGAACTGCAACTCAACAAGGATCTGGGAAAGTTGGAAAATGGAAGATCAATTTTATGTCAACACAAAAGTAAGTTTTTTTTCTATCTTTTTTCCCTTTAACCTGACTTTTCCCTATCTTTTTTGGTTGTAGAAATGGATTTTTTTTTTCAATTTGCCATTTAGCTGTTAGAATGTGATCCTAACTCCTAAGTAATCTCTGCTGATGCTTATAAATGGTAGAAAATCAAAATGGCAGAATTAAGCTATTCCTCTATTCTTCAATTATCTGTTTTTGATTGCAAGTAACCAAATTTGAAGATTCTGAAATTTGGGTAAAACCTGTTCTCTTGAACTTGGGCGTCATTGCCAATTTCTTGGTGTGATCCTAAATTAGGGTTTTCTTTTTGGTCTTGTCATGCGCAGGAAAATCTTAGATTTTTTTTTCTTGTAACCGTGATTTACATAATCAAGATTTGTTTCTTGTCATTGAATAATATGGTGTAGGTGGGAGAATCCATTGATGGGTTGGACATCCACAGGGGACCCTTATGCTAATGTTGGTGATTCCGCACTTAGTTTTGATAGTGAAGGAGCTGCAAAGTCTTTTGCTGAGAAACATGGGTGGGAATATGTGGTATGCTTTATCCTTTATTTTTCACGTTTTAAGTTTTTTTATTGGACTGAAATATTAAACTGTATTCATGGAGTATTATTCCATTTCTCGTTTTGGCTTTAAAATAACAAACTTTGATAATATTTGGTTCTTTTTTAGTCTGAATCATTCTTAGATTTTTTTTTTTTTTGTGTTAGACTAGAATTGTTGTTTTTGGTTTCAGATATACCTAGAGATTCTTGTATTTGTTTCGTATAAAATATTGAAATTCAGTATCATATTTTATACGAAAATTACATGTCATAATTCGTGTCGATATAAAAACATGAAATACATTTTTTTATTTTTATTAAACCCATATATAGTTATTGTTATAATTTTAAGCCATATCACTTTCGTTTTTATTTTCATATCGGGTTCTTGCAGTGTCACCGTATCATATTTTAAATTATAAGATCTAATTACAGATATTTGTTCCCTGTTGTTAGATGGCAAATTCACTCGATTATTTTGTTAAAGTTTTTTTCTTTGTTAATTTGTCCAATTTCCATCTTTCTGAGACACTAATTGTTTGGTGGTACATCTTGAACCCATATACAGGTTAAAAAGCGGCCGACACCAGTTCTGAAGGTTTGGACTCTTCCTTTTGCACTTTTGGCACTAATTCTGCTTCTTTAACATGAGCCTACATGGCAGCAAGTTTGGGAGTGATAACAGTAGTTAATTTAAATCAGGTTAATTCTTTCAGCTAGGCATAAGAACAAAAATCAACTCGAGATTTCTTAAGGCAACTGATCAAACCAACTAGGGCATCATCGGTTTTCAACATTTTGAGCTTAGTGGAATGACTGCCAGTAGGCCCTGCACATTCTTGATCCTTGACTAGACATTTTCGTTGAAATCATTCTTGTTTATGTTGTTATATTTTCTCATGGCCTCTGCTAGAAATTGCATTTCTTACTAGCCCTCTTGCCAAATTGAAATCTTCTAAAAGATGCTATGAAGTTCTACAAGTTGACATTTAGACAAGTTGGGGTTACTTATCTGAGAGAGAGAGAGTACTTGATAACAGCAGAAAGTTACTGTATATGATGATTATATATGCTGCTAGAGTGTCCAAAAATACAGAAGTACGGACGTCACATGCAATACGTTCAAACACCAGTGCTGCTTGAGTTTTATATTATTCATTAAAGTTACAATATCCATGGTAGTATTTCTTACCATGTAAATATATGTGGTCGCAGGTGAAGTCGTATGCAGATAACTTCAAGTGGAAGGGACCTGTTATATCTGAAGACTGATTCTATAATCCTGCAGATCCTGTTGCTTTTTTCTACCATAATTCAAGTTGAGCAACTGAGGTTCAGGTTTTCATTATTACACATTTTTCAAGATTAAAATAAATGTGATCAACAGCGACCAAATTGGTTTAACTTTTTTAACCAGAAAAGAAAGGCTAATTTATTTGTCATACTATTTAATTACGATTCGACCACAAAATGGTTATGGCTACAATAATCAATTAGGAATTCATGACAAAAACCTGATGCAGAGAATCCCCTGATCAGTAGCTTACCAGAGCGATGAGGTTAAAAATCCTCGATGCAGGCCTGGTTAGCTGTGTTGCAAGGTCATTTAAACGCTCTATCAGCAGTAATTCCACTTCGACCTGGTACCAACTCCTTCATGTAATATTTGGATTTACGCGATAGATTAATCTTTTTCCTCCTTTCATACGGTATCATGTCAATATTGCATTCTCTGAAGCCGCGCCGAACGAACCTGTGAGCACCATAAGTGATGAGTATTGGCATAGTTTTGTATACCCGTAACCTGGACATAATAATAAAGGCCATAAATTGAAAGACGAACTCTCTCAAAGTGATAATGGACATAAGTAACCTGGACATATTTTATAAACCATAAGAGATGCAATTGCCTCCTTTTGGAGATCGTATAGAATTCATAAGTAGTGGAGAAAAATACAAACCAATCAGCAGTACGAGTTGTAAGCAGGAAAAGCATACTTAATCCAAGGAAGAAAGCCTTCTTCTCAACGTAATCTGCACAAATTTTGATTGATATCAATTAGAATTATTATTAGGAATGATATGGTTGGTTGCCCACAAACAAATATCCTATAGTAAAATCACATTAAAGTGATGCTCATAAAAACAAAAATCACAATCAGATGCAAATCCAGCATCATTCTATGCTCAGATTGTGGGAACTGAACTTATCAGCAAATCTTTTATATGCAATCCTGCAGCTTAAAAAGGTGCTTTGTTGGAGGTGCATCTCTAAAATTATTATTATTATTATTATTATTATTATTATTATTATTGATGATGTTGTTGTTTTTGTTGTTTCAAATTTGTAAAGATGCTTCCGTAAGATAAAGAACTGAGCTAACAAACCAGAATCAGTAGCAAAGTATGATGATGTCCCATATGACATAAGCAGTGAAGCTACAGATGTTAAACATCATACCAAGCAGTTTATCTCCCTGTCCTTGTCCTCGGCAGTCAGGAGAAACTGCAATACAGGCAACTTCCCCACACTTGTCCTTGAAGAACGGAAAAAGAGCAGCACAAGCAATGATTTGACCTTCCCTTTCCATAACAAGGAATGAATCTATGGCCTTAAGTAGCTGCACAAACAAAAAGCCACAGAAGAATTTAATATTTAGATGTTGGCTCCGGCACAAAAGAATAAAGGGATTTTTTCCAACTACCATTAGTTTAAAGCATCCAAGAACCAGTAGAAAAAATAAACCATGCAAAATAGGACCAAACTTTTATTCTTATTACAACATGCGGATTATTGAAAAAGTATATACATGAACGAGAGAGTTAGATTTGTCAAACAAAAGTCTAAAACAGCAGCACGGACCTCCTCATCACTCCTGCGAACCAATGTGCCGGACTCCTCTAAAGGTTGAATGATTTGCTTGATTCCAGCGAGATCTGTCACCTTAGCCATCCTAGTTCCTTCATATAGATCACTAAATAGCAAGCAACACTGAAGTCAGCAAATTCAATGCAAGAATGCTTAATGACTTAGTAAATCTCACAACAGCATATCATGTAAACTAACAAATGTCAGCCACATGAAGATACTTTGGGATCCCTAATCCTTGGAAAAAGGATATCAGAACAACATATCCGTCCAGTTTGTCTGTTGCCAAATGTAATGAAACTGATCAGTGCTTAATGCATGACCCAGGAATTAACTAGGAAATATCACATGCTACTCCAAAACATTTAAGTTGGAAAAAAAATTGTGAAAATACTAGAAAGTCCTCTAAATTATCAATAAATTCAAACAATATGTACCTATAACTCTTCTGAAAACTTATACTTAGTTGCATATAACATCCATTTTTGGTTTAGCTCTCCACCTGAGGAGCAGAGCCCATTAAAACATCCGAATAGGCTACCGCTCATGCAAAGATTGAGAACTCACAAAGCAAATGCAGATACATGGCAAATTAACTACTATATTTGGTACACAATGCCTAAGGCAAATGCGTATTTTCCCATAATGTTAACCAACAAGTTCACTGCAAACATTAAATACCTGGCCACCATTGTCCCCATTCCGTCTCTTTTGAACAGTTCCAATAATAAGACCCCACCAATAGTCCCATCTAACAAATGAACTCTTTGTACACCACCCTGGCAATGAAAGCAGAAAATACAATTGGCATATTGTTTTTGCTTGGCAAAGCAATTGCTTTTGCATGGGAAAGCATCTAAATTTAGTAAGCTGGCAGACAAACTATTTGAACTTACTCTGCAGACAAAAGCTGCTGCAGCCAACTCTGAAAGGTAACCATTTTGTTGACTTAGCCGCTCCTGACCTCCAATAGCAAAGCCCTGTTTTCCAGACCATAGTCCATTGCCATTATCAAAACCAATGCCATTCTGAAAGATTGGATTACATGTATTACTAAGAGCTTTCCCATTCTGTGAAGTGTGTACAACTGCAATAGAATCACTATTTCCAATGCAAGTGAGATCTTCTTCACCAACAACTTTCACATATTTAGCCGCTATCTCACTTTGCTTGGCCCGTTGACGGATTAACATATCTGCCTCTTGAAGAGGCAAGAAATTAATAAGTCGTCCATTCTCATCCAAAATCGGACCATCTATTATGCAAATAAGCTTATCTGCTCCAATAGCTAATGCACAAGCCGTAGCAACTTCATATGTGCTGAAATGTATGAAACATAAAGCATTAGCAATCAGGCTTTGAATCATTGGAAAGTAAAACAAAACTTTTTAGCCAAGTCAAGGTGCACCATAAAGCAAACATATTTAGTTAAATTAGAACTAGTTTACAAAATAGAAACACACATGCAACAAATTCAAGAACTGCTCATGCTGAGATATTTCGTATGTTCAACCCCACAAGGAATTGTAACTTCCAGAGTTGGGTTTCTTTTCCGGTATGATTGGTGTCTTGTAATCCTTCAAAGGCACCTACTGAGACAGCAAATTAAATGATCCCTTTGTATATGACAAAAACAACTTGGATAAAATAAATGAAGATAGAAATAGTAAAAGGGGAAAATATGGGTTTTCTCAATGCTGATGACCTGCCTAATAAATAGTAGGTACTAAAAAAATTGCAGAATGTGATTTATTGCCCCCCCAAAAAGTTGATTTGGAGTGATAAATCAAGGAATTTTAGTTCATTGGATAATATATAAGAGCAAGCTGCAACCAAATACCATTAAAAGTTACACAGCATACTTGCAATTCAAAACTTCTCCAGAGCTAGAATACCCCAGGTTGCTTAATATTACTATACAACCACCATCAAGCCTCTCACGCATGCGAGCAACATCTATTTTCTTTACTTCACCTGTTGCTCCATAATCAACACCTTCGACAACTCCTCTTCTCTGCAAAAGGATTTAACAAGATTGACAAAGGGCACGTAGCAAAAACATGCTTTGCAGGCAACCCATCACTTTACATGTACATGCATATATGACATAAAAGAAATATATTCACTCTCCTCAATTTACAAGGATATAGTCATTGTCTCAAAGAGAATAATATTAATGCACATACAAGCACAACCCAAATCCAAATGTTATTTTCCAAACAGAAGCATTCTAACCTTGGCTGCAAGGAAGTTACCACTAGCAACGCTGACACCAACGTCGTGCCAACGGCTACTATCACCATGTCGACGAATATTACATATGGAAGGTCCAGGAGAAAGTTTTGCCTCTATCATTAGACGAATCCCTCCTGCCGCTTCCATTGCAGCAGCCAGAGATTCCGAGTCCGTTATTCTATATCTACCATCATACTTTGGTTCATGCCCTGCAAATTTTCATAGATCATGCAAACAAAAAGTTTAATCACAGTTTAAGTGAAACAAACAATGAATTATCTAACCAAAACATGCGCTAAAATTAGAAAAGATGTTTCTAAATATGGCCAAAGCTTTAAAATTGAATAGGATTGTAATTACAATAAAGACAAATAATACTACAAGATATTATAAAAAAAATCCAAGTAAGAACATGAAACGGTGTCGTTTTTTGTTTGGCCCACCTTTCTCGACCAAAAGCTTGTCGATTTGCACGTGAGTTCCAGGAACAATAACAAATCTGATCCCTAGGTGGTGCAAAAACGCAATATCCTGCAAATTGAAAAAAAAAATAAAACCTTGACCATAAAAAAATCCAGAAGCTTTTAAATTTTGTCTTTGCATTCAAAATGGCGTCCAAAAAGGGGGAAGCAACGATTTCGCCGGAAATAATAACAACGAAAGTACTGCCACGGTGTGCCCAGAGGTAATGCCAAGCCTCACGGAACCACCGCACAAACTGCTTATCGTCAAGGGAGTTATAAGTCCCCTCCACGCTATCTTCTTCGTTAATCACATTGCGCTTAAACGAATCACCTCGCTTGCACACGGTTTCGGGTTTAAGAAAATGAGTCCTGAACTTCAGCTCTGTTTTTAGTCTTAGGACGTCGTTTTCGAAGGCGTGGCGGCATGAAAAAAGTTTGGCTTGGGCGAGAGAGAAGAGAGGGACGCGAGCCGTTGAGCATGAAGCGGCCATCGTGGCAACCCTGAATAGTTTGGTTAGAGCGTGGAACGGTGGAAGTAGCAAGCCTTTTTCGTCTTACATTTCAGAAAATGAGAAAAACAGTGTCTGGTTATGACACGTGCCTTCTTTAGTTGCAGAGGGAGCAAAGGAGAAGCCACCCCGCCGAGCGGTTATCGATAAAAGGTTAATACGGCGTTTTTTTTTTTTTTTTTTTGGAGTATTCTTAAGAAAAAAATTACATATGGCAAAGTGGGGAAAAATAAGTACTAGTACATGAAATTTGTTTTGAATGGGATGAAATCACATAATTAATAGTCGATTATTTTTTAATTAATTAGTATATTATTAAAGTTAACATTTAAAAATTACGAATTTAAAAAAAATTTATAAATGTAATATTTTTTAATTAAATAAATAATATAAAATTTTTAAAAATAAATTAAAATTTAATAAAAAATCTGATAATTACTCATGATAAAAAAAAAAAAACATTCCGAAGATCGAAAAACCAATATTTTACCTAAGTAAAAATAAATTTTCTTATTCCTATTAAAAACCTAAAGTAATTTTTTTATAAAAAAATTAAATTTATTTAAAAAGAATTGATCTAAATTGTTAATGTTTCATTTGAGTTAATGAAAAGTTTAAAAATTTGGTTGGTTAATGGGAAGAAATTTTCAACTCATCGTCATCTCGTCCTGTCATATGATTTTATTATTAGACTTAATTAAAAAAAATCTAAATAAAACATAAAATAAAGTAATTTTTAAGATTAAATTCATTCATGTAATTTAATATTTTCAGCTAATTTTCAGCGAGAGAGAGAGAGAGAGAGAGAGGAGACCTTGAGTATGGTATCCAGATATGGACTAGCAACAAATTCTCCTGATAACAGCAAAACAAATGTGCTTCCTCGATGCAAATAAACATAGGACTGAGCTTCCCTGAGCACTTCCACAAACCTCAACTCTTCCTCCGTAATATCATAGAACTTCCCGCAGCAGCCATTGTTATTAGTATTATTATGCTTTTTCCACTCACACCCTTTAACCACCGATCTTCTCATTTCCTTCCTCACCAATATTCCTCTCCAACCATGATCAAACATACTCCTTTGGAAACTCAATTTATTATTGCTTCGACATGAACTGCAAAATTTCCCATAGTTTGCTTGGGAATTCATCCGTGCAGGACTTACTTTAACAGCAGTTGCCATGTATCAGCTGAGAGAAAAACCAGGAAATGCGGCTGAACGCTGGAGTGAAGAGGTGGAACGATAGGGAAAGGGAAGGGTTGAAAAAAGAAGAAGACGACAAGCTAACTGACCTGGGAATTTGAAGCACATGGTGGTGGCCCCATGGCTTTTGCTGTTTTTCTAGTAATCAGGCTTTTAATTTCTCTGGTTGATAAAATGTCAAAGGAATCAACAGATTATATACATGATATTGGGAAACAAAAGATTTTTTATTGAAAGTTCTGAGAAGAAAAGAATGTGTATAATACATGCATTATTGTAAGTAGTATATATTCAGTTATAACATGATCAAATCTCAATCCGAATATCCCATTCCTTGTTTTATTTTTTTATTTTTATCTTCTGGAATATGCTTTACTTTTCTTACAATGTAAAATTGTTCATAATTTAACTAATTAAAAACAATTTTCAAATCATTTCGTATATGCTGGAATTTTTTGCTTTGCACTGGGGCTGTTTTCTGGGAAAATTCAAATGCATCAGTCTTGTTTTCAGGGAAGTTTCTGGTTCAGCTGAAATATGTACGGGATTAATGCAAAATTTTCAATTACTTACTTTTTTTTTTTGTGGTAAAAAGTAGTACTAGTAAATATTTGAATACAAATAAAAAATTTTTTTAAAAAAATTAAATAATATATAAATTTCATTTTAATAAAAATAATTCTCCTACATACCTGTAATGTATAATTATATTTTTTATATTTGAAATTATTAAGATTTGATTTTTAATTATTGATATTAAGAGTTTAATATTTTATTAATAGATCATATGATTGATATATTTTTTTCCATCCCATTTTTTTATTTTTTGATATTAAGAATTATGAAATTTTAATTTTATAAAAAATTTTAAATTTTAATATTAATTAAGTATATTAAAATCAAAATTTATTTCTTAAGCTACATAAAAGTCAATAACATTTAAATAATTTGGAACTTAAAAAATATTAATTTTTGATTATTTGTTAATATTCATTCGGAATATATTCTGATTTGATTTCTTATGCTCTTTAACCTTATATATAACTAGCTCCAAGAAAATTAGAAAAGTTTATGATTAAAAGGTAAAACTTATTTCTATCACACAAGTGGAATCCAAAAGATCAAGTTTGGACCATTGAGGACAATTGTATTCTGTTCTGCTGCAACAGAAACGAAATAACGGCAAAAAAAAAAAAAAAGTTATAGAAACAGCCAGTACTCAGCTCTACTTCCCCTAACGTCAAAAAGCATCCGAATAAAATTAGTACGGTGAAGAAATGGTGACAAAAAGAAAAAGAGCATTATTCTCAATTATTTCGGCAAAGATTCTTAGGGCATCTAGGCATGTTTCTTCTTTTATCCATTTCGGACAACTTCAAGAAACCACTCAAATTTTTTTTTTATTTGTGAAGACTTTTTTTAATTAAAAGAATACTAAGATGCTAATTGCTTGATTAATACTTGACATTTGTGAAGCAATTAGCACCAAATTGCCAAACAATTAATATGCTTTTAAGAAAGTTTAATCTCAAGTAGCAAGAGAGTTTATTTCGATATTAACTACCTTCATTCCAATTCATTAAAAGATTAGGAAAGATAATTTTATATTAAATTGCTAAGGTGGATATAAATAAATTTATTTATATTGATATGAAAAAGTTATGTATAAAAGAACTTAAAAACCTTTTATTGCAAAAGAAAAATTTATACAAAATTTTTAAATGAAATCTGTGAAGTTTTTCGTTAAAAATGATCTAATAAAAATTTTAACAAAAAATTTAAATAAAAATATTAATTGATATGTAAAAAAAAATTATTGAAAACATTTTTAGAATTAAAATTTGATTCGTATTTATTCAACAATAAAAATTTTATCAAAATTTTAACTAAAAATATTTATCTATAAAATTTATTAAAATTTTTTCGAAAGTTGAACACTTGATCTATGTAATAAAATCTTTCAATCTATCTATTTTAATTTTTCATTTTAGTTTTTATTTAATCAATTTTAATATAAAATTTCATGAATTTCACCTAAAAAATTTCCCCTAAATTTTTCCCAAGGTGACACTCTACCGCTGAGTTATCCCCCCCCCCCCCCATCAAGATCTACCGCTGAGTTATACCCCCCATCAAGAAATAGAACTGACTAATCCTAAGGCAAAGGATCGAGAAACTCAACAACGCCACTATTCTTGAACAACTTGGAGCCAGGCTTTCCTTTCGCACTATTACGGATACGAAAATAATGGAAAAAGTTGGATTCAATTGTCAACTGCTCCTATCGGAAATAGGATTGACTACGGATTCGAGCCATATACACATGGTTTCATAAAACCGTACGATTCTCCCGATCTAAATCAAGCAGGTTTTACATGAAGAAGGTTTGCCTCAGCATGTTCTATTCGATGCTCAACTAAAAATAGTAAATGAATAGCATGGAAAGGAACCTGTTAAGAAGTGGAAGTGGAAGAGAATAATAGAAACAAACCTAAAGCACAAGTGAGAAGATGAGAAGATGTGCCCTTCTCTTCCACTTCTCAGAAACAACAATCTAGATTTTTTCTTCACACGTAGAATAAAATTCATTCATGAATTACAAAAGGAACTGAGCCTCGAAATATGCTACATCCATGTTATACATTCAAAACCAAATAAAAAAAAATCCATACACATTAGATGAAAATCGAGTAGTTTATGGATATAAATCTACCATGTTATACATTCAAAACCAAATAAAAAAAAATCCATACACATTAGATAAAAGTAATTAATTAATTTCCCTTAATTGGAGTTAAGGATGATCGACAGTTGACAAATGACCAAGCTGATCACTTCATTCTCCTTAGAAGCAAGCATCCAGAAGGCAACAACAACAGAGTGCTGCTAAGCTGCAGAAGAAACAACACCAAAATCAAGTCAATTTTACAGCTTTTTGCAACAAATATTAGTCATGATTACTTGCAAGAATTAGTTCTTCATGAATTAAATGTAACCAAACCAGTCATATACCAATGAGTGATATTGAGAATTTGATAATCCTGATGTAGGAAACCAAAAGTTAGAGACCCTATCATTTGATTCTAACTCTTCAAATTGGAATAGGATGCATATCATGCAATGCATGGCTGAAAAGAACTGAACTTTTCATGAATGAAGGAAAGAATTGAAGTCTACAATTTTCAATTGGAAAAAGAAAAAGTTTGGTTTAGATTTAGACAAAATCAACCATCAGACAAGCCCTGGAAAACCATATTCTCTCTGGAAGATCAACATATAATCAATAGTCTATATGCAGATTGGAGAGTAAAATTATGTTAACCCGACATGGAACTAATTAACAAGTAACATCAATACTAGTTCTGATCGAATGCTTGAAAGAGATAAAAAGAGAAAGAGAAAGATTTTTTACCATCCTTCAAGAAAACTGGTATCCTGCTGCTGTCTAGGAGGAGGAGCTACGTACTGTGGAGGCGGGTAGCCATAAGCTTCAGCTGGGTACCCTGGCGGTGGATATGCATCCTTTGGAGGATACCCTGCAAATCCATAATAATAACATTAAAAAAATCCCATGAAAAACAAAAAGAGATTGTCAATCTTCCAAAAGAAAACCAAATATAACAGACCTTTTCAAAATCAGAGTTAAAGAACGAATACCTTGAGGAGGAGGAACACCAACAGGAGGTTGCTGCTGATTGTAGTAACTCATCTTTGCCTTCTTCTTCTTTAAAGTCTTTCTCTCTTAAAATATTTCTTGGTCTTGAGAATTTTCTTTTTGGTGTCTTCTGAACAAAGAAAAACAAAACTTCGATCAAAGCACAAAAACAAACCCTGGGTTATTGAGAATCGGGGGTAACAAAAGCTAAGCCTGAGGAAGCTTGGAAGAAGTTTGTATAGATGCTAAACCGACTCTTCACTCTTCAAGGGACGAATAGCTTTTTATGATAATGAAGAAAAGAAAAAGACGATCCCCAATCCATTATGTAAAGGAATTGGAATCTTTAACAGTTCAATGTATAGTTGAACACTTGAACTGTTGAAGCGTGGTTTCCAGTTTCACCTAGAAGTTGTTCTATAGAGTGGAACCCTATTCGGGTAGTTGCTTTAACTGAAGCCAAAGCTTCTTTTTGTTTATAAATAATAATAAAAAAGGAGTTTATATTTAAGTGTACGACTTTATTAACAATAAATATATAAAAATTAATATTTTTTAAAAATTTTACTCCATTTGATTCACTTTATCGATACTATTATTTTTCTTTTCAGTTCAATTGATACCATTACTATTGCTTTGCAGTCCAGCAAAGCAGAGCAGAGGGTACATTGCCTCCATCCAAAAACCAAAAGCATTGTGAAATCATATACTATGCATTTTACATCATGATCATTAGGTAAAGTTTATCCCTTTGCATGATTTGATGTGAAATGTTCGTTTTGGCTTTATATTTTAAATACATGCATCTTATTTCTCTTTTAACTTTAATAAGTTAATTTCATTTTCACTTTTGTTAAACACACAAAAGATTTGCAATTTCCTCTTCCAAGTTTTCTTCAGACATTTTTTTCAACAAAAAAAAATTCATCTAATAATTTGGTCGAAACCTTAATCATACTTGAAAAACTAAAAAAAAAAAAATCCTGGCAATAAAACCCAAATTGAATTTTCCTTTGTTTGCTACCCTTCCTTTCTGCTGGTAAAAACTTCTTTTACTGTTTCCTGTTTTTTCCTCCTAAAATCTTGAAGTGATTTATTTTCTCTACTTTGGAGGCACTTTTTTCACTTTCAATTTCTTGGTTTCAAACTTTCTTTCGCTCGATAATCGACTGTTGAGTTTGAAACTTAGCTCACCCTCTCCCTGTTTATCCAGCCAACTGTACGTAAATCGTCAAACATGTGAATGTAATTTCTTAACTCAAATAAAAAAAAGGATCACAAATATAAATGATATATTGATACTCATAAATTATTTAAATTTAATTTAAATAAAATTTAAATTTGATTCGATTCGATTATTATCGAATAATTTAATTTATAGATCAAATCAAATTTAAATATTTTTATATTTAATTTAAATAATTCGTAAATCTAATTAAATATTTTTATTTTAATATATTTTTATTATTTTAATTAATAAAATTTTTAAAATTCAATCTCAAACTCTAACGTAAATACTCGAACTTTTATCAAATAAAAAAATTAAATTATTTTACGTATTAATAAAATTTAATCGAACAAATTCAAATAATTTAATTTTTATTTCAAATCGAATTTAAACTAAAAATAAATAAAATTTAATTATGTTTAAATCAAATTTTAAATCTCAAATTTTAAACCAAATTCAAATGTAAACTTAATACTGTATCGATCTGAATTAATTACACCCTATCCTCAGCCAATACGTCAAAGCTCAATGAAATCAGTTTTGTTTCGTAATGACGTAATGACGTTCTTTGGAAAGTCACCAAAGAGCCTTTTCCTTTTTCTCTTTTGGCGAAAAACGCTGCTATTCTTTCGTATAAAATAGATTTAACAATAAGGCTCCCTAGCTAGTGTCATCACCCTTGTATTGAGTTTCATCACATGACATGAGAGAGAGAGAGAGACCTTCCCTGAGTTGAAGGATAATAAAGAACTTGTTAGTCCCTAGATCTGACAGAAGACTTTTTACATGAATTCTACTTTATATAGTACAAGTGCACAACATTGGCAGCATTCTCATTCATTCCAGTACTCGGGCTAATCGAACCTTGGAATGCCCTTAGAACGCCGGATGTTAGTTTTGAGTTTGCCAGCATCTTTCAATTGCAATGCCTGGAATCTACAATTGATAATTAGCTACTTAAGACCAAAGGAACCATCGATGACGACGGACAGAAGCACCCGCAGAACTATTTCTGGGTGTTACAGTGATCCTCTCAGCATTAGCTGCAGCCCATTTTCTGAAATCAGGTGAAGAAACAAGCTCTTCAACAGCCCTTTTTGTGGAGTCTCTAGTGAACTTCTCCCACTTACCTTCAGAAAATTTTCTCCTCTCTGGAGTGTTGTGAAAGGTGGAAGGATAAGAGTCCATATGTGACAGCTGACTAGAAGACATGCCGGTAATACCTGAAGGAATGGAAGCAAAGAATACATAAAGATATTTTCTGACATGGTCAATAGACAAAAGACCAAACTTTTCTTAGTCTATGTCTAAACAAAAGGATCATCAACTAAACCTTGCACAGGAGTATTGCAAGAAGCCAGGGGAAAGTGTTTAGACCGTTGCTTAAGAAAATTATAGTCTTCAGGCCTCTTGTAGATATGTTCATCATGAGAATATTTATCTGGTGATAAATCAAGAATTTGAGTATTTCTTCCAATGACTTTGACTAATTTGAACAACTTCCTGCAGAAGTAATCCACATAATGTTATGCAATGAAATCTAATAGCAATGCAAGACGAACAAGTACAAAAGATGAAATCCAAACATAGTTTTTATAATGATAGAAATGATTGAGCCCAATGAAGGTAAAGAAAGAAAAAGGCGTACTTGTAAACCCGGCGCAGAAATCTAAATCTAGTGACTTTACGCAAAACTGATGAGAGCATCATTCCAGATAATAATGCCTCTCCTGCAAGGAGGAGATCCTCAGAACTCTGCAATCATAGAGTAAGTTACATTTAAAAAAAAAAATGAAACTACAATTAACCATTGGTGAGAACAATTTAATTGAATAAAAGAAAATTTCAGAGATTTGGTAAAGTGGAAAAAACCTGAAGGATCATAATACCAGCAAACAACCTGATGGACCAAGCAACAAAGTGAGATGTGCTTACGTCAATTGATCCATCTTCTGTCAGGACAAGTTTGCGGACAACCCAGAATCCCAACCAAGCTCCAGCAAGAACAACAAAACCCAGAAGAAATATAGCCAACTAAAATTTAAATATAGAAAACAATTCAGTTTATTATAAGAAATCATTTGCAAATCTTATCACCAGTAACCACATACAACAATACAAGTTTAAACCACAGAACCATAAAAACTACATGTCACATGTAACATCTAACTGTAACCAATTCCAAGTTAAAACAAAACAAAAAAATAATGCCTATTGTAATCTGGGAACCACATGAAATATAGAGTATAAGTAGAAACTCTAGTCTAAAAACGAAGAAATCAGAAATCCACAAAGTTCCTGCTCCAGCTAGAATAAAGGCATAAATCTAAGGAATCTTGCAAATCAAGTATTCAATTCTGAATTTTTGCATTTTTTAAGGAGGAAAAAGTAACCCAAAGATTATTTTGCTATTTTGAACAACTATATGCAAAGAGAAAATATTGACAATGATTGGAAGGGGGGAAAAATAGGAGAGAGCAGGTAGAGTTCAAATAATTTACTCAAGTATTAAAACTTACGCACCATAATCTTCTAGAAACAGGAAGAATTCAATATAACAGAACCCTTATCATAACCTTAGCAATTCTACACTTGACTTTACCATTTCGTTTAAGCAATAATATCATATGAACAATAGTTTTGATTTGAAGGCCAAAATCATGAGATCTGTTAAGTCAGCTTCCAAGTTCCATCATCCATGGTTCACTTGTTACCTATTGAAATTTACAGTGTCTCTCATCAAACATGAACATAGTATTTGATAACAATGAAAGCTCAAACATTCTAGAGAGACATTGTTAGCTCTGCATCATAGAGAGACATGAAGCAAGTGACCAAAATATTTATAGGATAACTTACTTACAGGATTATACATGTCTTCACTGATTCCCATCTCTGAAAGTATTGAATGCAACAATCTTGGCAAATAGTGGAGAAGAAAAGATCCCAACCCAACCTAAAATGATGACAAAATTATGTGTGAGAAGAATTTAAAGATAACATAGGCACACACATACTCATGCACATGCAGATATACATACAGAAACTAAAAAAAAGCAACAGAAAAAGGACACGGCAAATACACAGTTTATACCCACCATAGATGAATATATAAAAATTGCAAGTGAGCTCTTCCGACCAGTTGGAAGAAGCTTCATTCCCTGTCAAATATAAGAATATTAAGCTTATCAGAGATTGATAGCACAACAGATAAAATAATTGAGTGCAAGTTGAAGAAGTTTCAAGTAATTTATCAATAACGTTATTGACCTGAAACAGGACTATCAACACCACAAGGATGACACCAACTGCCATGGCACTACCATAGTAAAATACTAAGGACTGGCTTAGAGCAGGAGCCAAGCTCAACAACACAATGCCTGATATTAAAAATATTATGTGATATAGGAAAAATTCTGCAAAGACAAAAAAAAGAAAAAAGGAAAATAAACAAAAGAAGAGGATAGATGAGCAAGTTTCAATTGTCGGACATAAAGCAAGAGGGACAGAAGGATCAAAAACTCACCCTCTTCAATGGACACCTCAAGGGTCTGTGTAGATGAACTGGTTATCCGTATATCCAAGAGCTTGTGATCAAAAGTAGACATGGATTTAACCCATAAACCCTTCGAAAGCTTCTCCCACTTGCCTTGAGGGCACATCCCAATCCCAAGTGAAGCATTCCTGCAAAACAAAAATAGTAGTCTTAAGCCAAAATTGCTTTACAATTGGAAAAAAGAGTTCAAATTTGGTTTGTTTTCAGTCCAAAGAAGCCTTCTAAGCCTGTCTTTTAATGAACTCATCATAATTCAACAACTTACCTATGGAAGCAAACTTCAACATTCAGCCTGCGTAGGGTGGAATTCCCTTGTGAAACCTTCACCTTTACTGAATGAGCAAACTTCTTGAGATTCCTAAACCTAGACAAACCATCAATGTGAACTCTTTCACAAATAGCTCTAGTTCCTGGCTTTAAACCAGGGGACTCCTCCACTTGCAAGGCAGGAGTTAACAGCAGTGTCTTATTAAACTCCCCAACAACTGAAAAAATAATAGAATAATAGAAAATAATCAAAATTTAATATTTTTCCATTATTAAGACATTACTATCAGCAATTGAAAAAAGCCAAACTAAACTGACAAGATATTTGAACGTTTGATTTATAATTCCTTTAATTTTATCAAAATTTAAAATTTTAATTTCTAAATGGGAAAAAAAAAACCCTAATTCTTAGAATTTACAGCGATAACATAAACATATCAAAAAGAAAGAAGAAAAAGAAGGGAGAGGGAGTACCCAAAGAAAGTTCGTTGGCAAAGGAAAGGGGAGAAAACGTTGAAAAGGCGACGAAGATTAGACATAGAAGCAAAGCGGAGCTCCGCACCCGTTTCCCGGTAACCATTGTTCTTCCGGGGTCGGGCGATTGAAGGAAAGCCACGGTTTTGAAAATACGAGTTTTTATGGAGGGCAATTCTGCTATTTCGGGGAATATATATACCTTTGGGCTGGCGGAAGCGGATCCACCGACCTTCCAATGACGGTTGAAAGTTGGGCTTATCTGGGCCCATCTGAGCCCAAACACACAATCTCCAAAAATATTAATTAAAAAAAAAAGGAAAAATCAAGAGCGCAATTGCGCAAAGCAATCGCCTCTCTATCCGTACTCTCTCGCTTCTGCCTGCCGATCGCTTCCACCGTTGAGCTTCCAAAGTCAGCGCCCCCACCAAAACCGCCGTCGCCACTTTCCACTGTCTTCATCGCGGTTCAGGTACTTTCTAGACTACCTCTTTCTACTTTTGTCCTTCTTTCAAACATTTTTCTCTCTTTTTTTTTTATAATTTACTTATTATAGTTGGTTTATATCAATTAAAATGATTTTAATTTAATAATTTGAATAGGAAATGCAGGAAAAAATAAAAAAAAAATTTGAAACTTTATTGAAATAATTTGATATATGAATTTATATTTTATCTGAGTTAGTATGGTTAATAGTAATTGAATGAATTTTTTAAATTTTCTTATAATAAATAGTATATTAAGTAAGAAATATCTGCTAAAGTTCATGTATTTGTCTTTGATGTGTTTCTTGAATTGCGTTTGATGGCTTCCACTATACCTGTGAATTCATATTAGAAGACTGTTAGTCATATTTTGATGCAGCATTCTTGTCTTTGTTTCTTAACCTCACTTGCATTAGGAATCAAGGAAATAGACTGCAAATTCAAAGGCTGTGAATAGTTACAGGACTCGGTGCAAAGTATACGATGGCACACAGATTGTTAAGAGATCATGAGGCAGATGGTTGGGAACGCTCCGACTTCCCTATCATTTGTGAGTCATGCCTCGGTGACAATCCATATGTCCGAATGGTATTAATCCTTATCTTTTTAATACTCTCTCTCTCACTCTCTCTCCAGCCACCATTGGGGCTTTTGCAATTGTATTTTTATATGGAAACTGTAAAGCCAAGTGTTCTGTAACTAACTTATAAGTTGATTTATTAATATGGTTTTATTAAAGATTTTACCTTTTACATATGTCTTCGGTTTGGCTTTTATGCATATCTAAAATTTCCCAACCTGCATATGTTCACTGTCACATTGGTTAAAATAACACAAATCAGCATCTTCATAAGTGGCAAGAGCTTTACGAAGATTAAGTCATTTAGACAATGGTTCTAAACCTATAGATTCACCATATGATCTTCTGATAATTTAATTTTGCTTTTGCTCATTCAATAATGAAAATTTCTGTCTTAATCTCATGGATTGTACACTTTGCACTACAGACTAAAGCAGATTATGATAAGGAGTGCAAGATTTGTACGAGGCCATTTACAGTCTTTAGGTGGAGGCCTGGTCGTGAGTCAAGGTATAAGAAAACTGAGGTTTGTCAGACATGCAGTAAGTTGAAAAATGTTTGTCAAGTCTGCCTTTTAGATCTTGAATACGGATTGCCAGTTCAAGTTCGGGATACTGCTCTTAGTATAAATTCCAATGATGCCATTCCGAAGAGTGATGTGAATAAAGAGTATTTTGCTGAGGAGCATGATCGCAGGGTATGTATCTTCATGCTTAACAGCTATCTTTTAGTATCACTTTATGAAGAAAGTGAAGCTGTTTAAACTGTCATCTTATATAAGATTTTTCAAGTAACTTCCAGGTGAACTGTTTACTTCATAGAATGCAATCCATTTAGTTATCATTGCAATAGCTTGAGCATGTAGCATTGACATTGCAAACTTGGTGTAAAGATTCTTTGCATTTCTATCATGCGTTATTAGAGATTTGCACACTGAAAGCTGAAATTTTTGCTTTCTTATGTTCATGTCAGTCAAACCTATGTAAGTGCTTATTTACATTTTTTCGGTTGACATGTGGATTTTGGCATATAGTTTTTCATTGATGCTATAATTTTAGCATGTAGGTATTTCAAGTTGCATTACCCCTATCTCTTTTCCTTTTCCACTTAGTAGCCTGCAATTAATTGGTGCTGAGAGTTTGAGTTTGGCATCTTCACTGCTTCTGCATTTGGATTTGTGGTATTTTTGGTTGTCACTTACTATCAGCCGTCGATGAAAATAAATTGTTATAATGTTTATGATCATATATTATAGCTTTCCTTTTCAGGGTTTTGTTTTTTTATAGTTGCTGTTTGTAGGCATAGAGTTCTGAAAGAAACTGTAAGATATGGTAATGAACACTGGAATTGTTTTGGTGTACTGTTATTTTATAATTACTGTTCCATATTCAGTAAATCTCTGGTGTTCACCTTCTCTCTGACTCATCTTTTCTTTTCTATACATGGATATGTTAAAACTCTATTGATGTGGGAATCTTTATGCAGAATTAAACTTTTTATTGCAGTGTGAATGAGATGGAGTTCAATGGTTTTCAATGTGCCTAATTTATTTGTTTTAGATGGCTATGGTCTCCTATTCCCTTTTGTGTTTTTCTCTTTTGCTTATTTAAGTGAATTTGTGGTTTGCAGGCCAGAGCTGGTTTAGATTATGAATCCTCATATGGGAAGGTACGGCCAAATGACACTATTCTGAAGCTTCAGAGAACAACACCATACTACAAAAGAAACCGAGCACATATTTGCAGTTTCTACGTGCGGGGTGAATGTACAAGAGGTGCTGAGTGCCCTTACAGGCATGAGATGCCAGTAACGGGGGAGTTGTCCCAGCAAAATATAAAAGACCGTTACTATGGGTAAGTGCAATTTTTGTTGATATTTTGCCAACTATAAAAGTTTTAATAGAACTTTGTTCTAAGCTTGGTAATCTTTTCTTCATTGATGATGTGGCATATGTTAGCATGATAATCTTTACTTCATTGATAATGTGGCATATATCTTACGAGAGAATTAATATGTGACTAAACTAAAGACTTATCATATACGAAAAGAGGGCCTGGCTATCTTATTATGAGTAGTGACTTTTCTGCTCAGTTATGAGTAGCTCCTCATTAGTGATTAATACATCAAAGGAAAGCCTTCACTCCTACTCATTGCTTCATGTCATACCCCGCCTGAGAATGTTTTCATGATTTCTTCATTCTACACTTGATAAATGTGGTCAAGGATGGTTATTGATTGGAAGATACTTTATTCGAGTAGTAATTAGGTATTAACTCCTAACAAATATTACTTTCTTATTTGGTCACAGTGTTCGAGTGGTCATGTCATGAACATCATTTTTCCAAGTCTTTTAACAACACGTCTTTGGAAGTGATGGAGACATTTTCATACCCATGAACTATTCTGTCTTTCTGTGTGTGGTGTGGGTGTGTGTGTGTGTGTGTGTTTTTTAGCATTTTAATATTCATCTTTAGTTATGAATCATAATACTGCAATACATTGACAAACTTAATATTTATTTCAACAAACCTACTGCTCACGTAAGCAGATTGATGCTTTTCATGCTGACACTTTCTAATATTGTGATACTTTTTGTCGCTACTTTTCCCCCTAAATATCTGCAGAGTGAATGATCCAGTGGCACTAAAGCTACTTAACAAGGCTGGTGAAATGCCTTCTTTGGAAGCTCCTGAGGATGAAAGCATTAAAACCCTTTATGTGGGTGGACTTGATAAAAGGGTTACTGAGCAAGATTTAAGGGATAACTTTTATGCCCATGGTGAAATTGAATCGATAAAGATGGTGCTTGACAAGGCATGTGCCTTTGTAACGTACACAACCAGAGAAGGAGCTGAGAAGGCTGCAGAAGAACTTTCTAACAAGCTAGTCATAAAGGGTCTCAGGCTGAAGCTAATGTGGGGTAAGCCCCAGGCACCAAGACCTGAGTCAGAAACCTCTGAGGGAGCCAGGCAGCAGGCAGCAGTGGCTCATAGTGGAATGTTGCCCCGGTCAGTAATATCTCAGCAGCAGAATCAATTCCAGCCATCTGGGTCTGGTGTGCAGGGCCAACCCCCACCTATGCAGTATTTTAATATCCCACCTCCACCTCAGCTGGATAGAGCCTTCTATCCATCAATGGATCCTCAAAGGATGGGTGCCCTGGTTCCATCTCATGATGGGGAGAATAAATCTGGATCAGAAAAACAACAAGGGCAACATTATCCTTCTCAAGCTATGCCGCCACCACCACCGCCACATGGGCAATATCCTCATCAGCATTATCCACCGTATGGGTACATGCAACCAATGCCACCTTATCAGCAGTATCCACCATATCATTCAGCAATACCTCCACCCCAACATTATCAGCATTCTGGGCCAGCAAGGCCGCCGCCTCCTGTGAATGCACCTTCAGCAAGCACTACACCAGCGTCTGCTTCATCAGGTTCTGCACCTCCTATTCCAGGGCTATCTGCTGCATCCGGTTCATCTCATCAGTGAAGGTTTCCCATAGTGCTGTTTTTGCTTATGTAAGAATTGAACTTGTTACCAATAAAAATTATTTTTCTTTGAGTTCAGAATCTTCTTTGCTTTATCTTTAGCAATCAATTTGCTTTTCCTGTGAGTTACACTTGCCTTCATCAATTATGATTGGGGAATCGTTTAGGGCTTCTTGAGATGATCTGTTCGACAAAGGAAACAGCAGATAAAACTAGTTAAAAATTTTTTGGAATATTTGTAGAAATCATTGGTTTTAATTAATCTTGGTGTGTTTGATTTGCAGACTTTGAGATTTTCCTTATGATAATTTTTTGTAATTTGATTGTCACATTTGGTTAACAGAATATGATATTTAAAATTTTTTTTAAAATTACCAATAGTATCGGGTAAAGAAAATATAGTTTAAAATAAAAAAATCTTTATTTTCTTTGAGGTTTTTTTTAATTCATGACAGAATACAAAATTTATCTTTCTTTTGTTTTCCATAATTGATATTTAATGTACATTATACTCTTTAATATCCAAAAATTGCACGTCATAAATCAAAGATCAATAGGACATATAGAGGCATTGAAGTCTCAAATATTTGATACTTGCATCACGCATGAAAAAATACATTTTACATAAAATAAAGATTAATTCAATTATTTTATTTTATTTTTTAATTAAATTTTTGTACAATTAATTTTATTTTATTGGATAAAATATAATAATAATTATTAACGTATATAGATTATGTATGATTATAATAAAAATATTTATTTTCAATTAATATTTAGATTGAAAATATATTTTTTATAAAAAAATATAAAATGTATTAACGAATTATAAAATTGATATATATTTTAAACACAATTTATTAAGTTAAACGTTATATAAATATAAAAATTAATTTAGTTAAATTGAAAAAAATTATGAAAATATTAAAAAAATAGTTATTAACGTGTTAATAAATATATTATAAAAACAATAAATCAATTATTCTTGTTTAGATACATATAAATGACGGTTAGATAATAATAACCGTCGTTTATATTTAAATAGACGAAAGTTGTTCATGATAAATATCATCTATATTAGATAATCCATATTTATTATGTTTATCTAAACTATTTATAGAAACTATGACTGTTTTTAGGCACGTAATTTACACAAAAATAAACGACGATTAATCGTAAAACCTGTCACGTTTGTTAAGGACAATCATCGTCTGTTATAGGCTCAGGGTCCTACAACTTTGTTTCTATCACCCAATTTCATGCGACTTTGAGTTCCCAAGAAAATAAATGAATGTCATTGGCGTTTCCTCTGATTGCTTTTCAATTGAAAATCCGTTAAAAATTATATTTGTATCGTATAAAATATTAATAATTTATATATTTATATTATATTTTATATAAAAATTATGTATTATAATTTATATTAATATAAAAATATAAAATATATATTTTTATTTTATTAAATTTATTTATAATTTTTATTAAAATTTTAAATTAAATTATTTTTATATTGTATATAATATTATATTTTAAATTATCATCGTTAATGTATTTAATGCATTCATCATTGATGACATAATATATTTTATAATTTTAATTATTTAATTTTTTATTAGTGTCCCTAGCTTTCGATAAACTAATCCAATAATGGTGGTCATTCTCCTGTTGTTGTCCTGTCATTATTATTTGAAAATATAATAAAAAAAATTTTCAAAATTTTGTATTAAAAAATTTAGTATTATCAATAAGTGATTGATTCAATATATTAAATTCGTCTTTTTTAATGACAAAATCTTAGATTCAAATTTTGATAATGATTATTTATTGGAATCATTTCAAATGCATGATTTACAATCATTTACTTTGACCTATGATATTGAATAATCTATTTACTCTCAAATTTTTTTATAAAAAAATTAATATTTTATATATTTAAATTTATTGAATTAACTAAATGTCTTAAATTGATTGTAAAAATTTATATATATTCAATACACGTGGTATAAAATGTATTAATAAATTATCAAATTGATATATATATTTTAATATTATATAAATATATATTAATTTAATTAAATAATTTGCAAGTTAAAAAAATATATATTATAAAAATTTTAAATAAATAATTTTATGAATATCACGTGTTATTTATGATCCTCATCATCAATATATTAAAAAAATTAATTAGATAATTTTAAATTTTGTAAATCAAACAAAAAAATTTTATATTTCTTAAAATTAAAAAATTCAATATGATTATTACTTTTTTTTAAATCACTAGCCTTCTCAAAATTTAAAAGTTTGTAAACCAAACATCCCCTAAAAATATTTTGTGAGTTTTTTTTTAATATAAAAAATTGAAAATTAAAAGTTAAAAAAAAATAAGATTTAAACTCTAAATTTATTTATTACATAAATTAAGCTAAATTTTAGGTTTTATTTATTTTGTTTTAAACTTGAAAAGAGATAGCAAAGATATGCCCTCGTGGCAAAGGAAAATCCTTTGGTGGGAGATTAGGTTATTATTTATATATTAATTTTTATTGAATTTGGTGAAAGTAGTGCTAAATGTAAAAAAAATTATTAAGATAAAATTTTATAATTTTTTGTTTAAAATGATATTTAAGGAAAAAAATTATGATTAATGTATTATATTTTATTGAATTTGGTGAAAGCAAAGCATTAAATGAATATTTTTAAAATAATATATAAATTAACTTTAAGCTGTTAATCGAATTCATTTTTATTTAAGGTTTTGCTGAAGATGGTACAAAGAATATTTTTTAGGGTTAGTTAATTATTATTTATAGTAATAATTTTATATTAAATGTAAAATTTTATAATTTTATTCATGATTTTTAATACATTGAGTAAAATAATTATTTATATAATAGTTTTTTAAAAAATATTCTTAAAATACTCAGATAAAAGAAATTATTGATGAGATTCATCTACCATTATTACTCTGAAATCATAATGCAAATTGAATTGGCAGTTGACTTCCTTCGCTTGACAATAACACAGACATTCAATCAAATATGTGGTGACTCTAAAAGCTAAATATAATCAGGGCATAATAAAAGCATGACAAAACTTATATAAAATTTTTTTAAGTGAAATTCATAAAATTTATTTTTAAAAATAATTTAATAAAATTTTTAATAAAAAATTTAAATTAATAGATTGATAAAGTTTAATATGAAAATCAAGAATATGTAAAAAATTATTTATAATTCAAATTTGATCATACTTATTTAGTAAAAATTTTGTTAATATTTTTATTAAAATATTTATTTAAAAATGTATATTAAAATTTATTAAAATTTTTTTAAAAAATTTACATATTTAATTTATATAACGAAATCTTTTAATTTATTAATTTTTATTTTTATTTAATTATTTCTAATAAAAAATTTCACAAACTTTACCAACTTCAACGTGTCAATAGCGTAAAAGAAAAACTAGAAGCAAATCCTCCAAAATGTAACCCCCAAGAAAACTCACGAAACTTCAATCAACCTCCCCCTTTATGAAAGTACTCACATGAAAAATGTTTCTTTGCAATGAAAATGAGATTGTGGCCCCACGTAATTGATTATTCAATTTGTATCCTACTACTTGAAAGCTACCATGTCTGGCACTTTGTGATATGGAGAAAGATGTAGAGAAAAAGATTTTTTTCTTCCGTTTTCAAGTATTTTGAGAGAAAATACCAAAGCAATTTTTTTGGTAAAAAAAAGTTTAGAGCAGGGCAGATCGCAAAGTTAAAGAATTACATTGAATTCATAGATCGTCCACTAAAAAATATTATCGAGAATGAGACTTGAATTTAAACTTTATAAACGAAATATTATTATTTGACGAATTTGCTTTAATATTAGATACATACGTTTCCCAGGAAGCAAATGTAACACTACTGCTACTGTTGTTTTTGCAGTAGAAAATGGCTCATTACATTTGTCTTCTAAGTGTCCAAATGGTTTTACATCTAACACAAACTCTAGCCTCTAAGTCTAGAGGAAAAAATACGTATTCAAATACTATAACATTGTAGTATTTGCAGAAAGGGAAAGAAAAAGAGAATACTATATGAAGGGATTGAAAGAGTGACATGGTAGGTTCTAATAAAATGGCTATGATTTAAATAATTGTTTTCTTTTTATTGGGTGAGGGAGGGGTGGGGAGAGAAAGACAGGGGAAGCATGCAGTAGTAGTCCTGGAAGAGGGAGTGTAGCTATTGCGTTCAAGTTCCAATCTCAGCAATGCTCTGCAAGGCTGGCCTCCATTGCTTCCCCCCACCACCACCATGATGACTTCCCATGTACATACTGCTGCTGCCACCACCGCTTCCCAGTCTACTAACTTCCTGCTCCGGCTGCAAAAGAGAGGGGAGAAGGAAGGGAAAAGATTAAAAATAAAAAGGACAAAGGCAAAGGCACCATAGGAGACAACGACAATTTCATAAACTTTAATTGTTGGTTTCCGTTACTGATTTGTATAAAAAGTTTGTGGACTCTAGCCAATTTTGAAACCAAGCTTTCTACTCGACTTGGATTGGCCTGTTCACTAGCCTTGTCCATTCAAATTGGAAGCTTTGCGTTAACCCTTTTGTTACTGGGGAAGAAGATAAGCTATTGAACTGAATTCTCTTAGATATGCCAACCTCCTACTGTCTAACCGACTTTTGAAAGCGACACACTTGCATACATTCACCACAAAATGCATAAAAACAAAGTATAGAGTCATTTCATATTAACAAAATTTAAGATATTTCCTCACTAATAAGCTATTGCTTTTTCAGAAAGTCTAAAACTCATAATGAATATGATTATAGCAATTCTGTCCCCATATATAAGTAACATCACGAGAAAAAAATTTATATGAAATTTGTGAAGTTTTTTTTAAAAATAATTTAATAAAAATTTTAATAAAAAATCCAAATCAATAAATTGATAAAATTTAATGTGAAAATCAATAATATATAAAAAAATTGTTAAAAATATTATTTATAATTTAAATTTAATCCATACTTATTCAATAATAAAAATTCTGTTAATATTTTTACTAAAAATATCTACCTAAAAATATATATCAAAATTTTTTCAAATTTTTTCAAATTTTGTATACTTAATATATGTAATGAGATATTTCGATTTTAGTTTTTATTTAATTATTTTTAGTTAAAAACTTCAAGAATTTTACCTAAAAATTTTCAGCTTAGTTTTTCTCCTAATTATAACCACATTTGTCACAAGGGAAAGGCATTGACAAGTTTTGCAGGAAACTTGAAAGAGTAGTATTGACAGTTTGAGCTTTGTTTTATCACCTTAACAGAAGTACAGTTCTCAGATTCCGAGTGAAGTTTTGGATTCAGATTGGAAGCGGTTGGCGAATCCTTTCTCTTTAACTGCATCCCAAGCCCTAGTCCTCCTCCTTTCAACTGTTTTCCAAGCTTCACGCACTTTTTGGCAGCAAAATCTTTCAACACATCTAAAAGAGACCCCGAGATCATGAAAACAAGAAAAAGAAGACCCCTTGGTAAACTATACATGTAAAAATTAAGTAATGAATTACCTTCAAAGCTAATGAGTCGATAAACTTGGCCGATTAACAAAGTGTCATCTGGTTTTAAGAGCTTCAGCTGCTTCAATGGCGTGCCATTTTCGTTCTTTAACGTTGGTGAGGTTGCCACAAGTGCAACGTAATGCCCTGGATTTGAACTCATGATTTCATTAGCACTAACAGACCAGTAAATCCTCTCGATCTTGTTCCCCGCAGGATGTTGAATCACCACGGTTGCTGCTTCAGCTGCTTGACAGTTCCCCATCTTTACTTCCAAAAGAAAAAACAACAACCCTCTACAGCAAAACTCAACAGGAAATCTAAGGGGGGAGATTTAGTCTTTGGTGCTTATATCAGACAGCTACTGATGATGAAGCCACCTGGGTTGCGCCTACACGCAATATCGTCAGGTGATGCAAAAGGAAAATGAAAATGTTATAGCTACTGTCCAAATATATATATGACAAAGGTTTTTCCAATCTATGGTCCAGCAGCATTACAGCTAAACGGGATTTTTGTTTCCTGATGATTAATGTGAGATTTAAGTTACTAGGAAAATGAAGAGTGTACAAAATATACCTCTCAAATAGTTATTGACGTACCTTGGCTGTTGCTTTTGGTGGATCGGATTCTTAATGGTGAAAGTGGAAATCCAACCGTGTACCAAGAAAAAAGATAGTGGAACTCTAACTAACTAAAATTTCCCGTTTTCAATTTCTTCAACAGGTTAAATTCCATACCAAGCAACACACAGAAAGTTAGCTAGTCAACAATCCTTGCGTTAGTCTACTTCTTTCGGCCAATAAAACTCCCTAATATTGAAAATGAGCATTAGTTCAGATGGCATACAGATCATATTCTTAAAAATTATGATATTAAAAAACTTAAAACAGAGTAATATTTTTTTTATTTTCAATTTTCAATTGTTTCACATTCGAGTTAATTTTCAAAATTGGGTTCTAAATCATTTTAACTTTGAATTCGTGTATTTTCATATTCCAAATTATTCAAATTCATATTGGTAATTATTAATTTTAAGTGAAATCAAATTTGGTTGGGTTATATAATTCAAGCAAATTAGATAGATCTTTCATATGGGATCAAGTATTGTAGACTTTTGGAAACAACCCATTTAGTTTCTCATAAGGAGAATTATGTCATCACATTAATACTATTAAACTTGAAACTTAATCCAATAATACCTATTTCCTCATTAGTAAAATCTGTAATTAAGTGATTTTATTATTTTTTTTTTATATATTTTTTTATAGAATGGGAAGAAGATATAAGTGCCTCAAATAATTAAACTCAGGACTACTGCTAAAATAACCGGTAGGTTTCCTCTCAGAAAGCCAGCTTGTTTTCAGGCCCAAACCCAGGGTGGACCTAGCTCAATACATATTTTTAGTTTGGAAGTTTTGCTTGTTTATTTGCAAACACTTTTCTCATTGTATACAAAGAGAACAAACATGCATTTGCATAAATGACAATATATTTTTTCTATTATTTTATTTTGTAATTGGTTAGAGAAATTAAGAAAAATCTTTTACATGTCTTATTTCATTTTGCATTTGACATCTAGAGGTAATCCAAACCCTCAATTAGTAGTATATTGTTAAACGACTAAAAAATAAATCATTCTATTATGTAAAAGTTGATTTGTTGATTTAGGGTATGTTTGAATGAGTGATGAAATTAATTTCGATAAGAATGAAAATAATAATGAATGTGAAATTGATTATTATAATGATGAGATTAAAATTAACGATAAAATATATGTTTAGATGAAAAAATAATGATGACAATAAAATAAAAATAAAAATGACTATTAAGAATTTGCTCTAAAAGATGAGAACAAAAAAAAAAATGTACAAAGTCGGAAACAAGAAGTACGCTGGGTGAAAAATTTCTCACTGGACTTAAAAGATCTAGAAGAGGACTGGAGGCAAACGTGCCTCTTTGATATTTTCCAAACATCATCTTGATGATATTAGAACCAAGAAAAGGTGTAAATCGCATCGAAACGGCGTGGCAGTGGGATATTGCTGATTTTTATACTTAAGATTCGGAGCAGGCTTCATCGTTTCAGTTAAGGTCCATTTGCATAGGTAACGAGATTAATTTAAGTGAGATTGAAAATAATGATTAAAGTAAAATTGATTATTATAATAGTGAAATTAAAATCGATGATGAGATATTTATTTAGATATAAAAACAATGATGACAATGAAATAAGAATAAAATAATCCACTAAAGGCTGGACCTGAAAGATGAGAAAAAAAAAATAATGTACAAAGTTCCAAATAACAGATGCGATGGGTGAAATTTTTCTCACTGAATCTAAAAGATCCAGTGGATGACTGGAGGCAAAGGTGCCTCACTGATGTTCTCCAAACACAATCATGGAACCAAAAAAGGGTGCAAATCGCATCGAAACAGCGTGGTAGTGGGATCCAAATGATCCCTTAATAGCATCTTTGCTGATATTTTTACCTAAGATCTGGAGCAGGCTTTGTCTTTTAATTTAAGATCCATTTGAACGAGTGATTAGATTAATTCCAGTAAAATTGAAAACAGTGATGGAGGTGACATTGGTTACTGTATTAGTAAAACTAAAATCAATAATGAGATATATGTTAAGATGTAAAAACAATGATGGCGATGAAATGAGAATAAAAATTATCATTAAGGATGGGACTTAAAAGATGAGAAAAAAAAAAGGAAAAATAATATACAAAGTTAGAAGTAACAGGTGCATTGGGTGAAATTTTTCTCAATAAACCTAAAAGATCCAGTGGAGGACTGGAGGCAAAGGTGCCTCACTGATGTTCTCCAAACACCATCATCGTGAGATTGGAACCAAAAAAGGGTGCAAATCGCATTGAAATGGTGTGGCACTGGGATCCAAATGATCCCTTAGTTTATCATAGTTTACATAAACAATGTATCAGGTTTGGACACTTTAGTTTGTCTCCTGGGGAACAGATCAGTAATTTGAGCTGTTATCTTGAAAGCTCCTGAACTCTCCATCGATCTCTCGCTTTTGTTGATTCGTTTATTCCTGCAAAAAACAGAACCTTTTACGTTCATTTCCTCTCTGGATTCTGAAACTGGAAAAAGTACAATGATTGCGATAAAGATAACAGAAAAGTCAAGAATTACAGAAGGGTGTTTCAGAGAACCATCTGAAATATCGACTTTTGAAATTAGTAACGAGATACAGAACAAATACAGAAAAACAAGTAATCATTGGCCCTACAGTATTTGGATCTTCTCCAAACGAAGTTTCATGCACAATTCTCTCAAGGGCCCCCTCTAGATCTTCCTACATCAGAAAGAGAATGGACCCACTTGACCCTAGCAAAATGTGAACATTTTAAGGCTTCCAAGTTCAGAACTCACAAGGAGAATATAGCTAGGAATCTGGCCTAAAACAATCAATTTTAGCTTCTATCAGCTCACTACCACAAACAAAAATTCAATGGCTGTGTCCCTAAACCTTCCAACTCTTCCCAATTTGTACTGCAATGAGGCAGCAACGGAGGTTGTCTCCAGGGAAGCTGATGATGATGAGTGTGAAATTGTTACTTTTGCTTCAGATTCAGATTCCTTCATCGACTATGACGAGGATTCTCTAATTAATATGTTTGATTCTGAGGTGGATCAAATGCTGGAATCTAAGGTTCTTTCAAGTTTTTATGATCTTCCTGATATTGTTAATGCTCGTCAAGAGGCAGTCCAATGGATGTTAAAGGTACCAGGCGTTTTCTTGAATTTCTTCTCTTTTTCGTTTTCTTCTAGTCATGATGCAATTGTTCAAAAATTTGCAGGTACACTCTTTCTACAGATTTAAGCCTGAAACTGCTTATCTTTCTATCAACTACTTGGACCGTTTCCTCTCAGCTCGAGCATTGCCGGTAATTTATAGACCTTGGTGATTGTCCATTTTTCTTGTTTGCTTCAATCAAATTATTGTTTTGTTGGGTCTAAGAAGAGTTTGAAGATTATTTACTACTCTGCTTTGGTTGGATTTTTCTATTCATGTGTAGCAAGGGAAAGGGTGGCCTATGCAGCTTTTATCAGTATCATGCCTTTCTCTGGCAGCAAAAATGGAGGAAACAACCGTTCCCTTTCTCCTAGACTTTCAAATAATAAAACCCAGAATCTTGTTCAACCCCAAAACAGTCCAAAGAATGGAGCTTTTAGTCATGGACACTCTGAAATGGCGATTGCGCACCATTACTCCTTTTGATTTTGTACATTATTTCATTTCGACGATTTCATGTATCAAATATTCACAACAAAACAGCCTGTGTCACCTTTATTCTTGTGCCTCAGATATCATTATTAGTACATGTAAAGGTAATTCCTGACCTGGCAAAAAACTTAAAATCTCTTCTATTTTCTTCCCCTTCTTTCTCTCAAATCTGATCGTAGTTTCTGTTGATCATTTTAGCAGCCATTGATTCCCTGGATTACCCTCCTTCAGCATTTGCAGCAGCCGTGGCACTATGGCTGACAAATCACAGTGTTGATGACCAGGATTTAGCCCATTTGGGGTGCTTGCAGAATAGAGTACACAAAGTAAGATCCCTTTCAGTTTCCTGAACAAAGCAACTAATGAATGCTATAAATGTAACTTTTATTGACAACAAGTGCAGGAGATGGTGAAGAAGATTTACAAGATCATTCAGGGAAAAATGTCTAGTTTGGAGCCACTGCCACCAAGTCCCACTGGCGTACTTGATGCTGCTATCCAAGGAAGCTGCAAACTGCAGAAGATTGGCAACAAGAATATGAATTCAAGCTATAATAACTCACAGCCAAATAAGTGCTAAAAGAGCTGAAGATTAAAGTTTGATTTACTGATAATAAAGAGAATGTGTTTTGGTTTGTGATGTTTATGCAATTCTTTTTTACAAAGTGTCCATTGATTTTCTTCTTTCTTTTCTTTTGGTTTTTGGGTGTGCTATTTGACTATGGAAAAGTGATTTTGATTTGTAATCAGGAAGTTTTTCTCAGATTGATATTCACTTGATGCATTAATATCTACGAAGAAAATTTCTTTGTCATCAAAACAATAGTGGGACTAGTACATATTTAAAAAATTAATCCACAAAATTTAATTAGAGATCAAATTGTTTCTCTTAAATCATATTTATAAGAAAAAAAAAAAGGTAAGTCCAGTTCAATTACAAGAAAAATGAACTCAAATTATTTCATCATATATATTGTAGTATATATTATAATTATAATAATCATGAGTTTCAGTTTAAAATAATTTAAATCTTGACTCTTAAATAAAGTATTAATTGAATATAAAATTTAATTGTATTGATTTATATAATTATTTTTTAAAAATAATATTTAATAAATTTAATTTTTGATTCTCAAACACTTAAATTTTTTTTATTTTATTGTCTAAAAAATTTAGATTTTTTACTAAAATTAATTTACTACAATTCAATGTATGAAATTAGATTGGTACAAGAATCGGGCTATTCATCTAAGTTTGAAGCCCATCCAAATTTTGAAAAAAATTTAAACAAAAAATTAAAATATGTTAAATTAATTTTGATATAATTTTTAAATTTATTTAAATTTTGAATCAAATCTTAAACAAAAATTTAAAATTCGAGTTCGAATCAAGCTTAAATTCATATATATTTTATTTTTTTATATATGTGAATTATATAAATTAAATAATATATGTTTTATTAAACTTAATTTTTATTTTTATTTTTTTTATATATGAATTTAATATAATTTTATTAAATTAATTTAATTATTTTTTAATTTTTTATTACATAAATTAAATTTAATAAATAAATTTATTATTTTTATTGTAATTTAAATCAAATTTTAAAAAATTTAAAATTTTATTTATTTAAATCAAATCTAAATAAATATATAAATTAATAATATCGTATATGAATTCGATCAAAACTCGATCTAGCCGCCCCATAAATACTTCTCGATGAAATGTAAGTCTAAAAGTTAAAATATATATATATTTTTGCCTCAAAATAACAGCTTCATTCTCTCAAAAAACGACAGCTTCATTGATTATAATTACTTATCTTTGTGGGGGCTACATCAAACAGTAAATCCAAGTGTAGTTAAGAAGGAATTTTTAGTAACAAAAAGTTGGAATAAGTGAAGGAAGGATCGTGGCTGACGGTGAGTACCCAAAAGAAAAGTTCCTTTTCCATGGCTTGCTGTTTCATCACGGACCGACTGCTCCAATGCGTGAGAAATTGTGATGTGATAAAGGAAGCTCATCTTGCTCTCTTCCTTGATAAGCGACCGTGATATATACGATGATAACAATCTATAATCAACTAAGACCTAAAGTTTTAATTGAAGTTTTGTGAAATTTTTTTAGTAAATAAAAATTTATAAATAGATAAAATTTAATGAAAAAACAATAATATATAAAAAATTATTAAAAATTTTATTTATAATTAAAATTTAATCAATTCAGCAATAAAATTTTGAGTCAAAATTTTTAATAAAAAAATTTACTTAAACTCTTTCAAATGTTTTAATTTACTTAAGAATAATCTATTCAGAATTTCTTTATCATTCTTTTAATAAAAATGAAGTTTGACAAGATTCAATCAAATGAAGAATACGAATATTTGGAAGAGAAATTCCGGGCTAGCCAAGGAAAATGGCCAAATTGGAAATACTCAAAATCACGTTGCCGAAATGTTGAAAATGACATGATGATACTGATACAATCCCAATCCATAAACAAGTCTTGATCTGATGTTAATAATGTTTAGTTATAATCGGTGAATATCCTGAATTCGGTCATCACAAGAAACACTACCTTGTTCAACTAATAATGCATGGTTTCTTCCAAACTTGTATTGATTTCTAAGCCTTGCTTTTTAACTTCATTTGCTTGGTTTCTTCCAAAATGGTATTGATTTCTAAGCCTTACTTTTTAACTTCATTTGCTTTTTTTTTTTTTTACATCATTAGATAAAATTTTAGTACAAATAAGAGAAAGAGAAGAAGTCTGATTCAAAATTAAAATTTTGATATCTCTTCAAACGTCTTTAACCACTAAATCAAAGATTCGGAGATAATTTCATTTGCTTTCATGTTCTTTTAAGAGAAAGCCCAAATTAATGTTTTCACCTTTGGATACTATTTTTATTCATAATAGTGAAAATGACTTTTTTTTTTTTTCTCAAAATCAGGCATATTTTCAATTTTGTTTTTTAAAAAATATTTTTATTATTTAATTACCAAACATATTTTTACCTTTATTTTTTATTTTATATGAAAATAAAAATAAAAAATAATATTATTTTTTGAAACCAAAGAGACCCTTAATCTCGGATTTGTCTCCACTTGGCGTAGCCAACAAATGTTTATTGCAAGTTATAAACGTAGCCTCCAATGTTGAAAGTTAGAAGCAAAACCAATTACTCAATCTCTCATCGACGAACATCACTTCTATCACCTCTTAACTTTCATTATGTCGTAATATCGTTTTATAAATTGAATTTTAAAATGTAAATTTAATGTTATGGGAGTCCTAATCATATTACCAAATAAACCTTCAATCTTACTGACCAATGGCCCCTTTTACTTTTTTAATTTATCATTAAGACCCCTTATGTTACTTTTCTTATTTATCATTAACAACAATAACTTTCAATTATAAACAATTGGGTCAGATAGGATTCAAGAACTGTAATTCATAGTAATTGGGTTTAAGGTTTGGGTATCTCAAAATTAACAATGATATCTAAAGCTATTGTTAATGTGTATGGGTTTGAACTTGTTTGATATAAAAATAGTTTTTAATTTTAGAAAACAGTGGTAATAATATTTTTAGGTTAAAAATAAGATCATTATTTTTTAAATCCTAAAAAAAATCTTAATTTCAATATAAAAATTTTGATTTTGATTTAAATCTCAATCAATGAAGCAAGATAAACATGTATGCACATAATATAGAGCATCAGGGCTCAGATATAAGATCTTCCTCTCTCATTCTTTGTGTTTCGGATTAAATTGAAATTGATTTAAAAAGCGACCGAATGAAATTTTATGATTTTATTTAAAATAAAGTTATCTTAAATTCAAATTTTAATTAAATTGATTTATTTAATTATTTTAAAAAATTAACATCAAATAAATATAAATTTTAAATATTTATATTTACAATTTTTTTAATATCAAATTATGACCTTATTTATAGAAAATTAAAACTAACATATCAAGTTTAATATTTAATTTACCTAATTCTCATAAACGTGAACAAAGTAAACATATATTCCATTATTATTTGATTGAAACCCAAGGTTCCACCCATTATTATTCATTTAAAACCAAGGTCCCTTATTTAGACTTGGTACCAACATAATTAGAATTTAGAAGTCTATAATCAACAAAAATTACATCCATATTAATTGCTTCCAAAGTTGTTGGGATGTTACTGCAAAATCCGAAAAAGTACAAGGGTCCACCACAAAACTAAAAATATCCAAGCCTTTTTTTTTTTACAATCCCGCCAATTGTTGTCATATGACACTTTAATCCTCCGCAATTGTTCCGTCCCAAAACCGCGACCGCTACCAAACAAAACCTTCGGTATCTTCGCATCTATTCAACGAATCTGATTCTCTTCCTTTCATTTCTTTCTCTTTTTGGTTCTTAAATTTTTTTCTTAAAACACTGTTCTTTTTTTTTTTTTTTTCTGGGAACGTGATTTATCGTGCTTAACATTTTAGCGGTTAGGCTTCCTCTTCATTCCAGTTTCTTTTTCTTGTTTTTGTTTACTATCATCAAAAACTAACTTTCGGCTGTTTGCCTTCATTGTTATGTGTATTTTTTGTTTGTTTAGAGAGTCCACCGCCTGAGAATTCTGTATTTATAGAAGGATCCCCATCTGGGTTTTCATTCTCAGCTGGTGATTCTTCAATTTTCTTCTTTTTCAGGTACCCTTTTCTCTCTATATTTCTTTTCTTTTCTTTGTTGGGTCTTTTTGGATAGAAGATTTTATTTTTAAAGAGGATATTTGGGCTTTGGGGTTACCTTTTTAAAATGAATTATGGGTTGTTTTTTAGTTGATAAATTGTTATTTGGTTGAAAGCAGAAAGATGGGCAGTGTGGAACAAGTTTGTGAAGATACAAATATGACAGCTGAAACAATGGAGAAGTGTACATTGAAATGTTCAAAGGAAGGGAAAGGGAATAGATTGTGGAAAAAGGTGAAGTATCAGCTGGTAGAGTACCACTCATTGCCTGGATATTTGAGGGACAATGAGTATATTGTGGGCCATTATAGATCAGAATGGCCCATGAAGCAGGTTTTGCTGAGCATCTTCACCATTCACAATGAGACTTTAAATGTTTGGACGTAAGCTTTCTTTGCTTTCTAACAAGCACCCGTTTTAATTTTTGGCAAATGCGAGCTAGTAACCTTAGGGTACTTGTAAGGCGATCTTTGTTGAAAATTTTCATGTTTAATACAGAAATTGACTGAATGAGCTGGTTTTATCTCCTCATCCATTGAATAAAACACTTCTTTAATTACTTTTATCATGATGAGCAAATTTATTGTGTTTTAACCTTTCTGTTTAGAATTGGAAAGAGAAGAATTAGAAATTTAGGGAAGAGATCCATGACTTCATGTTTTTGAGGTGACTGTTGCTTTAGCAGATCGTAGGTCGATATGTTATCACTTGTACCATGATATGTTGAGTATGACTATTACTTTTACAGGCATTTGATTGGGTTCTTCATTTTCCTTTCCCTTACCATATACACTGCAATGAAGGTTCCAAAAGTTGTTGATCTTCACTCTCTGCAGCATATTCCTGATGTATTGAGAAAGGCTGATATACACACACTTCGGGAGGAGTTAAAGACTACTTTCCCTTCAATGGATTTGATTCCTTCGCTCTCAGGTTGGCATGTTATGGAACTTCTATATAATTGTTTACCTGAGCGTTTCTCCACTGGAAATCACACCGATGTTTGTGTTCTGGTATGCTTCATATCCTTAATAAACTATTTCATAAATCTTAATATTTTGCCTACTTCAAAAGTTATGATGGCTGGCTGTCTTCTAATTACTAGCTGCTCCTTGAGGTTCCACTTGAGCAGTGTCATTTTTTTCTGGTGCTTATTCCCTGCTGAAATTTTCCCAGCATTTTAACATTTCTTCTTGTTCTGTGATCTTCTTAATTGTCTCTCAATGTAACTAATTTTGGAATAATTTGACTGACATCACTTTCTGTTATTCTGATGTATTCTTGGATGTTAAATTATAAAATGTTTCTGATGTCATGCCTTTATTTTTTCCTTGTTTGATCATTAAAATTTGGAGTTTGGTCTTGTTTTCTTTATAACTTTAGATTAAGATGCTGTTAGTTCCATCTCGTTTATAAGTAGATGCTTTTCAGTTTCTATTGCCTACTCTGCTGGACTTAGTTACAAGGTAAGAAGAGGAAGTAAAATGAGGGGGTTTTGTTAGGAGACATATAATATATTATATCAATAAAAGAGAAAAAGTCTGAGTTTGTTTTCAGTTTGAAGCCAAGGGGAAGCAGTCCAGCTGACTGTCAAATTTATTGGTTAGTACTTACGAAGATTCTATAGTTGTTAGGAGAAAGCTGATATATTATATCAATAAAAAACAAAGAGTCTGAGTTTGCTTCAAGGTTAGAAGCCAAGGATGAGCGGGCCCAACAAGTACTTGATGAATATATTAGTTTGTAAATGTACACGGATTCTAATGTTGAGAAGTCAATGGTTTGGAGGAAATGAAATAAGATAATGAGTGCCATTTTTAACTGACGAGTAGTTTAGAGAATTTGGCCAGATTGGAGGATCTGATATCCCATTAATTGGAATTCTGGGTGGTGAAGTGTAGAAATGAGGAATGCCTTAACTTAAGCTGTAATAAACGACTCTGAATTGCATGGTTCAGTGAATATCACAACTTTTTCCACTGGAAACTGCCAGCAAGATTTACAGCTTCCGGTAAAGAGTAAGAAAGGAATAGTTGGGTTGCTGGGGAAGGGCCTAACAAGTTATGTGCACATTGTACCTAATGAGATTATTGGGGAGATTAAATCCTTAAGAGGTTTGAATCGGCTGATCAATCTTTTCTTACACACATCTTGTCAAACCAGGGGTTTTTGCCATGTGTCCTCACTCTCCCTGCCCTTCTTTGAACCTGTCTCTAGATGGACATATCATGGTGTCAACAACCAATCAATAGAAACATGGCTCTCTATGGTATTTTCTCAGATAGTGGGTGTGAGTCATGTTTCTCAGTTGTTTTCAATCCTTGCAGAAAACCATAAAGATTTCCTTTCCTCTGTCCTATTATTGTATGTGTAGTTTTGCTTCAAGGAACTATAATTGCGAATATACAGTTTTCATCTGTTGTAGTGTGTAGTGATGAACATTCAGCAGGTTCTTATGGCTGAGCAAATTCCAACAAGCCAAAGGCCTGAGGGTGTAAAATAGGTCCTTTTGTCCGAGTAAACTTTTCACTGAAAACTTGTACTCTAGAACCTTTCTAAACAACAAAAGGCATATGGTTTATTTTTTTGGGTGCTACTATTGTTTATTTTTTTGGCCAGAGTGCTACTGTTGTTGAGATACATGATTCAATAAAGGCTTCTTTTAGTTAGCAAAAGGTATGGAAAGCTTAGAGTTCTTTATCATAGGAAACCTTCTCTAAATATATGGACAACCTATATGGGACATTTTTGTATTGTAGTTTTTGATATTACAGATTACTTTTTCCATAATTTTCAGTGCTTTAACCCCAAAACCTGGCACTTTAATTATGAATTAGATGGCATGAAGATTATTTAGCAAGTGTCCTTCTAATTGGTATTGACTACCACAACAGTGATAGTTCAAAAGTTTCTTAGCTATTTTCATGTTATAGGATCATGCTAGGAGTAATTAAGAGACAGAAAAAGGAGAGGGTAGTGTTGCTTGAATCCTGGCACATTGTTTGCAGTCTCTAGTATTTTACCTTATGGTTCTGCAGTGTACATAGTTTTAACGGAAATGCATAGACATGCGCATTTCATGCTTTATCTTGGGCTTCCTGGGAAAAGTGGTATCCTTAGTAATTGCAGGATGGAAAGTTAAAGCAGTAGATATCTATTCTTCTTATTGCTATCGCTTGACTTTGCATCTTGGGAGCTTCATGCAGCTAATACTTTTTATGTTCTTTCTAATTGCAGCAAAGTGTGAAGGATGAGGTGGCAAATATAATAGCACCCCTGATGCTGAGACCGATAACACGATGGCCTTTTTTTGCCTTCTTGGGTGGTGCAATGTTTTGCTTGCTAGCTAGCAGCACATGCCACCTCCTTTCTTGCCACTCTGAACGCCTATCATATATCATGCTCAGGCTAGACTATGCTGGGATTGCCGCTCTTATATCTACCTCCTTCTATCCTCCTGTGTATTACTCCTTCATGTGCAACCCATTCTTCTGTAACCTCTATATGGGATTTATAACGGTCTTGGGAGTCGCAACAATTGTGTTTTCCTTATTACCGGTGTTTCAGAATCCTGAGTTTCGCAGCATTCGTGCATCCCTTTTCTTTGGCATGGGCATGTCTGGGATAGCACCCATTCTTCACAAGCTTATCTTGTTCTGGCACCAGCCTGAGGCACTTCACACAACTGGGTATGAGGTTCTGATGGGGCTTTTGTATGGTATCGGAGCTTTAGTCTATGCCACAAGGGTTCCAGAGCGGTGGATGCCTGGAAAATTTGACATTGCTGGGCACAGCCACCAACTTTTTCACATCTTGGTTGTTGCTGGGGCATACACTCATTATCGTGCAGGATTGGTTTACCTCAAATGGCGGGATCAAAATGCATGCTAGAGAAATGATATTAGACAATAATTGATTAGTGGCGACGGAGTATTCCTCTGTTTGTAAGTTCTTTCTAGTTGGACAGAAGTAGGTGCAATGTATCGATGCAGTTGGAATATGTTCAACTCATTGTAACAATTGCATATCCTTCATAAATCTTTTGTCTCAAAGTCATGAACCATCCAGTTTCATCTTTAATATATGTTATACAAGTGCAAATACCCGTAAGTTTCTTGCACAGAAACTACAGGATTTAAGTTGCATGTGGCCAGAGGCAAGAGCTTCGTCCATGTTTCTGAGGTTCATAATTGATGTCAGGTATCAGACATGCTAAATTACCCTCATTAACATACAGCCTGTACAATTATAATTGGGGTGAAATTTGTGGTCCAAAGCCAGCTTATGGATTGATATGTTTCAATGCTGCGATGAGGATGTACAATTTCTTCATGCTTCGGCAGCCATACAACTGAATGCTAAGCATTTTCCTCATGCTGTTAGCGTGCAAAATCTCTACATTTTGAATCAAGTTGAAGCTCCATGTACTAGCCCCGATTGTCAGAGGCTCACATGTCGAAGGGCCCTAGCAATGGCCTGAACCGTCACTCTGTCTGCAGGTACCTCTTACAATGTCATCGTCACTCATACAAACAACAAAAAATGCTTTCCTCACGTTCACAACAACAAAAATAAGTGACATAACAAAATCAATTTAAAAATTTTAAATTGCGAACTTATTTCACTGTGGGCTTTTGTTTGAGATTTTTTTGCTAACCACTCATATTTTATTTTTATATGGGTCCAGGTCCAGATCTTAAGATTCATCGTAGTCGTAACAAAATCCTTTTGAAAGCATGGAAAATAAAGCGTCCTCAAATCTTGTGCTTTCCGGCGATTGATTCTAAGAATGTTAATCTTATTTATGCTTAATAAAAAATTTAATTTTTATCTTACTGAAAATGAAAATTAGTATTACATTATATATATAAAATAAAAATAGATAAAATTTTAAATTTTTTATAAAGTATAAAAGATGAGAACAACTAATATAATACGTACCTTATATATTTATAAAATTTAGTAAATAAATAATTAAATAATATAAATTATTTTAATTAATTAAAATTAATATATTTTTATTAAAACAAGTATATATTAATATATATTTATAAAAAATTATTTAAATATACAAGATAAAATTAAAAAATTAAAAAATAAAATTTTATTTTTATTTTTTTAAAATTTATGAATATAAAAATTATTCATATCTATTAAATATCAATAAAAATATAAATATAATTAAAATTTTTATTAAATATAAATACAAAAATGATATAATATAAAAATTAAAAAAAAAAAACATTATATCTTTATATATCAAATCCATTAACATCGCTAATTAACCAGTAATCCATCTTTAAACCCAAACACTGTATTTTTCACTTTTTCTACGAGTAAGTACAAAATTAAACAGACATTTAAACGGAAATAACGGAAATTAGCAGCCCAAAGAGTCCAACTCACAATCTCTAGTTCAATCAAAACTGTCGGTGCTCAATCTCTCGTGTCAACTCCTACATATCCTCCATCCGTAGTTCACGCCCCGCGTATCTGCATTTCCAGCCCGCGCATTTTAGCATCCCCGGCGCACCGAAACCGACGCCACTACACTTTTAAAACAAACAGTAAGCAACCGCAAAGACATTTAAAACATAACGGTGTGCACGCTCTTCTTCATTAATTACACCACCGAATTCGGCCATCCCTAGTTCTGCCCCCCCCCCGCCCTTTTTTTTTTCCCTGTCGTCTTCTCTGTTAAAAACCTTTGAAACAAATCTCCTTAACCACCAACATAAAAGCCTCAAAACCCAGTTTTTTTTTCAAAAATGGTGTCTCCTGAGTTGTCTCATTTCCAATCTTCGCCCATGGCAAAACCTCGAAACCGGATGTTTTGGTGTCTGTCCGAAGGCTTTCTTTGCTTTGGTAGCGCTTTTTTAGCTCTTTTATTAGTAGGGTCATTTTGGTCGTTTTTCACTCCAACTCCTAGCATTGACCAAACCATAACCGAGCCATCGTCCAAGTTGAAGAAGAATCCGGTCGACTGCAGGGAAAGTGGGTTCGGAGTTAACTTAAAGTCCGACCCGAAAGACCCGACGTTTTACGATGATCCAGAGATGAGTTACTCCTTGGAAAAGCCGGTGAAAGATTGGGATGAAAAACGCAAAGAGTGGTTAAAGCATCACCCTTCGTTCGCCGCCGGAGCACGTGAAAGAATCGTTCTTGTAACTGGGTCCCAACCAAAGCCATGTAAGAACCCCATGGGTGATCATTTACTCTTACGTTTTTTCAAGAACAAAGTTGATTACTGTAGAATCCATGGCTACGATATTTTTTACAACCACTTGTTGTTACACCCCAAAATGGGTTCGTATTGGGCAAAGTTACCGGTCGTTAAAGCAGCCATGTTGGCTCACCCTGAAGCTGAGTGGATCTGGTGGGTTGACTCGGACGCGTTGTTTACTGACATGGAGTTTAAGTTACCCTTAGAAAGGTATAAAAACCATAACTTGGTTGTTCATGGTTGGCCTAAGTTGATTTATGAAAGTAAAAGTTGGACCAGTTTAAATGCTGGGATTTTTTTGATTAGGAATTGCCAATGGTCTATGGATTTGATTCATACTTGGTCTAGCATGGGTCCAATGAGTAAGGATTATAATAAGTGGGGTCAGATTCAACGATTAACATTCAAAGATAAGCTTTTCCCTGAATCAGATGATCAATCGGCTCTGATTTATTTGCTTTATAAAGAAAAAGAGAAATATTATGATCATATTTATTTGGAAGGTGAGTTTTACTTTGAAGGGTATTGGGTTGAGATTGTTGGAGGGTATGATAATACAACGGAGAGGTATTTGGAAATTGAGAGAGGGGTGCCTAAGTTGAGGAGGAGACATGCAGAGAAAGTGAGTGAGCAATACGCTGTGTTCAGGGAAGAGTTTCTCAAGGAAGCTGGGAATGGGAAAGGGAGTTGGAGGAGACCGTTGATCACACATTTCACCGGTTGTCAGCCTTGTAGTGGGGACCATAATCGGATGTATGCTGGTGAATCTTGTTGGAATGGGATGATCAAAGCTTTGAATTTTGCTGATAATCAGGTTTTGCGCAAGTATGGGTTCCTGCACCCGGATCTACTGGATTCCTCCACTGTGACTGAAGTTCCCTTTGATTACCCTGCTGATGAGGGTCCATGGTAAAACAAAACAAAGCAAAAAAAAAAAAAAGGTATGGGTTTTCACTATTTTATGACACTGAGATTTAATTCTTATTTGGTTTCTTATTTTAAAGCTTTACATGTGAAAGTGTTTGCTTTTACTTCTATTTTTCGGAGGTGGGGGTGGGGGGAGCTTTCAAGTCTTCAAGTAATGCATGATTGAAGGATAATATTGTTTACTTTTATGATGGAGGAATGATGTTGGTTTTTGGTAGGTGGTGATTATGGGGTTGGGGGGATTAGAGGATGGTTTTGAGTGGTGCTTAGACTTGTTTTGACTAAATTATGGGCCTTTTTGCAAGCATGAAAGGGACTTTAGATATTCTCTTCCCTTTGGCAAATCAATTCTTTAGTTGAACTCATTTTCAAATAGTTCTTAGGTTTGGTTTGGTGGAGACCTATGAAAAAGTCCTTTTGAATTAGGTGGCATTTTTATGTTTGCAACTAATTGAATTCAATGTCACCTGTCTTTTTCTTTGAAGTATTTACAGTTTTTCTAGCTACTGATAATTGTACACATTTAGGTACTAATATCTTCACTATTTGGTGGAGTTAATTTGAAAATCTGTATGAATTTTTATAGGATTTGCAACAGATCATGGATTTATGACTCCAACTTCAAATCAATGATTAGTTAGTTCCAGTGTTAGGGGAAAAAATTAGTTTTGTTCTTTAATTTCTTTTTAGATGTTGAAAATTGAGTTTATCACTGGCTTATTCTGGTTTGTCTTGCAATCCAATTTGCAAGAAGAATGCTTGTATTTTTTTGGTTGAACAAGGAGAATGCTGCGCATACTGCTTTAGTTCCACATTACTGTTGTAAATGTGTGTTAGCTCAGTATAAGAAATAATTCATTACATAGTAGAAAATTTAATGTTGTTTGATTAGGAAGTAGAACATCTTCATATTTTCAGAATCGGTGATTCAATGATGATTTCAACACAATTTTAATGGCTTTGTAATTGTCAGAATCCATGATAGCTAGATTTTTAGATCATCTTCAGTTGATCCTGACATAAATGCCTGATAGGCTGACAACTATCTACCTTCTTTCTTTCTTGTTTTGGTAATTCCTAACTCTATTTCTATAAGGAGTGAATTGCTCTTTTTTTTTTTTTTCTGTGGTTTTGCTTTTATGCAACAATGGTGAAAGAAGACTATTGCCATTTATATGTATTCAGAATCAAGATGAGATTTAAGCTATAGTGGCTTTTTGCTGCAGCAAGAGTTTATAAGCGAATAATCATGCTATTATAGCTGTGAAGTTCATGATATTTCTTTTGTTGAACAGAAAAGACAATAGCTGGTAGCTACAGTGAAGCACGGCTCGCATACTGCTGCAATCATGGCATGACTCCTCTGCCCATCCTTTCTAGTCACATGGAATGTAGTTGAAATTGGGAATAGCTGCAATTGTATATTGGCGTCTGATTCTTCTTGGACCAATGCTTAAGAGTACTAGTTCAACTTGGGCCACATCCAGCAGAAGTTAGTTCATTTGGCATAATGATTTTGGACCTTCTGTCACTGGAACTTTTGCTTTGAATGTGATTGTTTACATGCTCTTGAGATTTATAGAAAGTGCTATGTCTGTTATCTTTGGTCCTGGTTCGGGCAAACATGTAAAGACGTTCATCACATAGCATTATAATTTGGTCTGAGTATCAGCTTTTTTTTATTATGCTTTTGTGCATGAAACCTCCATTCATTTTGCGTTGATCACATTATGCATGAACGGTGTGCCTTGTTTCTAGCATGAAAATATGAGTTGGTATTGCATATAAATTACAATACAAATTCACCATTGCGATGAAAACTACCAAAATAATGTCAGACAGAGAACAATTGCAGTACCGCAATGTTTGAAGACCGTTAACAAGGAAACATGATATAACAAAATCTTCAACTCAACTTAAAGGAACTATCAATCGTGCATGGCAGCAGCATCATCTTCCCCACCATCATCCATTGCTGCTTCATTGAACATGTATTCTTTTTGGTACTCCATCAAGTACTGTGTCGATCTCCTCACATCTAGAAACAGACTGTAAACACGAGTGATATCCTGTACTTCCACGACCTTTCCCTTCCGCTTCTGACAATTCAATGCAGAGGCAGTGATCAGATGGATTGCATATCTCAAGGATGTCTCATGCCCAATTTTTGTCAACAGTTGTTTTGCATCTTCAGACATCTCTACATCTTCCTCTTGGCACCTGATATCTAGAATCTTGCGAATTTCATCCGCAGAATAAGGTTGAGTAGTGATGATTAGTAGTCGATCAAGAAGATCAATTGGAATTCCATGTGGGGATTTGTAATTTGTGCCTCGAATCGTAGTAATTCCTCTGTTGGTAGCAACAACCAAGATTGGGGCCATCTCATTCTCAAGGGCACGATTCAGGAAGGAAAAGCACTCGATATCAAGCATGTGCACCTCATCAATAAAGAGAACACCAGGCACAATTTCTGCCTTTCCTTCTTCCCTCCACTCTGCCACCTTTGTATCAATCTGTTCTCTTACCTCAGCACGGATTTCACCAGTATCACCTGTGAAAAGAGCAAGAAATCCCTGTGTTCTGAAACCGAAAAATAATAAGACATCAGATGATAAACACAGAATTGATAAATCTCCATAGTAGATAGCATAAAACTCCTGTAAAGTTATAGATGGCACGCTAATATATCCTAAAAGGAGACTAGCAAAGATAACTGCCTAAAGAAAAAGTTGCACCGGATAGACAGTCATTGAGCTTACCATCAAGTCTTCTAGGGAGAAATTTCACGCTAGTGAGATATATTTGAACAAGTTATGATGTGTGTATCACACTTACTAAATGTCTAAATCTGACTAGCCAAAGAACTGTAATAGACAAATTCTTCCCTAATAGTCACAAAACAATGGTACAATCTCATTTGTTTGAACAACAAAATGACAAAAGATATGTATTGATGGTATAAGGATGTCACATATGTTGGGTTTATAAACATTGGAAGAAGCTAGCCAGCCAGCAACCATAGTGAAGAACCAATGACTTATGGGAGATCTCTATTATAAGCTATTTGACCTTCTTTATCCCTTCACAAAGCTCTTAACTTGCAGAATCTCATATTTCAATAGCATTATTACTAGTTTGCTTTAAACTTGTAAACCAAATCCATCTAACTCGTTTATTCTTCCAAAAAGATAAAGGTTTTTTCAACCAAGCTCATATACTTATGTTTTGCTTTCAGAAGCAAAAGCTAAGTAGCAAATGAAACAATCAAACATTGTCTCAATTATTAACAGACCATAACAGCTCTAAACCAATCTCAGAACAATAACAGATAAACAGTAAATCACCCACTTCATATATCAGTCACAGCAAAAATTCCAGACTTGAGAGATCATATTAAATACAGAAACAAAGTCAAAAAACTGAAAAGGGAAAATTTTGTTACCAAAGACAAACTCGAATTTACCTGCTATTAATGACATCAATCTCATGAAGTGTAACACAATGAACAACTTCTTTCCTCTTCTGCAACTCTCCATCCGGACATTGCACGAACTTAGTTTGGGGTCCCATTGCATCGTAATCCCTCGACCTCGAAAACGACCTCCCAAGCTTTGTTATTTTCCCAGAAGCTTTATCAATAGCTATAACATCCCCACTCTGCACTTTCTCTTTCCCTAATGCCTCAATCATCTTCGCTCCTAAGTCATAAACGGTTTCCATATCTGTCGTTTTAAGAGTCAATTTTCCTGTTTTCGAAGCCGCCCCAGAAACAGCCGGGCGGTCGATTTGGATTTCAACGACTTCGCCTTCAATTACTTCGGTTTCTTCCTTGATTCTTACTCCGATGGACTTTCGAAACGCCTGCATTAACGCTTCAGTTTTCGACATTTCGAGGGAGAAGATTTCGCTGCCGGAGAGCATAGCAAAAGGGGTTTCAAGGCCTAAGGACTTTGCCATGCCCATGGCGATGGCGGTTTTGCCAGTTCCAGGTTGGCCCGCTAATAAGATTGCACGGCCCGCGATTTTTCCGTCTTTGATCATTTGGAGAATGACACCGGCGGCTTTTCGTGCTTGGGTTTGGCCCACCATCCCTTCCGAGACTTCGCGAGGCTCCAGGGAGGAGTCAAGGCCTAGGCCCCGGATATGGGAGTGGGCCCCTATTCGTTCAATTCGAGTCAGGTCTCGGCTCTCAGAGAGTTTTAGCTCCGCCATTGCAAGGAGCAGGATTTAGGGTTTTGTGTGAAAATTGAAATGGAGCGGGGACTGATGAAGAAGGGGGACGGCGTGACGCTTTGTTAATGATTGGGGTAAAGTTGTAATTTGAGGATTATTTTTAGAGTTTGGGTTGTTGGGCCTTGTGATTGTCAGATTGTTGCTTATTAGAACTTGGATCGATTAGCTGATGGAACCCAATATTTGCTATGCAACCCAAAATGATTTATTTTTGGGTACAAAGAGAGCGATTGAGGATAAGATAAAAATATATTTATTTGATATTTAAATGCCAACGTAAATTATCGATTACTTTTTAGATTAATTATTATATTATTAGAGTTGATATTTGAAGATTATGAATCTGAAAGAATTTAAACGCATAATATTCTCTTCAACCAGAACTTAAAAAAAATCCGAACATAAATTTATAAATTTTAAAGAACAAATCCATGAAATTAAGACATTGATTATAATGATTTTTTTGGAGTAGTTTGGTCAAAGAGTGTAAGAGAATAATGTTGTTTTTTGAGCTCTTTTTCTCCATTTTACTAAAAAAAAAATTCAAAACCACAGCGGTAAATATTTTAATTTTTTATAATATAATTAAACCACAAAATAGTTTACCTATTCTCTTATTTATACCCAATAAATAAAACATGAATAAACAAAACATAAAACCAAGAAAAATGGCTTTTAGCATATTTCCACTTCTATGATCACACTGGACAACAAGGCAACAAATCCGGCATCGCTTAATTGGTGATATCATTGCCACATGCACGAGGTCTCGGGTCTTCAAGACAACTAGGAAGTAAAAGTAGCAGCTGATCACAAACGTTCCAGGGGAATCCATCTCTTGAACATGGCAACGCATTCCTTAGGATTGTACTCTGGAGCTCTATGACCCCCTCCCTGCAAAAACAAACTCTCTCTGTCATTTTCTTCAATTGACTAAGCAATAGATAATATCATCATATTGCAAATGTGAAGTTGTTTCTATACTCTTGAGTATCTACACAAATAATAATAATAATTATTATTATTATTATAAGATACCCTCTACAGCTTCAAAATTTGAAATTGAGGGTACATGGAAAACAAAATCTGTTTACATTCATAGGCTTACCTTGCAACTTGACCCTCAACAAACCAAGGCCTCCAATCAACAACAATAGAGAAATCCAGCGACTTAGTCCATGATTCAGTCCCACTTGTGAAACATGACATCACCGCTTTAAAGAAATTTATAGTCTGCCTTTGCTTTGCTTGCATAAAGAGGGGGGAAAAAAGAGGACAAAGTATGGTAGCAAAAAACCTGTATATTAGAGCCCTGTGATCTTTTGTATTGAGATATAGATGATAGCCAACAGCACTCTCAATATCTTTGTCACAAAGCAAGCTGTTGTTACATCTTACCCATTCTCTTACTGTTCCCTGATAATCAATTTCAAGATTAAATTAATCTAACTTGGCTATTTCCCTGGTTGGTGTTAGGCTTCTATTTTTACCTTTCTGACATGGAGTGCTTTCTGGACAATGATATCATTTGCCCAAACCTTGCAAAGATAACAATTGTAGTCCTGTAACAAGGTTTAATCGATAGCTCAAATATCTAAACTGACGTACATAAATTAATGCTCCGAGAGAAAGCAAGTGGAAGAGATTTACTCGACATCCAAATTGAGGGAATTCAGCGGGCGAAAGCCGGTGGTCTTCATGTGTTTCTAGGAAATATTTCCGATTGTTGTCCAAACTATTCGGTGCGATAACGTCAGAAGGGCATTCAGGCTCCAGGATGTGTGGTTCGTTTATGCGTGCAGTGCACTATAAAAGGCAAAGTTGTTAAGCTAGTCAACATGGAGAAATATTTCAGGAACATGATTCTAATGATGCTAGAATGAAATTAAAAATAGATCAGGTTCATTTTCTTCTCTACCTCTGAGATAGCTAGATGATCTTTTGCACACTTTACATTGCTGAAATCCACTTCTATGTATTCTTCTTTACAATTCATTTTGGCTGACTGCAAAAATCCGTTCCAAAACATATATATACAATTTCCTTGGAGAATTACTTAGAATTAAGGGAATAGATAACTGAAAGTTTCAACATAGATGGTCGTGCATTTGTGTTACTCCATATCAGAAGCATTAGTGGAAGGAGTTTTGTCGTATAGTTCATCAGAGATAAGTGCCATGGGATGATAAAATGGAATCTTTGAGTTGTCATCAAATTTCGAATCTGTTTTAGGATTACCAAGCAAATAACCCTGCAACAATTGCTAAAATGTTGTAGCATTCTGGAATCCCAGACTCCACAACATAAAGGCATTTGTGAAGCGCAAAATTCATCAAGAATTTGATAGTAGAGCACTTACTTTGAGATACATTGCTAGAACGCCCATCTTCAATACCTGAAGCAGCATGAATAACCTGGTCATTTGCTCCTTGATTAACAACAGATAATGCACAAGTTTTGACTGGATGAACACAAAGTTACCATCTGGTATTGCTTGAGCAATTATTGGAACAATCATGCCAGAGTACGAGTCACCGGCATGTATCTAAGACATGATTAACTAACCAATGATGAGACAGTACTGATTCAATAAAACAGTAGAAGAATTCCACATTTCCACCCCCATGTGTCTTTATTAAAGTCATCAATAACCCTAGAAGAAAAACGTGATAAGAAGTAAAATGATAACATTAGCACATTGTGTCTGAGAACCTCACCCAGTTTCAAACATGAAGGGAAGTGAAGCAGAAAATCCAGGAAGAGACCTGATGATTGAGAAAAAAACTGCAGGCCTATACCAAACCATAACGAAGACAATGTCAAAGCATACTAACTGGAAATACTTTGAAAATATCCTTGCAAAATGTGTAGCAGGAGCTTAAGACATGGAACAGAATTTTTGAACTCTTAAAGTAAGAGATAAATTATTAATTACAAAGCTGGTACAATTTTTGGGTTTCAGGGGATACAGCTGCTAATTTCCCCAACTGCAACCCAAATACTTTTAAAAATAGTATTGAATCCAGTTTGTTACCAGATAGATAGAGAAGGAATGCAGACAAATAGTCATATGATCTATGTTAAATTGTTAACGGTTCTAGTAGAAAGTATTTATTGTTTTCACACTCTTAATGGCTTAATTAAACACTATAATCACTCCTTGATATAAAGATCCTTCAATCTAGCTTTTGAGGTGTAATCCATGAATAAGGGGGACAAGGAAACGCCCAACATGGAAATAATTGTAAGAACGATGTCCTTCCAACCAGATATAAAGACACCCCATTGGACATTGATTTCCTCACTGACAACCTTCTACCTTCTTCCAGTTACACCTTTTTTCATCATTTAAATGTAAGCATAACTTTAAATCTCAATAATCATACGTGAATATTATAATATTAAATTTAATTATATTATGTACGGACAATCATAATTGATATTAAAACTTTAGAAACCTTTTCATCAAAAGTTTATCGGATTAAAAATTCATACAATTATCAAATTACACTAATTTAATAAAATATAAAAAATTTATACTTAAATGATTACATTAAATTATTTAAAATTTTATATTTATTTTATATTAAAATTAAATTTATTAATTTATTTTATTAAATATTAAATTTATTAATTAATAATAATCCACTTATCGAAAAATTCTAACAATAAATCCATAACAATGATGAGTCACTCAAAGATGGAACTTCCACCCTTTTTTGTCTCTTTTACCTTTTAAGAGAGAGAGAGGACATTGTATGTTGGACGATTGTGAGTCTTTCTGGCTTGGGTTTGCGGTGGGAAAATACGTCAGGACTATGGCCTACTTTGAATTCGAAACTGTTTGCTTGCCCTAGCAATGAAGGCAGGGTCTTCCTTAGCTTAAATCACCTAGTCACAGTTCAACTCTTCCTAGATTTTTAATGGTAAATGGAGACTTTAGTAGATAAATTTAAAATATTTAACATGTATAATTTGATAATTTATAATTTAAAACTAGTTAAAGTCTCATTATTTTGTAATTAAAAAAATGTTAAGTAAAAGAAAAAAATAAAAATAAATAGAGAAATAAATTATTAATAATTAACAACAATATTTTTTTTCTTATTCATGATTAACTTAATAAATAACACCTCTGAGTGGCTTATTTTTCGCCGGATCTCATGACAGTAAGAGGTAGGTTTTCGAACTAAATGACCATTTAAATCTCAGTATGTAATTTTCATTTAAATCTCAGTATGTAATTTTCATTTAAATCTTATCACATAATTACATTTTTTAAATAAATATTTATTATTTAATTGTAATATATGATGTATAATAAATAATTACGTAACATAATTTGAATAAAAATAATAAATGCTAACGTAAAGTAACCATTTTATATAATTCTTTCTCTGGTTTCATATTACTAAGCACAGTTTAGATTTCAATCTCCTGATTTACCAGTCAAAGAACAGAACTAGATTGAAACATACACTTTTCATTAAAATCATGGTGAGACAGACATGGGATTTCAAGCACCATATCTATCACCTATTAATATGTAGTAACATGTAAAGTCCTAAAACCAGTTGAACTCTTAAGGATTGACAAAAATAAAGAAACAACCAATACACCTTCTCCAAATTCCTTACAAATTTTCACTTAGAAAAAAGCACCTTTTGTCTTTGTAACAGCATGGCTCCTGCCCCTTTGGAAACCATCAGTCTTAACCTTCATATGATCTTCTTCAAAGTCACAAGGCTTTTCCTCATCAATCCTCCCAATCCCAACACTGCGACTTCTAGGCAAATTATTTGTCACAGTAGTGTTCGGAGACTGCCTTGCCTGTTGTCTTTTAAGAAGGTCCAACTTAACCTTGTTGCCTAAACTCCTTGTGGAAGCAACCCTCATAAGTTCCTTCAAGTCATCATCACCGTCGCCCGATTTCGTTGAGCCGACACTATAGCTCCTAGGCAAAGTATTAACTTGGCCTGTAGGGCACCCCATGACCGTGCCATAGCCAAGCCTGTCCGAGTACTCTGTCATGCTTTTCATGTAGAAATCCCTAGCCTTGACCAGAACCCTGATGGGTGCCTTTAGATATCTGCTTAATTTGCTTTCTTTGCTGCCCTTCGTGCTCATATTGCTTGAAAACTATACAACTATGAAGAAAAAACAGGATTGGTTTAGAAGGATTATAAAGGAGGGGATTGAGCACTATATAATAAGAGAGGAGGGGCCAGTCTTTAAAATTGCATGAAAGCGATTTGGCATCTCTTTACATTAAAATAAAAAGGATTGTTTGGCAGTTTCCAACATTCGTTTGGGGAATATGAAATATTGTATGAATTTTATGGACTTTGTCAAAGGCAATATTGCCCAAGGTTGTTTCATAATTCAAAGTTCAAACAAGCTTGCTTACAGAATGTTTGGCTGAAATAGTCGTCTGGTTCAGAATATTGAATCATTATTTCTCTCTTTCTTGTACTCAAATTTTCTCCATTACAATTAGACTGAGTAAGTTTCCAAAGCTATAAAGAAACCCCCAAACTAACAACTTAAAAATAAAGATATTTAAAATAGTTTTCGTCAGTGGCAAGTACTATGCAGCTTAATTGGTCAAGAATTCAGCTAGCTTGCTGGATAGCTTCAAATATTTTTTATGTTTTATTTTTATTTAACTTGATATAATTTGCAAATTTATAATATATCCAACCTATGAAAATAACGACGAAAGTGTATATATTCAAAGCATATCAATTATTATATTATAATATGCTAATATAATTAATATCTATTGATCCGAATGGTAAAATATTTTAGTTTTTCTTAAATAAGATATCGATTTCGACTGTTGTAAATGAAAAAATAGACTTAAAAAAACTTGTTCTCTTATGATATTCTATCTAACTCGATTTGATTTCAAATTAATTAAGGTTTAAAGTGACTACTAAACACTAAAAAATCTCAGATAAAAAAAATATTAATAGAATATTATATTCTTAATTTTATTAATTAAGAATCAAATCTTAATAACTTTAAATACTAAAAACAATTATTATATTACAATCTACAATTAACCGATTATAATTTTAAATTATGTAAAATTTATTAAAACATTACATGAAATCTATACTTATAAGGTAATAGTTTCATTGCAATTTGTGTCTTTCAAGACATGATGTCTAGATTAGCCATTGATGGTGGATCTTTATATAATTTTATAATGTGATTAAATAATTACATAACTATAATAAAAAATTACAAATGAAAAAAAATTGTATATTCCAAAAAATATTTAAATTTTTAAACAAAAATCAGAAATTAATGTGGCCAATAAAGTTATCCTTTTATTTAATAAGAAATCCATTTATGACAACTTTGATAAAATAATTAATCCTAAAATATATTATATGGTTGAAATCTATTTATTCCTTTGAAATGAAACTAGCTGCGTGTTAAAGGAACCTTTAAGAAATTTATCTATATATTAATTTAGGAAAGAGACAAATAATTCTGCACTATCAAGTTACTTTCCATATGATTGCAGACTGAATTTCCTGATTTTACGAGGAACCAAAAGATGACTTTTTTTTTATGTCATTTTTACTTAGTCTTAATTCTTATCGCTTAAACCACGCGCACAAGTAAACTACCCTTTTTCTTTTTTCTAATAATTACATTTATGTAATATTTTATTTATTTATTTATTGTCAGAAAGTGACAAATTTTTTAAAATAATATTACTCAAAATAATCAAATTCTGTTAATTTGAATGATAAAAAATTTAATTTTTTTAAAGTAAAGTATTGGTTTCTAGTTTTGTGAACAAAAAAAAATTAAAAAAATTTATCATCTTTATGAAGTTTAACTCGATTTATTTTGATTTCAAATTAATTAAAATTTAAAATGATTATCGACTATCAAAAAAATCTTAGACCAAAAAAAAATATTACTCGATGTAAAATTATATTTTATGATATCATTAAAAAAAAAAAAGTTCTTTCATCTTGGCTGCTGTAGCACCTTGTTGAAATACTTAAATAATAATAATAATAACATATCAATCCCATAGTAATACTATGCTTACATCAAATTAATATAATTTTTGATAACAAGTTTAATATATATATATATGTATATATTTATAAAAGGGGGATTGCAGTTTTAAAATAAAAAAATAAAAAATGATATTTTTATAAAAAAATAATATAATTTTTAATTTTTTTATTTTTAAACTGCAATATCTTTTATATATATATATATATATATTAAATTTGTTATAATTACCTTACATTTTATTAAAGAGCAAAAAGTTCATCAATATCTAAATTATGAGATGAAATTTTAAAGCAAAATTGGGTTTTAAAAAACATACCAATCCTTTTGATGATGTCTATATTAATCTTTTATTAACCTAGTTGCCATATTTGGTGGTAATTTTGAATTCAATATCTCAAATTTTTTGTTGTATAACTCAATAATCAGTGATTTATTAGAGTGCTGAATTTTTAATTTTAATTATTAATATTCAAATTTTGTAAAAAATTTTTTTTATTATATAAAGTTACATTATCATGTAATTCCATAAAAAGAAATTTAAAAAATACAAACTTGATAGGTTAAATTGGAATATACCAAATAAAATTTTGTCACTAATGTATTAGATTTCGGATAAGAATCATTAAAAGATATCTTCCACTAAGTATGTAATCAAATATGATTATGCAACTTAGGGCACGCCTTATGTCTTTCTTTTCTTTTTACTTTCGATTATATCAAATGTTACATTTATACAATCAACTGAATAATTAATTATTAAATTATGATTAAATTATAATCGCTAAATAATCAACTAATAAATTAAATAATCAAATTCACACATAATAAAATTTGAAGTTTAGATCTAAGAGCTTCAAGATTTCTTTCTTACCACTAAGCAAACGTCTCATTTGCTTTGTTTTTCTTACTATTAACATAAAAAAAAAAAAAAAAACTTGTTTGATTATTTTAGAATTCTTTTTTTAATTAACTTCTCTTTATTAGTTTTATCAAATCTAATACTTCTATGCTTGTCAGAACAAGTAATTTTTTTTTTTTTTATTTGGGAAACCCTTTCCAAATCTGAATTAGTCTTGGCTCTCAATTGATCTTTTAAAAGGTATTTGGTTAATATTTAATGATATGCAAGCATCCAAGTCATAAAATTTTTGTTAAATGGAACAATTTTTCTTATTTTTATACAAAATATAACATAATCTAATTGTTGGTGTGAGTTTGATCTCAAAATTTACTGGATGTTCATTTCTTAAATATTACTGAATCAACGAACTTTTCTTTTAAAAAATAACATAGCTGAGATTCTGAAAATATTGATTCGATTGATCACTTTGTTCATCAGCCAATTGAACATGAATTAATCTTTTTTTAATTAATTATCAACCATGTCAACAACACGCCAAAAGAATATTTCAATTCAAAATATCTAATTATTTCCACTTCAATCACTTTACCAACTTGATGGGGTTGTGTTGAACAGGAGAGTTGACTGTGTCATCAGTAACCTAAGCTGGCTTGCACCTTTGAACTTCCGAATGGCACTTCTTACTTCTGATTTAAAATGGATTTTCTTACTTGTTCAATTCTTGTTTTGTTAATAGCTTGTTTGAAGCAAGAAGCTTTATTGATTAAAAATAAGAAACTCAATGAATATTGATTGGAAGACCTGAAGTAGTTCAACTGCCAAGGGCAGAAGAGATGCTCAGCTCCTGTCCTCAAAAGCCTGACCATAAGCTTTTCTTAATCATGGTGATATTTATGTCCTGCTGCAAGCCAGAATTTTTGTGTAACATTGGTTTACGAAGAATCATGAAGGCAGTTGAAATTTGTTGGGGACTTTGAAAGAAAGTTTATTTTAGTACAAAAAATGGTTAAAGAATCATATTTTTTAAGTAAAGAATCAATCACAGAAACAATTACTCTTGAGTACTGTAAAGATCTTAAACAAGTCTATGAGCTGAAAATCTGTAACCTGCATACAAAGGCTTCAAAGTCCTGGCTAGAATGTAAACAGGATGGTGATTATGTTATAACTCAGCCTGTTCCCAAGAATTGATGCAGTACAAAATTTATTGATGCCTTATCGGCGATCATCAAAGTCTATGTATAATGTAAACAGAATGCTGATTCCAGGCTTCTCCCAATTAAGATTTAAGAGTCTTGACTGGTGATAAAAGCAAGCACTCACTCAGTGGGACTCAAAACCCACAATCGCCTGATTAGAAGGGCGGCTTATCCATTAACTCAGAACCCACAATCGCCTGATTAGAAATCAGGCAGCAGGTGCCTCATCCATTAACTCAGAACGCACAATCCTCTGATTTAAAGTCAGCAGGCGCCTTATCCATTTGGTCATGAGTGCTTGTTGCGAGCATGGCACGGCAATAGGAAAAACCAATGATATTTTTAATCAATCTAGGTTCTAAGCCGCCACTGAATCCAGCTACCTTATCGATTAAAATAATTTTGTTTGTCTGACATAAAAGTTTGTCAAGTATATAAAGGACATCATGACAATTAGAATGTTTACATCAAATTGAATTGAAAATACATATTTTGGGTGTGCCAAAGAGAGCTGTTGAGCTGTGAAATGCCTGTCCAAAACTAGAAACACATGCTTTGTATGTGCCATCCCAAGTCACAACACTTAGAATGTCAATAAGAATCCGATAATGTTTTATAGCTAGCCAGACCGATCTAATCATTAATGTTGTATTAAAAATATTTTAAGGTAATTAAACAAAATTTCAGTTCAAGAGCCACATTGCATGATGGTTATAATTTTTTTCTTAGTATATATAAAACTGTAATTTAAGGATAAAAGATCTTTAACGATGATTACATAAATTAATTAGGTTAAATTTTGAATTTAAAATTTTTTTACTGTTTTTTATATTTATTAGCTTAATACTTTTATTATTAAACTTTAACCCTTTATGCATTAAAGCTGTTCATGGGTCAATTCGGACTGGGTTTATGCATGATATTCCAATATTATAAGCAAATCCAAATCCAACCTAATCTAATTTTTTGAGTGTCATTTTTTATCCAAATTCATTTATACATGTAATAATAAAATTCAAACTTGCCCAAAGCATTAGTATTTAAAATTAAAAAAAATATTTTTTTATTTTGTTTATAAATTATTAATTTAATTAATTTTAATTGAATTTATGAGTCATTTGGACTTGGATTCAATTCAATTTTGCTTAATATAATTTAAAATTGGATTATTATTTTAATGTTTTGTATAAACAAAATAGTTTTATCCTATTATAAATAACAAAATAAATGGATTTTATCCATTATAAAAAATAAATCAAATAAACTTTATCCAATTATAATAAAAATATTTTTTTAATTTTCGAATCAAATCAAATCAAAATTTGGTTTTATATTATAAAACCCAAGCCCAATTTTATTTTTGATTGAACCTCGTATATTTATTCAAATTCATTTAATGAATTTAATATTCGTGTCTAAATTATTTAAAATTTTGAGCTAACTTTCGGATTCCGACCAACAACCCTACCCTTCAACAGGTCTACTACGTGACTCTGTTAATGATTTTCCATTAAAACGTTATATTTGTTTATTGGATCAATTTTGAACTTGGGCTTGTGTTCAAGCTTGTCAATGGGCTTTGCCTACCATTCTATGAGCTTCTGTCGCTTTTGTATCTCTATAATTTAGTAATTGTTATTTCCCATTTTGGATATCAAATTTTTGGCGGTTGGAGAAAAGTTATATAATCAAATCGTACCATTATATCCTTTAAATTTGGTAGGCCTAAATAATACACATTTTTCAACATATTTTAATACATGTTTCCAAATATGAATGAAGTTAGGTTCACTTTACCCAATTTTCTTTTTAACTAGCATCAACTTTAATTTACTTAAGTTAAAATTGATTATCTTATTTATCCCTTCATTTTTTTTTTTTCATCACAAAGATATAACATCATAAATAAGTTAAACCCTTAGATAATGATCTTTAATAAAGTTTGGTAATAAAAATGAGGCTATGGTTCTTCAATATTTCAAATAAATAAGTTTGAAACTCGTTATTTAATTTAATTAACTCATATAATTATTCTAAAAAAATAATGATCAGTAAATTTAAATTCAAATTTTAATAATTATAACTTATTTACTTATTTTCAAATTGTGACTTATTTTATAAAAAAATCGATAAGTCATTAAGCTGTTAACTTTAATTAATTTATAGTCATCGTTAAAGTTAAAATCTTAAGCTAAATTAAGATCTTCTTGTACTTCCACACAACTAATAATAATAATAATTGATTAGTGTGGAAAAATCACATTTTTGTGGGTCATGTGACACCCTATATAGGTAGCATATGCTCATGTGATTCCTTAATGTTTTTAAGCATCTGAAAAACTTAGATATAAAATTCATTTAAAACCCATTTCATGATCTCTTCATCTGTCATGAATCTTAGAATGGACTCAACTCATTCATCTTTAATACTATTAAAAATACATATGAATCCAAATAAAAATACCTGTCAAACCTTAAGAAGCAATTAATGTAATTAATCTCAACCTCTTTGGACAACCACCAACTCAATTCTTGAATACAACCTAAATCCATTAAATTCATTTAATTAATTAAAAAAATTAAATTTGAGAACCCAATACCCCCATTTTCCCACCCTACTCATTTGAAACCCTAACCACCCAATTTTCCAGCCTTAGGTATACCCTACAAACTTAAGTGCTATACACTCAATGCATCCTTAACAAACAAAAAAAAAAGCAAGAAAAAATATTTATTTATTGAATTATTTTTTATACATTATTAATGAAAATTTTTAATTTCATAAATAAAATTAAAATATTAAAAAATATTGTGTTTTTCTTAATTAATTTTTATTTTTAATATACTTTAAAAAATATGTATTGTTTTACTAATTTTACTAGTTAAATTTAAAAATTATAATCTATGAAATAATTTTGTTTATTTCAATTAATTATAAAAAATAGAGAAAACAAAGGAAGGTTTACAGAGTCACGTGGCAGCGTGTGGAAGTGGGGGCAAAGGCAGTCAAAGCAAAGACCGGAAAAGCCAAACAGCAGAGGCGTACAGTCAAAGCAAAAACTGTCATGGTCAAATGTTTTGCTGGCACTTTACCTAAAATAAATACTTAAAAATAGAAAAGAAAAAAATAAATTAAAAAAAGAAAGAGAGTTGCGGAAGTTCCCCATAGTGGCCCAACAGTGCCATTTTTGTATCTTTGATTTTTTTTTTGCCTTTATTTGAATAGTAAAAAATAAGAATTAAAAAGAAAAGAAAAAAAAAAACTTTGATTTACTAAAATAGTGACCGAAATATTCCATTTTATTAAATCGAGATATGGATTTAAGTTAAAGTTTAAGATTAAAGACAGATAAATCCTTTTCATATTTGCCCGTGGGGGTTTGGTGGACTCTACTGAAATTGGACCTGCCGTGCGGGTACCCTTGTTTCATATTAAAATTTAAAACATTATTTCATAAATAATTTAAAATATAATATAATAATATAATATAAATATTATATAAAAAATACGAATATCATAAAATTTAAAATTTTAAAAGTAATTAATTATAAATTTAATAAATTAAAAAATACTTTTATATAAAATATAATATAAATATAAAATTACGAAATCTATTTTGATTATGTTCTAATAAGTTAAATATAATTTTTTTAAAATTATGCTAAAAAAATTTCAAAATTTAAGCCTTCAAAACTCTAATTACCAAAGTAAGCACCACTAATATGATTAGTGTATTATTAGAAGTTCAAATATCTTTTGTTCTCCAAATAATTTTGAAATTGATGGTATCCACAAGACATATGTGGATGAAGTTCTAAGATGAGAAAGAGATTCTTTTAGCTAAAAAACAAACATCAAATTATAATCCCGTGTTTCTGTTTTTCAAAACAAAAATCTATCTCAATGTTAGAAAATTCATTAAAAAAAAAAAAAATCCCCAAAATTGGAATAAAATTTACAAGGGACATAAATGGAAACTAACTTTTTGATAATACCTTTAACTATTATACTAAAGCATATAGCAGCATATTACGGCAAAGAAAGCACTGACACGACTGCACGTGTGGTGGGCGGGTCGAGGGCTTGGTTACCGGTTACTACCCGTAGTTCCCGGTAACCCGATAAATTTAAACTTTTTTTTTTTTAATCTAGTAAAAAAAATCAGTTTATTTTTTAAATAAAAATAATGTATTAATTTACTGCAAATTGGATGTTATAATTAGTTTTTATTATTTTCCGTGAAGGGTTTTGGATTATTTTATTTTATTTTATGTTTATTTTTATCCAGTAAACAACTGCTCCAAAAGAAGAGCAGTAGGGAAGCCTTTGCAGGACATGGCTTTTCTCTCCTCTTCTCTCTCTTCTTCTTATGTCTCTCTTTGGTGGGATGGCCTCCTCTTTTGACAATAAATTTTTTCTCTTAATAAGCTTCACCAAATCTTGAATTTTTTTTCATGTTTTTATTGTCTGGGTAGTTTTTTTTTTTTTTTAATTTCTCTACGATTTTTGGTTGGGTTAGGAAAAAAAAAAGGTAATTGATTAGCTTTTATACAAGGTCTTCACTGTTGATCTTTGACTGCTTTATTTAGTAATATCTTCGTTGCTGTTTTGAAGGCTCCTTTTTTTTTGAAGCTTGAACAAGAAGTGAAAGATGGGAGCTTGATTATTGTGTGTTTATTGGTGATATTATTGTTATTATGATGGTAAAATGAGGGACTTTAGACCATAGGAAAGAGATCAGTATAAAGCGAAGGGAGAGGAACGGGGTACTGAGATAGAAATGTGTGAGTTTTACAATAAAGAGGGAAAAAAGAGAGTATTTTTTCTTGCTTTATGATTTGTTAATGAGGGAAGAATTGAGTAGAAAAACACCGACTTTCATTCATTTTTGTTTCATATCTCTTTTGTATGACCTAGATGTAATGTGCCTTTGGAGGTGCTTGTCACTGCAGTGAATTTAGAGTGTGTTGGGGGGAGCGGTGGAGGGGTTTTAAAAATCTTTCTTTTTTGGTTCCTTGAGAATCTGTGTTGTTTTAATTTTTTGGAAAAAGGGAGGGTCTAAAAGATGCCCATGTTTCAACCCTCAAGGAGGGATGGGGTTGTTGTTGCTGGATTTGATGGCAGTGGTGATGGGCAGGTTCTAGATCTGGACACTGCTGTTAAAGATGGGGTTTTGGGTGGTGTTGTTGGTGGTGGAGTCATTGGTGGTGCTGTTGGTGAGAAATTGGATCTGAAAAAAATGATTGAAGAGCTTGATTTACCTGAGATTCCTTCTGTGTTTATTTGTCCAATCTCCCTTGAGCCAATGCAAGACCCTGTTACCCTTTGCACTGGCCAAACTTATGAGAGGTCCAACATTCTCAAATGGTTCAATTTGGGGCACTATACTTGTCCCACTACAATGCAGGAGCTTTGGGATGATTCTATTACCCCAAATAGAACCCTTTACCATTTGATTTACACTTGGTTTTCGCAGAAGTTTTCGCTTATGAAGAAGAGATCAGTGGATGTACAAGGAAGGGTAAGTGAGCTTCTAGAGACATTGAAGAAGGCTAAGGGTCAAGCCAGGATTCAAGCCTTGAAGGAGCTGAAGCGAGTTGTGTTAGCACATGCTACGGCTAGGAAGACGACGGTTGATGAAGGTGGGGTTTCTGTAATTTCATCCTTGTTAGGCCCGTTTACCTCCCATGCGGTTGGTTCAGAAGCAATTGGGATTCTTGTCAATTTGGAGCTTGATTCAGAGTCCAAAACCAATTTGATGCAACCGACGAAGATTTCATTGATGGTGGACATGCTGAATGAAGGGTCAGTAGAGACAAAGATCAATTGTACGCGATTGATGGAGAAGTTTATGGAGGAGAAGGAATTTCGCTCAGAGAGCATCTGCAGCCATCGGCTGTTGGTTGGTCTAATGCGTTTAGTGAAGGATAAGAGGTATTCGAATGGAATTTTGCCTGGACTTAGCTTCCTCAGATCTATATGCTTGCATAAAGAAGTCGGGAGCTTGATTGTGAGTATTGGAGCCATTTCTCAATTGGTCGAATTGCTACCTGCTTTGGAGCCCGATTGCTTGGAATTAGCCCTTATCATATTGGATACATTATCTTCTCTACCTGAGGGTAAATTAGCTTTGAAGGATTGCGCAAACACGATTCCGAATATGGTGAGGCTGTTGATGAGAGTTTCAGAAAGCTGTACTCAATATGCATTGTCAATTTTGTGGTGTGTATGTAAACTTGCCCCTGAGGAATGCTCTTCAGTTGCTGTAGAAGCAGGTTTAGCAGCCAAGCTGCTTCTCGTGATCCAGAGTGGCTGCAATCCTGTCTTGAAGCAAAGGTCTGCAGAGCTCTTGAAGTTATGTAGCCTAAATTATACAGACACCATCTTTATTTCAAAGTGCAAGCTCACAAGGACAATCCAATGAGAGGGAAATTTTGCTTCCAATCTTTCACACAGCATTTTTCTAACGAGGCAAGGGCTAAAGGGCCTTCCCCATTTGGTTCAACAAATCTTCCAAGAATGAACGATCGATATGAGATGGGAGTTTGAGGTATGAATTAGCTCTTTTGTATATATTAAGCACTTCAATTCCTGCAATTGATTCAACTTACATAAAGAACACTCATAATGTGGACAAGAAAAACACATTTCTTGCTGCAATGGAATTATGTCAAGTTCTCTTTTCCAATGCCTTGTCAAATAAACCTTCCCAAAAGAAGAAATGATGTAAAAATGTTTTATGTGGAATAGATTAGTGTTGAGGTGGTATATTATTGGATACCAATACGAGTAAGAGAAGTGCAATTTGTGCAAGTCTCTGGAACTTGCAATTACAATAGTAATGGACAAAGAATTGCTTTGCTTCTTGGGCCCTTTCTCCAATGTTGTACCTATGGTAGGGGCCTTCCGATTTTCGATTTGGGTTTTAGTTGGAGTTTCGCTTTTAGCTCCACAATTGTAGAGACTGGAATGCCTTTGGACTTCAATTGTCTATTCAATGCGTACAATGAAAGTAACCATTTCTTCTTATTATCCATTCTGCATTTTCATTCATTTAAGATTATGCTATCATTGTCTTTCGCAGTCCATTCAGTTTAACTCATTGTTAGCCCTCAAAGAAAAATTAACAAAAGGGCTTATTTCTTATCATGGTGGATCCCTGGTCCTGGAAGTTAGAATTTAGAAAAAGAGAGGGTCTTAGCTTTTACACACCGCTGAACTTTTACTATTTCGGGGGGTTCACTGTGCACATCTGGGTCCATTTATGTACTTTATATATCCCTTTGTGGGAGCAGTTGAGGACAGCACCCATCGTCACCTCTCTTTCAGTCACTGTTGTAATGAAAAGAAAGAAAAGGAAGCTGAGAACTTTCACCCCACAGATTGGCAAGAAGCTCCGAATTGAGATTGCAGCATTGCCAGTGTAACCAATGCATGCTTCTGCAGAAACAAGTGGGATTCTTATCTGGAACGAAGAAATATCTTTGTCAATTAAGTGGTTTTTAAGTTTTTACATGCATTTGTTATGGAAAATTTATATCATCTATTTCCAGGGATTTGTGGTGGGAGCTATTTGGTCTTTCTATTTTTCAGAGAACAAAAACCGTTTGTTGTATTTTGATACTTTTGGCTTTGTTCACCATTTCCTTCTCTCTCTCTCTCTCTGGTGTGTTTGATTCACCAACAAGAAAGCAAGAGAAAGATCCCCCTTCCTTATTTCCTGTGCTTTCTAAAGGGAACCTCCAATTAAGGGCCCATTGGCATGGCATCTTTGAATGACCGTTGAGACTCAAAACCATCGAAAAGGAATTGCTCAATACTTCAACAAGAAGCCATTTAGAATCTCATCTGCTGCAATTATAGTGACCTTGCAGTTACATCCATTTGAGTGTTTTTGGCTTTACATATATTCCAAACCTGAGACTTTTCTGGGTCTCTTGTATTTGTTTATTTGCACATAATCATACTTTTTTGTTTCATTTATAATGGGGCTAATGGAACTGTCAAATCTTGTGGGGTCTTGGCAGGTCCATTATTAGAAGATACATGCTTGTTTTTGATTCAAGGGAATCAGTGACGCCATGACAACAAGTCTCTGCATAAATTTGAGTAAGACTTCGATGGTGGAAAACATGCTTTCTTTTTCCTTTCATTTTCTGATGAATCAGAGTCGCCACCATGCATGCACAGGGGCGTGTTCCTGACCCAATTCTTTAACCAAAATTCAAAGCTTAAACAACATATTGCGTTTGTACCAATTTCAAAATGCCAACACCACACTTTTTAATTTCATGAAAATAGCTTTGTATCTTGAAGAATTATAATCCAAATTATATTTTGCTTTGTTTTTGCAACAAATTTAGTCTTTGCACGAGTTCAGAAAAATTCCAAATCGAGTGTTCAGACAGCATAACACACATTCACACTAATCGAGTAATTAACTATGATTTCCAGTTTTACTCGCCTGAGCTTAGAACAAGTGACCCAAGATGAAGGATTAAAGAAATATCTTAAACAAAGATTGGAATTGCACTTCTGAGATTGTTTTGGAGCTTAGTTCTCTCTCTTGCTTGAAGGCTCTTTGACTCCGTAAAACAATTCTGGCACCGACTAGCTGCCGCATTATAGCAGCAGCCCTCAGTAAGCATTTTCGCCATGAGAAAGTCCTTCATTTCCACAAACTTGTTCGTCAGCATATCTTAACTTCATGCTTGACAAGGATTACAGACGAGACTCATTTGAACAACACAAAAACATAATCCGACAGCTACCTGTGAATACTTTGGTCAATTGGAATCATAGCATATACTTTTGTTAAACTACAATTCATTTAATTTATATATTTACTTTTTGGTTATAGCAATCAAAAGTCTTTGCAGATTTTGCTTCAAAATAATTTCTCTTTGTTCTAACAATTTTAAGGTTATCAATTCTTCCACATCATTTTCATCCATACATGATTTTACTACTTGAATGTTCTTCAAAAAATCAAATCTTGGTTGATACTTAATTATCTTCACCATGTTTGCTAACAACTTTTTTTTTTTTAAACAAAGGAGCTCAATACGAGGACTAAAAAAAATTAGCAAATATTAAGATTTAAATTCTAAACTTGTTGAATATTAGCTTTTATAAATGGTCGTATAAATTAATTAAATGAAACTTCAAATTTTTTAATAACTTAATATTAAAATATAGTAAATAAAATTTAAAATTTAATTCAATTATTTTATATAATTATCTTTAATAAGCGATATTAGCATGTTTGAAATACGAATTTCAATATTTGTAATTTATTTTTTATTCATAAGTTATGACTTTTTGTAAAAAAAAAAAAATCTTAAGGGAATGAACTTACAACTTTAAGCTTGGGTGTGAATTCTCTAGGATAAATAGCAAGGCAAAATTAAAGAAAATGCCAACTGCAAACATCTCTAATGTATGTTGGATTAGGGAATGTCACTGTACTCAAACTCTTATATCTTCATCCTTCTTCTAAAAAGTCTCTAAGAAAAATCACCTTGATGACTTAAATTTTCTGGTAAATTGAAAAAACATTTTCTTAAAAAAATTTCTTTCTGGTAAAACCCATAGGTAAATTAAGTTGCCTCCAGTTGGCCTATGGTTGTTATTAAATAAATAAATTTATCAATAATCAAGAAATTAGTACATTTTTCTCTAAGATTTGAATAATAATAATAATAATAATAATAATTATTATTACTATTATTATTATTATTATATAAATGATAGAGTCAGTGGCTTTGACGTCAGTGCTTATGAAGAAACAAAAGAAAAACCGTTTTATGCAATTTCAAACATTCTTTTACTGTTTGAGTATGATTGCAAGCATGAAGATGCCAACTTTCCTCATGTGGTAAAAAAAAAAAATCAAATTCGAAAGTTAAAAAATTAGTTTTTAGAAGAAATTTGCAGTCTCAATGATGCATCCTTATCCTTTATTTCAAGGAAAACTATAATCCAATTAGAGAAATTCAAAAGCTGTTAGGATTAGGGAAGAACTTTGTGTAGTGTAGTTGATATGAAAATTTAAAATATTTTTAGTTATAGTAAAATATTTAATATAATATTTGAATTTAAATTATTTTTAATATTTTATTTAAATTATAAATTTATTAATTAATAAGATATTTATTTTTAATATATTTAATAAATTTATAATTAAAATATTATATTAAAAATTTTTAAAATTTAAATATTATATTAACTATTTTATTATAATTAAAAATGACTTAAAATATTAATTCATCTAAAAATAATGTATAAATTTATCAATCCAAAGCTTATGTTAATTAAATTTGAGCCGAGGTAAGTCGAGTCAGACTTGAAGAATCTTCTAAAGATTTTGTTCATTTATAAATATCATATAAATTTAACATTTTAACACTTATAAGTAAATCTGGGTTAGGTTTGATTCACCTTCAAAAGATTTTATTCAAGATTTGACCTGTCAAATTCAAAAAATTTAAAAAATTTAAAAATATTCAAAATATTCAAAATTTGATATTTTAAAATCAAATTTAATTTAAAATTATTTATTAATAATTTAATATTTCAGATAAAAAATTCCCTATTAAAGCCTCGACCTATGGATAGATTTTTTTTGTACGAATTGTACGTAGATTTGATAATTTATATATTTATATTTATAAAATATAAATAATTTGTGTATGTATATTATATTTTATATAAAAATTATATGTCATAATTTATATTAATATGAAAATATAAAATATAAATTTTAATTTTATTAAATTTATTTATAATTTTTATTAAAATTTTAAATTATTATATTATTATATTTTTTATTCATATCATATTTATTTCATTGAAAAATTAAACAATGGCAAAGGTGACAATGGTAATTAGTTATATCTATGATCATTTTGCTAAATAAGTTCCTCCAATATTTCGAACTGCTAGTACGAAATAGAAACAAAACGAATTATCAATCAGATTAAGGAACGTGATAGGTGTTGTTTTAAAAGTTTAAACCGCCTAGTAGTATAGTTCCATATGAACTAAAATTGTCCTAAATAGACTTACAAAGAGTTAGATCAGTTGATAGGAAGAGAAACTCTTTTTTGTGTCAATTGAGATTTAATCTTTTCGGACAAAACAGTCAAAATTGATTCAAACCTAAATTGTCTAAAAGGTTAATCTAATTTAAATTTAATTTAGAAAAATCATCATCTCAAATTTGAAATAATTTAAATTTGAATATAAAATGATTCGAATATGATTATTTGAATTCAAATAAGTCAAACGTCAAAATCAAATCTAAAATGATTAAAATTTAAATAATCAAAACATGAAATAATTTAAATTTTTTTCAATTCAATAAGTCAATTTAAAGTAATCAAATACGAATCGAATTCAATTCATATTTTTATCACATTTGTTATAAAAAAACATTTTAAAATAAAATTTTAAATGCATCATGTTAATATAAAAGAATACCTTAAACTCATCCAAAAAGATATTAGATCCCAACAGAAGCTTAAAAATACTATGACCCTATTTAAAAAAAAGTTCTAAATATAAATAACTATGTGCGTATGTATTGTCGTTTCGTCAACAAACAAGCAATAATGCTAGTCTAAATTGGCTTCCTTCGTTAAAATTTCAACATTACATTGTTATTACCTGATGAAAATACAAAAACCTTAACATCCGAAAGGACATCTGAAGCAGATTATCCATACGTTGGTCGCATAATTCATAAATACATGTGCCATGTATCAAGATAGCTTTTAATATTGCAAATTAAATCAACCGGGCTTTTGGGTTTCTAGCACTGGCTGCTTAGCCAGCCAGCAGCATAACGTACTTAGATACCCATAGCCATAAACTTATTAAATTTTTTATTTTGATGTTCAAGTTAACTGCTTAAAAATTGAAATTTCTTTAATAAGTAGCTAAAAACATAAATTATAACATTCAAACTTTCACACACACAAACACACGTACGCGAGTGTATATATTTATATATTAATATAATTAATTTAATCGTCTTTAAAAATTAATATTCAATAAATTTGATATGTAAATGTTAATAACTATAACTTTTTTTTTATTCTCAAATTATAATTTTTTTTGTAAAAAATTTAATTAACGAATTGCATTCATCCCAATAATTGCATTTTATTTTATTTTATTTTAATCCAAAAAATTTTATACTATAGTGTGTAATCGATTAGGTTTTAAGATGAGTCATGCCATGTCTTCAAATTGAATTCCTAGTAATTTTCACAGTGTTTGAATGATATTGTTTATTCATGTTTGACATTATCACTCATGTTATTAAAAATATTCTTCTTATGTCATAGAGATGTAAACTAAAATAGATTAAGAAAACAACTGTGTTCGAACAAAAAGACAAGAAACTATTCGTCAAATATTGATGTAGTACATTAATACTAAGTTAACACATCGACAACAATGACATAACCTTTTTTTTTCTAATAAAGGAAAATGTGATTTAAGGATAAAAAATTATAAATATCAAAATTTAAACTTTACATGTATGTGTTAGTCTTATTAAATGCCATTTCTTAAAATTAATTGTATGAGTTAAGCTTTGATCAGATCTAATAATTTGAAATAAAATATGATAATACAATATGAAAACGATAAGAATAAAAGATATAGAGATAATACGACTTAAAATTTTTTAAAAAATCATAAATAAATTTAACAAAATTAAAAAATTATATTTTATATTATCATATTTATACGAATTATGACACGTAATTTTTATATAAAATATGATATGAATATAATATTTTATACGATACGATAATACAAATTATTAGGTTTACTTTAGATTCACTAACATATGTTTTTTCTCTTTAATTTACATAAACTTATTGATTTTCGGTTACATAATTAATGGTCAAACTTGCATATGATCGATTTAACTCTTAAAAAAATTAAAACCGAGCACTTAAAAATTCGATTCAATAGTAAATACATGCATATGATCATCATTCATTAATAAAAAAATGTTAAAACGAAAAGAAATCATTAACAAATAATTTCAACTTGTATAATCTATGTCCCATGGAGGTAAAAGTTGAGATTATTTAGGATTGAAAACAAAATGCCTTGAAAGAAAAATTGAGGTAACTTAAGGTATCAATGTCAAAAGGATGAGGGCAGCGAGACTCGAGACGTATAACGCTTTTGGAATTTGTTTATTTGGGTCAAAGATACTACAATAAACGCAAGAAGAAGTGGTACCACGTGTAACATCCTCAGATGTTAGTGAGTTGAGATTAGTCCAACAAGTGGCGGCTGGTTCACCGGCACGAGATAACACCTTCGCCCAATGTTTGCTTCAATTTCCTCCCATGGCTGCCTATCACTCTCACAAGTTATAACTGGTTTTTAATAGGCTAAAATATTGAAAAAAAAAATCATTAATTATGGAAAAAGATCGAAATTTTTTTAATATGACGAAATTAATTGACTTTTCAGATCAACCAATTTTCTCATATCAAAAAATCCAAATTTACGTTTTTGTGGCCAAAAAATGCTAATTAATATTGAATTTAATAACTTTTAAAGTTAGTTGACATCTTTTCCTCAAGATAAAGATAAATATTGGTACAAATTCCGGGTAGAAGCTTATGATTTTGGGTACAAAAAATTTAATTAAAAAAAATTATATTCCTTGATAGTGGTTGGTTTCAACGAAAATTTATAGATAGTTCATAAAAAAATATTGATTGCATCAATTTAATCAATTTTGGTTTATCAATAAAAATTTTATTTAAGTAAAAATGTGAAGGTAATTTAAAAATGAAAAAAAAGTTTATTTAATATTTTAACCTCATTAATTGCCTTGTTTGTTTTTCAAACCTTCGCTTGCTTTCCAAGGGAACACTATTGAACGCACGAATGGGCCCGAAAGAGAAAAAGAAAATTATGGAGAGAAAACTTGGTCAAAATTCAGGCACTTTGACTAGGCTGCCTAAGTAATTTGTAAGCACTAGCCGGCTGCTGACAACAGAGCGTTTGAATTTCTGCAAAATCAGCCAGCCCAAGCGGATTCATCCCACCGTCGTTTGCTTTTTCTTTTTTACTTCTTTTTTCTTTTCCTTTAATTATTTTCTTGTCCCCATTCGTGCAATATTTGCCCTGATTTTTTTTTCTATATATATCGATCTCCACGTTCTAAAATTTCAGCTCCTTCAGCTTTACTCAAACAAGCTTTGCATGTACGGACTCATAGATTATTAATAGAGGCTGTCTCTATGGAAGCTTATTCATCATCATCTTCTTCTTCTTCTGCTTTACGAGAAGCAAGAGGGTTAAAGATTCCACAGCCTTTCCATGCATCACTTCATTCGGTGCGCAAGCCATTGACAAAGCCTTGGAAGCTGCCAATTGCACCATTGCCACCAACACCACCTAAAGTTTACAAGGTTGACCCTAAAAACTTCCGGGACTTGGTTCAAAAGCTTACTGGTGCACCTGAGTTCATGCCTCAATCTCAACATCAGAAATCGTTATCTCAGCTTCATCAGCTGCCTCATCAGCGTCTCCAAAGAGTGGCACCTCTCCCACTTCAAGTTGCAGCATCGCCATTGTCTAGGGCAGAAGTTTCTGCACCATTGCATCTCCTTTCTGGGTTAGATCATTCGAAACCCCAGAATCAGAATTTCTCAGATAATGCGATGATTAAGTCGAATTCACTTGGAATGAACTTATCATCATCTTCTTATAATTGGTGGCCTTCCCCTATTCTAAGTCCTGGAACGTTGTCCAGCAAGGAGCAAAGCACTGTTCCTTAGATATATATTTATATATACATATATATATATTTATATATACACACATACATATATATATATATATATATGTCAAGTATCAAAACTTACTATATATATATATTCTGATATTTAAGGCCAATTTGGAAGTTAGTTCTCTTTGTCATTCTTGCTTGAGCTTAAAGAGAATGTATGCATGTAAGATTAAACCTACATTCTTCTGTTGTCGTACTTAATTTACATAATGGCAGAACTAATTATGTTGAACAAGTCTTCCTCCGTTGATCATTACGATCGATGCATGTATACTTATTCAGCCAGTATTGTAGTCATGAATACAGCTACTTAATTATTATATATGTACAACTTTATTTTTCAGAAATTGGCTTCCAAAGAGTTCTTTGCCTAGTCTCCCAAAGTAGTTATCCCCCTTTTAATCTTTTCTTTGTCCCCTTCTATTCTTAATTTAATTTCTAGTTTGAAAGGAGAGATTTTGCTGCTTAGGGCTACTTCTATAAAGAGGTAAGTTAGCATTACCACTAAGTAATTAAGTGTGATAAAGTTGAGAGGCCAGAGGGGGGGGGGGGAGTTGAGCCTTGATTTTCTTAAGCATATTAAGCAAGGTGAGACAAGAATCCAAAGTTTAGCTTACTTTATTTGTGTAATTACTCTAAACAAATAATTTTAGTAGTTTTAGGGTTTAAATTTTAAATTTTGTAATCTCTTTTTCTGATCTTAAATTAGTCATTTTTTATATAAAAAAAGGCGAAACAAGATCGGAGATGTCAAATTAGAAATATGTATAAAAGAAGAAGATTGGAAATAAGGGAAAATTTGTTAAGAGGCCGGTTAAGAAGCTTTGGATTGTATCCTTTGTATTTATCAGCTATATTGGTGTATTAATGTTGGTAATTAGTTGAGTTGATAATAGTACAGCTCATTGTGCAATAAAGAGGGATCTGATGTTATATGGTAAAGATGGTGTATTGTTTGATATACTAAAAAATGTAACTGAAGGAATAAGGTGGTGTAAAAGGATTCATGGATGTCCGGCAAAAAACAAAAAATTCATGCTTGGTGGTGCTCAAGCATTCCAAAATGAACAATTATAGGGGGAAGAGCCCTATAAGATTGAACCAAAACAAAACTGTTGATAATGTCCCAAATCATGGAATTAACTCAATAATCTTTCCACAGACGCCTCCATCAACTCTACCTCCTCGACCACTGTCACCGCCATCACGACCTTCTTCCACTTCATACATATAATTAAATCCATTTAATTTTGATACATAGAAAGCTACAATTTGAGAAAGAAATTGTAGATGTTGAGATTTGAATTTTAAATTTGTTAGATGTTACTTTAAGAATGATTATATGAATCAATTCAATTAAATTCATTTATTTAATTTAATTAATGTATGGCTAACATCATAATATATATTTATTTATATTGATATTTATATTACCCAAGTGAAACCAATTAGGATAAGGGTAGAGGAATAAGATCTTAAGTGAAAAAATAATTGGTAAGGCTTTGTTTGGTTGATATTTTTACTATTTAGTTTCAATCTTTTGTTTTTTTATATTTATCTTTTCTGAAGAGAAAAATAATTAAATAATAAATGTATAAACTAAACTGAACAAAGTATGCATAAATACCTAAAATTAACTTACGAGTGCATAAATACCTAAAATTAACTTCAAAGCTGCTCAAATTCAAAATTGATTAAATAAAACTTTCTTAAAGTTGGTTTTTGAAATAAGTAATGAACCAACTTGTCGTTGATTATCAAGCTCTTTTAATTGTTTTCAAAGCATATATATATATATATATATATATATAATTTTTTATTCTCAATCATAGATCTATTAAAATTAATAATTAACAAAATAAAAAAAAAGTTTTTTATATTAGTTGATCCATTCTCTATATAAGACCAAAGAATCGAGTAAGGTATTGAAACTTATAACTTAATTAAAGTACCAAATTATATGAGTTATCTAAATATATATAATTTTTTTATTCTCAATCATAGATCTATTAAAATCAATAATTAAAAAATATAAAAAAATTTTTATGTAAGTTTATCCATTCTCTATATATAAGACCAAAAATCGAGTAAGGTATTGATACTTACAACTTAATTAAAGTGCCAAATTATATGAGTTATCTAACTCTTTTAATAAATAAGCCAAACTAGAATCAAAGAGATAGAAGTAAAGAACATAAAGAGAAAGAAAATTTTAAAGGAAAGTTTTTTCAAATGGGATTTTATTTTTGGCCAATATTTTCAATTGGGATTTCGTTTAAAAAATTTTAAAAGGCTTTTGGTCTGAGGCAAAGTTAATAGATGAAGTTGGTAAAAACGCAAGTACTTTAGCCTCGGGAAAAATTTACTTGAAGTTTAATAAATGTTTACTTGAAGTTTAATAAATGGAGTTAATAAAATTTTTTATTAAAAATAAGTAAATAAAAGTTAAAATTAAAAATTAAAATTAAAAGATTGATAAATTTTATTACATAAATTAAACGTATAAAATTGGAAAAAAATTTAATAAATTTTGATATATTTATTAAATTGATATTTTTAATAAAAATATTAATAGAATATTTATTGTTGAATAAATATCAATTAAATTTATATTATAAATAATATTTTTCATAATTTTTTTAAATTTTATTGATTTTAATATTAAACTCTATTAATTTATCGATTTAAATTATTTATCAAATTATTTATTTACTTATTTTTTATAAAAAATTTTATGAACTCCACCTATATAAATTCATGTAAATTTTATCTCTTTAGCCTGTACATATGTAACAGATAGCGACTATCCCTTGGACGCATGGCTGAACCCTAATAAATATTATTGACAGTATTATTAAAAAAAGATTTCCTCGTTTATTTCATGTAGAGAATTGTATTTTCCACAGTCTCTTTCTTTTCTACAGCCCACAAGAAAGAATTTCATATTCGAATAAAACTCTCTCTTGAGGAATCCCCTTTATGTTATTTGTTGAGAAAGGAAGAAAGAATGTTGATTCTTGTCAAACTGTAAAGATTGAGAAACAGAGAGACAGCCATTTTTCTTTTTTATAATGCCTAGATGATTGGTGTCATTAAATGACAACTAATAAATATTATTTATTTTTCATATATAATTCTCAAAGACTGAATAATTCAACACGTTTTCTCCTTTTAATCCAACTTCATTGTTCAAAGGAAAATCAAAGAACTTGGGTTGTTTGTGTCAATGATATTCATTGACAGTTTGATTAAAATATAAAACAGATTCATGGCATTTATCACTATCAGGCATCGACCCTTGCCGACATCTTAGTACAATAAAAAAATATAAGATGTTTTGGAGGACAATAACCCAAGTTTTCTGAGAGATTAGTATGCCGGTAAACATCTAACTATTGAAAGTGGTTGAGAAAGGATCAAAACTTGGACTGGAGAGACTGCTTCTTTTGTTATTAGATAATACCAAGTCAAAAGTGAGAAAGTAATAGAGCTAGAAAACAATGCTGGATTGGAAGAAGTTTCTTCTTCTCCACTGGTTAGGCAGACGCTACATTTCCTGCTTTAGCCATTGAATATAATCATTTTCTATCCATTTTTTTCTTCCTTGTTACCAACCATGGCCATTGTTTACAACTTGATAGATTAGAAGGGCTGAAGAAAATTTGAGTTCTAAAGTATAAACCGTGAAGAATAACAGAGAAAGATAAAAAGAACTTTGATTATGTACAGGAAAATATGCTACATTATAGCACAGAATCAAATTACATAACCTGTCAACTTTAAGCCGGACTCCTTCGGAAAAATTGAAATTATTCCTGCAAAAAATCTGAATGCAGCTAGTTTAATTAGTTGTCTATGTTTGTATATCCTATCAATGATATTCTAGTAATATTATGGTAATATTCTAAATTGATGATATTATTCTAATAATATTTTAGTAATATTCTAGATTGATTTAATATTAATTTAGAGAACATTAGTTATTAATTTAGTTGATTTTAGGAATTGATTTGGTCATTATTTCTATTTATTGCATCTTTTATTTTGTAATATCTTACCTATGTATAAATAGATTTTAAGCCTTATTGTAATACACAAGTAATTACAATAAAGTTTTTATCATTTTTTTCCTAATGTCAGAGTGATTTCATAGTTCATTTCAAAAGTGAATCACCTTGGAGTAACCAACATTTGCTTATTTTCATCTTTGGTTTATTCCCATTTCTAACTTGATTTTTGCTTCTGCACATTAATTTTTTTGGGTTTCTCTTTCCATCTTCAAAATTCATTTTGTATATCAATACTCATAACTTCTTAAATCTCCATTTCATTTTTTTTAAGAGCTTAATTATAGGCATTTAATAAGAAAATGTACAACCAATTTCAATTATCCTTGATGGAACTAACTACAATAGATGAGCTACGGCTATGCATAATTATCTAAAGGGAATGAAATTAGGGCTTGTTATTACTGGAGAACGTAAAGCACAAAAAAAAAAAAAGAAGAAGAATCCAGTGATAAATTTATAGATCGGTTAGAGGAATGATAGAGTAAGAATCATCGAATTCTGACATGGTTCACTAACACCACTGTTTTTCTATCAATGTACATTTTAGGCAATTTGAGTTTGCTAAAGATACTTGAGATTTTCTTGCCACATGGTACAACTTTCTATTACCTTTGCTTATTAATACCATATTTTGATCACTTTATCTTGTCTTCGTCAAGAACTAAGTTAGATGATTGATGATTTTCATTCTAAAATACAACATTTACGGGACATGCTTAAAAATTCTGAGTCGAAATTCAAAGATGAAAATGATGCTGGTAATTTTATTACTTATTGAAATCAAATTTGTCTTAATCAATTTTTAATGACACTTTGAGATGAATTTGAGAATACTAGGTCTTCATTTTTGCACCGACATCCTTACCAACTATGAATAATATTCTTATGAAATTGATATATGAGGAAACTTTATTAGGTATGAGTTGGACTCATAGTGTTGATAATATTGTTATTGCTGCTTTTCAAAAAAGTATTAGTTCTACTTTTCACAAGTAATGTTCACGATGTAAGAAGACTAATCATCGTATTCAGAAATATAGAGCTAAATATCATTATAACGATAGTCTAATTCATAATCCTTGCACTAACAAGACTACTGTGGCAACAACCACTGAACAAAATACTTCTAAGTATTTTTTTGAGACCATTACAATCTTCACCATTAATCTTCAAACTTTGTTCAATCAAGTATTACCTCGATCTTATTTTTGTACTATGTCTGCTGTCACATCAGATAATGTTTGGTTGTTTGAAACTATCTATGGAAATTATATGATTGTTGATATTTCTTTGTTCAAAAGCAAGATACTTGTATCTAATGGTCCAATGATTAAAACAACAAACAAATCTGTTTTAAAAGCTAGCCACATTGGTAATATTGAAACCTTAAAAATTATGTATATCTGACATTTACCTTATTCTTAATCTTGCCTTAAATTTGCTTTTTATTGGTCAACTTTGTGACTTTGGTCTTGATTTGCATTTTTCATAACGATATGACAGTATTATGCAAGATCTTCAAACATGTCAGAAAGTTGGGACAAGATATAGGGTTGGAACATTGTTTCAGCTTGAAACTTTAAAAATTCCATAAATTTGCTTCCTACTGCTACATCTTAAACAATCAACTCTGCAGTTTCTTTAGATTTATGGCATTCTAGGCTAGGACATGCATCTATTTCTCAAATAAAGTCACTTGCTTACACTAATATCTTAGGTAATGTTTCTCATGATATTTTTGATTATTTGTCTTATCAACTTGGAAAGCAAAGTGCTTTACCTTTTAATAAAAGCGATTCTATCTCATTTGCTTATTTTGATTTAGTCTATTCTGATATTTGGGTTCCAACTCTCACACCAACCTTAGGAGGTTCACAATACTTTGTTATATTTATTAATGATTTCTCTTGTTATACTTGAATATATTTATTCAAATAAAGAATTAAACTTTTATCCATTTTCGTAAATTTAATAACATGATATAAACGTAATTTTCTAGAAAAAAAAAATTTTTAGGTCTAACAATGTTTTTGAATATACAAAAATTGAGTTTCGTAATTTATTAAAGGATAATGAGACTCTTACTTATAAGTCTTGCCCATATTCTTCATAATAAAATGGTTGAGTTGAAAGAAAATATCATTATATTCTTGACACAGTTTGTGCTTTTCTCATTTTTTCTTCCATTTCTAAATATTTTTAGGGTGAAGTTGCTCTTACTGCTATTTACACTATTTATTATGTTCTTACACCAGTATTAGGCACATGGTCTCTTTATGAGTGTTTATACAATAAGGTACCTGATTACCATTCTCTCAAAGTTTTTAGATGTGCTTGCTTTATTCTACTTTTTACTCATGAAATGACTAAACTTGAACTTAGAGCTAGATTGTGTTATTTTTTGGGTTATGGTATAAAACACAAGGTGTATAGGTGTTATGATTCAGTATCTAAATGTCTTCGTATCGTAAGACATGTAGTTTTTTGAAAACATAAAAAGTTCACTAATGTGTCCTCATTACATTCACCATGTTCTTCTCCATGTATTTTTACATATTCATCTTTTAAATTTTCTTCAAATAAAGACACTAATATAGGTACTTCTGACTTAAACAATGATTTATCTTCTTTCACTCCTACTATGTCTAATCTAACTGAGGCTCCTATTGATATAATTGTCCCTTCACCATATATACCGCCTCCACTTTATTGTTTCACCTAGGTAAAAGAACCCAACACTCAACTTCGTGATTTTCACTGTTATTATGCTTTAGCCACGTTACATGAACCTCATAATTTTTCTAAAGTTGTCTCTAATCTTATGTGGCAGCAAGCAATAGCAAAAAAGTTTCAAGCTCTTAAAAAAACTCATACTTAAGATATTATTAAATGGCTCTTTGATAAGTTAGTGATTGATTGTAAGTGGGTCTGCAATATCAAAACTAGATCTGATGGGTCAATAAAATATTACAAAGCTCATCTTATTGCTTAAGGATTTATACAAGAATATGGCATTGACTATAAAGAAACTTTAGCCTTAGTTACACGTTTCACATCTGTTCGTTCACTATTAGCTATTGCTAAACTAGAAAATGGTAAACGTTTCAAATGGACATTAAAAATGCCTTTTTGAATGGTGATCTTGTTGAGGAAGTCCATATAAAGCCACCGTCTGGTTCGTTTGTGCTTTCTAACATGGTTAGTTATTTTTATATGGTTTTAAGCAAGCCCCTAAATCTTGGTTCTCTAAGTTTAGTACCATCATTGTACAACTTGATTTTACATCTAGTAATTATGATTCTACCTTTTTTACTTGAACTACTAAAAATGGTACTATTCTTCTTTTACTTTATGTGGATGACATGATCATTATGGGTAATGATGCAAATGGCATTCAAAATCTAAAGATTTTTTTTCATTCTAAGTTTGAGATAAAAGATCTTAGTCCTTTGAGTTATTTTTTAGGCCTTGAAGTCACTAGTGATTCTACTGGCTTATATTTGTCTTAAACAAAGTATGTTTTTGATCTTATTGTTCAAGTAAGTTTAACTAATAACAAGATTACATCATCACCACTTGAACAAAATTTGAAGCTTTCTCCTTCTGATGGTACACCACTTTTAGACCATTCTTTGTATCGAACTCTGGTGGGTACACCATTTGGCAGTTACTCATCCAAACATTGCCTATACTATTGATTCGATTAGTCAATTTCTATATGCTTCTCTATCTACTCATTTTGCTACAGTCCTTGGAATCCTACGATATGTCAACCGTACTATGTTCCATGGTTTGCATTTTTTTTTATAGTTCTTATTTGGACTTGCATTGTTATTGTGATGCTGATTGGGCAGGAGATCTTATTGATTGTCGTTCTACCACAAGTTACTATTTTTTTCTTGGTTCTTCTCTTATTTCTTGGCAAAGTAAAAAACAAACTATGGTGTCTTGTTTTAGCATTAAAGCCGAGTATTAAGCTCTTGCAGATGCCATATCAAAACTTTTATGATTACGATGGCTACTTCAAGATATGGGTGTTTCTCATCATTCTAGTGCTGATAATCAAAGTGCCATTCAGATAGCTCACAATGATATTTTTCATGCGCATACTAAACATATTAAAATTGATTGTCACTTCATTTGTCACCATTTGCTTGCTCAAACTTTTTGACTTGTTTCTATTATCAGTGCTAATTAAAAAGCAGATATCTTCACCAAATCACTTCCACCCGGTCTATTTCTTGTCCAAGTTTCCAAACTCAAGTTGGCCTCTATATTACCATTTTAAGTTTGCCAGGGGGTGTCAATGATATATTAATAATATTATGATAATATTTTAGATTGATGATATTATTATAGCAATATTTTAGTAATATTCTAAATTGATTTGATATTAATTTAAAAAATATTAGATATTGATTTAGTTGATTCTAGGAATTGATTTAGTGATTATTTCTATTTTGTATTTTTTATTTTGTATCATTTTACCTTTGTATAAATAGGCTTTAAGCTTCATTGTAATACATGAATCATTACAATAAAGTTTTCATCAATTTTTTCTTTTCATATACTTTTAAGACTGACCTTACACATCAATTTACTAACAGTTCCGCTCCTACTGGTCCCAATAATTTCTTAGTTGTGATATATGTAGCAGAAGCTCTTCTCTGCCTAGAGCAGTGACACTGCTAGTCATGATCCATGGGGGATGTTGCTTATAGTTTTCTCTAATCAGTTCTTGAAAGTCCCTGATGTTCTCATCAGGCCTTTTTCCTTTGCTTGCCTTCATTTTGTCACACTTTGTAAAGACAAAAGTCATTGGTATCTGAAATAAAGCAAGGAACAAAAAAAAATCTGTGGAAGAAACCGCTAACTTTAAAGCGGTGTGTCACTAAACAAGAGAAATCAAGATTGTCAAAACGACATGCTTACATTGTAGCGTCCAAGCCAGTTAGAACAGTCTAGATCAATCCTCTGAGGTGGGACACTTGCATCAATAAGAAGTAGCACAGCAACCAGAATATCTCTTTTTAGAAAGTAGCCTTTAGTGTAAGAAGACCAATCTGTTCGAGCAGCATCCGAGGCTCTAGCAAAACTGCAATCAAATGAACCTTTCAAGCGTTATATTCTATGTCAAGATGTTATCAACTCATCCTGCACATAACCAAGATGCTTACAGGCGGTTAACTATTTTACATTCTTGTTGAAAGCATAACTGTTATTAATTATTATCTTCTTTTGATATGTAAAGCAGAACAGTTATGAAATTCTGCATCAACTGGATAAGTTTGCTTTTTTTTTTTCCTCAAAAAAAGGAAAAAGAAAAAGGATCAAATGTCTGTATCTGACTGAAGAAAAATTACACGCAAAAAGTCTAGTCATCATGAAGGAACTTCCAAGCAGGGTTGCCTAAACAACACGAAAAACTATTTCAATACTACATCTATTTACTGGACTTAGTTCTTATCAACGGTCCAAAATGAGAACTTAACAAGGTGGGAATGAACAATTGATTGGATTGGTTAGTTTACATATGTGGTGAGTATTTGATATACCGTGTAGACATCAAATTTGATCCAGGCTCGGATCAATTGGGTCTAGTCCAAATGAGTAGGCCCATTTCATTTTGTATTTTTGTATTTCTTATTTTTTTTACTTTTATTTTGTATTTTATGTATTTATTATTCATTTATTTATTATTACTATTTATTAATATATATTTATTTTATTTTATTATTTTTATTATTTATCTATTGATATATATATGTATTATTATTTATCTATTTATATATATTATTATTTATCTATTAATTAATATATTATCTTTATTATTATTATTTTTTATTATTTATTTTATTTTATTTTTTTCTTTTCTTCTTTCTTTTACTCGATTGGAGCTGAATTATGATAGAAATTTGAGTGCGGGATTCAATCATAATCCGAATTGGATTCAAAGACCGAATCCCAATCCAAAAGGGAATAGGGATTGATCAGAAACTCTTCTGATCAATCCCTATAAATAGATCCACGGATCAAAAGATTGGACAGAGAAAAAAGAGTTACTGGCTAAGAGAAAAGGTAGATATAGAGAGGATTTAAAAGCTAAAAAAGTTTGGGTATGTTTAGAATAGCTTTAAGAATCGGTAGGAATTTTTTGTGAATTTTTGTGAATTTTTTTTCTAGAAATTTTTGAAAAATCTTCAGATTTTAGTTGAATTTTTCGACGAAAGTTGAATTTTTCGACAGCTATTCTAGTCAAGTTTGAAGTTTTCGGCTAACTTCCCAGTTTTCTACAACATTTTTAGAAACCGATCAGTTTTTCGATAAACTTCTGACGAAAAACCCAGATTTCAACGAAAATTTTTAGAATCCGGTGAATATTCAACTGGAGTTCTTTGGATTCTAAAGAGAAGGGAGAGAAGAAAGAAGGGAAAAGAGAGAAGAGATGAAGGGTTCTACTGAAAAAACGAAGAAATCAGCCTTATATACCCCCCAAAACGATGTCATTTTTGCGTTAAGTAACCCAGAGGATCCACGCGTTTTGTCAAGATCCGATCTGACTCGAGGGCTGACCCGCTTTCGACCTACGTGCGACCCGCGTCTCAAGCAGTTAGTCGAGCCGAGCCGATACCCTTGAGCCGCTTCTCCGAGCCGTTTTTTTTTCCTTAAGTCGAGCCAAGCCGAGCCTCAAGCCGAGTTGTTCCCAATTTTTTTTTCGTTATTTATTTATTTATTTATATATTTTTTGTTATTATTATTATATTAGAATTGTTTAATATTTTTATTTTTATTTTTATTTATCTTTTTACTTATTTTCATTTTTACTTTGTTTATTTTATTTTTTAAAAAAAATTCAAAAAAATTTATTTTTGAGGAAAAGTTGAAAGTATCAATTTTCCTCAAAAATAAATTTTTAAAAAATTATTTTTGAGAAAAAGTTGAAAGTATCAATTTTCATCGAAATTAAAGTTTCAAAAAATATTTTTGGAGAAAAGTTGAAAGTATCAATTTTCTTTAAAAATAAATTAAAAAAAGGTTTCTTTTTGAGAAAAAGTTGAAAGTATCAATTTTCCTTGAAATTAAAGTTTTCAAAAAAAAATTTTGGGAGAAAAGTTGAAAGTATCAATTTTCTCCTGTACAAAAGCAATCATTTTTTTTTTATTTCTTTAGAATTTTCTTTAATGTTAAATAATCTGACGATGAAGTCTCTGCAAGTGAGACAGTAGTTTTCTTGCATACTCTTGAGGTGAGGAAATTTTCTTAATTTTTTGCTAAAAGTATTTGAGTCAATTGAGAATAATTTCTAACAACTAATTACTTGGTAAAATTTTAAGGCTTATTGGATAACACAAAATTAAGCTGGTATCATCTTTTGATGAGCATTGTGAGGGTGCTATAACCTTCCTCACACGTAACCAAACTTTCGAACCCCGTTCTGGTTAGTAGATCCGAACCTATTTTTTTAGGGACCCTTAAACTTAGGTGTTCCTTGAAAGGATAGATTCCTTAGGTGGCCAATCGTACCTAGATAAAAAAGATTGGTGGCGACTCCTAAAGTCAATGTCTAACGATAGATCTCCAGATCTAAACGTTATGATAGCTTGACGACTCCGCTAGAGACTCTGAGAGTCAGGCCAACAAATAAATTTGTGTTATCCAAAAGCCTAATAAAATTGAACCTTTTGTATAGATTTTTTGTTCATTCATGTTTATTTACTTTATTAATTATGTCATTCATACGCATATGCATAACATGAGCTCTATACCCGACCTTCGTCCCTCTAGGAGGGAGTAAAGTACCTATTGTTTTTGTGAAGTTTAATGCCTCCGCAGTGGCTAGCGAAATACTCCATTTCAAATTGAACATTTTTCGCTTGTAGCTTGTAATGGGTGAGGATTAGGGTGCCTTACTAGTCTATGATGGGCAATGATGTAAGGAGCAATTTAGAAACCTTTAGACTTTAACCTTGAACCACATATAGTGAACCTTAGAAGTGTCTAAACCTAAGATAGAGCCCTTTCTACCCAATGATAGGTGTACCCTGAAACTAAGACACAAGAAGAATGTTTATCTAATCATTTTGATTATCTGACTTTGTGCATCATTTTCATTATCATATGTAACATTATGCATCGACATCACTTTCAATTCATCTATGAAACTGACCATGTTTTTATCTGATTTTTTATGTATGTATTATTTTCAGGATCATGTTTTAACATTATCATCTGCATTCATTTCATATTAGATTTCATTCATGAAAATGTACATTTCATTCATCCATCAACGTATCATACATAAAGCATAGCATAGCATTTCTAATCATAATTGTGGTGCTAAAGGTTCAAGGATAGCTCTATCTAGCGATAACCCTATCCATCGATATAACACAAGAGTCAGAGCCAGACAAATGGAGCAAAAAAATTCTCATAGATTTGAAAAGCTAAAAAAAGAATAGGAAAAGATTGAGAATGAGTTAAGTAAAATTTTGGATGCTATCAACAAGTTAAATAAGAGGAAAAGAGTAGAAGAGAACACAAGCCAACAAGGTCCTATATTGCAAGAAATGACTAACCCTCTATTTCCACCTGGTTTTGGTCCACCTCAAGCCTAGTCTACACAATAGGTTCCACCACAACACTTCACATATCCTATATATCCTGGAATGCCATCAACTTCTAATCCAGGGCATTACCATAGCTATGTGAATCCTGTCTTTACTGAAAAGATAGTTGAACCAATTCAAATCCCTGATCTGGATGAACTGAAAGAAAAAAATAAGAGAAAGATAAAAGTGGAAACTCAGGAAAACTCTAAAATTAGTATGCTAGAATAAAGGCTACGCGTTGTGGAAGGAATTGGTTTCTATGGTTCAGTTGATGCTGCTGGGCTTTGCTTAGTCCCTGATGTGGTCATTCCTCCTAACTTCAAAGTACCAGAATTTAAAAAATATGATGACATAAAGTGCCCAAAAACTCATATCATCATGTATTGTCGAAAGATGGCAGCCAATGCTCATGACAAAAAGCTACTAATGTATATTTTTCAAGACAGTCTTACTAGTTCTATTGTTAGGTGGTATATCCAGTTAGACAGAACTTGCATCAGTTCTTGAAGTGACATGGCCCATGATTTTATCAGTCAATATCGACATATCATGGATTTGGCCCCTGATCGTTTGTCTTTACAAAACCTAGATAAAAAGGCTAATGAGACATTTAAAGAGTATGCCCAGAGGTGGAGGCATATTACTTCTTAAGTACAGCCTCCTCTGACTGAGAAAAAAACTACAGTGTTGTTTGTTAGCACTTTGAAGTCTCCCTATTATGAAAAAATGATAGGAAATGCAACAAAGAATTTCGTCGACATGGTGATCTCTGAAGAAATTATTGAAAGTACCATAAAAAATGGCAAGTTGAAAGAAAGAGAAACCAAGAAGGCATCAGAAAAGAAAGAAGCTCAAGCTCAAGCTGTAAGCTTTGATAGACAACAATTCAGGGGTTATTAACCTTATCCACCCCAAGATTACTCTCCATACTATCCTACTGTGAATAATACCTCATCCTACCCATACCAGCTAGTTCCACAACTACCTTATTCATCCACATATCGATCAATTTTTAGCCCTCAAGATCTTACATATAACCTTAACATTCAAGCTCCTGCAAGAGTCCAAATTCGTCCTACTAACCCAATAAGTGGTTCACGAGAGTAACGAATTACTCGAAAAAAATTTGTATTTGATCCAATCCCCATGGCTTATACGAAGTTATATCGAGAACTCTATAATAGCCATTTGATTACCCTCAGCCATTTGATTGCCCCTTAAGCCACCCTATCCTAAATGGTATGATCCTATAGCCTACTGTAACTACCACTATGGAATTACTGGCCATTCTACTAAAAATTACATTGCTTTAAAGCATAAGGTGCAACAGTTGATCAATGATGGAATGTTAAGTTTTGATCAAGGAAAAGCAACAACACCTAATGTTAGCGCTCTGAGTGAAAGTCAAGAACAGAAAAGGTCTGGAGAGTCACAATGAATTGAGGGGCAAGATGTCAATAGAGATTCTTCACCTGATCATATAGGG